CAGCAGCTGCAGCACCAGTGCCGCCGCCTCGCATACCATGCTGCCCCACGCCCTGCGTCCCCTGCTCTCGACTCCCACCATCTCCCTCTCTTCTCACACACTGCTCCTTACAACGCTCAAACGCCTCCAGCTCTGCACGCTCTACATCATCGTCTGCCCTCTCCAACGGCTGTATGCGCTTTCCCTTGCTGCAGGAAGGGCACGTGCACTGGTACGGGGGAGTGCGGGGCGTGCGGGGCGTGTGAGGGTGTGGGAGCAGGCGCAGGCACACGCACACGTCATGCAGCTCCACGTGCACCCATGAGGCCGCCACTTGGCCCAGCCACTGGGAGAAAGAGAAGGGCGAATGGCGCTGCGCCACGTGGCGCTTGATGGCCTCGTGGAGGCTTGCTCCCTGGGAAAAAAAACCGTGAGAGAGGAGAAGATTAAGGGTAAACCTTAATGGACATATGGATGCAGCTATGAATGAAGGTATGGATGAAGGTATGGATGAAGGTATGGATGAAGGTATGGATGAAGGTATGGATGAAGGTATGGATGAAGGTATGGATGAAGGTATGGATGAAGGTATGGATGAATTTATGGATGAAGGCATGGATGAAGGTATAGCAGAGTGTTAAGAGGACCACAAGGGCAGGAGCAGCTTCAGAACAGGTAAAAAAGAGAAGCCAGATTGAATTCTAATCGGCAGTGTTGATTGGTTTGAACACTAGTGCAAACGCATTTCAGATTCAAGTGCGCAAAGAGAGCCCAACGTACCTCTGGGTCCAGAAGAGCGACCTGCTGATCCATTGATACATCGCTGCTGGACGCCCCATCCTCTGCCTTCTCCCCACCCACCACCGACTCCTGCTGCTCGTGCGCCTTGCTGCTATCTGTCTGTGCCTTGCAAACGGGCCTGATGCAGTGGCAGGGAGGTGGGGGAAGGGGACAAGGGAGTGAGACAGCTTGGCATAGGGAAAATCGGGAAGAGCAGTAAAGTGATGGAGCTTACTGACGTGAGCTAGGCAGTCTCTAAGGCTCTAAAGTGACATGAAGGCCGTTGATGATCAATCAACCTGACAGCTCGAATTCCAACAGCCGAATCCCGGCCTCACCAACCCAAAATGGACGAAACGAAGTGCTCGGTACGAACCTCGGGTTTTGAGGCGCCTCAAAAGTCGAAGTGCTCGGTACGAACCTCGGCTGTAAGGTGACATGAAGGCCGTTGGCGATCAACCTGACGTGCGCCGATCCCAGGAGTCGAATCTCCAGCCTCGCCGACCCAACATGGATGGAATCGTAGTGCTCAGAACTGACCTTGGCTCCAAGGTGACATGAAGGTAGACAATCAACTTGACGTGCGCCGATCCCAAGCCTTGCCTCCAGCCTCATGGGCCAAAGCGGAAGGAAACAACTCAAGTGAATGCGGTACTGACCTCGGCTCTAAGGTGACATGAAGGCCACTGACGATCAGTCTGACGTGTGCCGATCCCAGCAGTCGAATCTCCAGCCTCACCGACCCAACACGCGCAGCGGACACACGCAGGGAAGTATCCTCCCCCAGCCACTCCCGGTTCAATGAATCTGGACAGGCCAGGGCTTCGGACAGGTGCACTGAGCCGTTGAGGATGTTCGCTCGGACGGCATCTCGATGGATCGGCTGCAACGGGAGAAGCTCGGATAGCTTCTGACGGAGGATTCTCGCGAGAAAATAATCCAGTGCCATCCTGGCGGATGTGATTATAGCGAGTATGGAGGATTCTGATCTAGTACGCTGATCTATTGATGCTCCTACAGAAGCTTATTTAAGGAATACAACTCAAATGTATTCAAACGGAGATGATTCTGGCGAATGTCATCCTCGGCTTGCTAAGGCTGCTTGGACGCGTAGTAACGTGGCGCGAAAGAAAAGAAGGTAACGAGTTAGCCTTGCGCAATTCGGATCCACTAATAAAACTACTATGTGAGACTATGAATGATTGGAAGACCAAAGGCAACCTTGGAATCCTCTCATCACACGCTCTCAGCGTGCAATCGAAATTAGCCATAATCTTTGGAGATTTCTCCACGAAACATTGTCACCTATTCGCGAAATGCGATTAAGCTAACAGCAGCTCAAAGAGGAGCTTCGCCCCGGGAAACAGGGCGACGCGACCCATCAAAGAACTAATGAGAAGCAGCGATGAGCAAGACGCGTCGCTCTGTCATAGCTGAATGCAAGTCAGCAGGCTTTTATGTGCTGGCCAGAATCCTGTCATCCCTGAAATTCGCCATTGCCATTCTTGAAATTGCCGCGCTGCATGCTTCTGTTACCGCTTTCCACCGAGGCCTGATATCCTACTGATTCGTCAGATGTAGGATTCCGACGGTTCGGATGTGCCGAAAGCTTGATCGTGCAGTCGCCGATTTGTGGTCCCAGATATCCACGTTGATTGGTTGATCTTGCGCCTGCTTCGATAAGAACAGGACACCCAATGCACGTAAATCCAGCTAGTTTCTATGGTTTTGACTACTACAAAACGTCCTGCATTTCGGATTCGTTATACATGTACTAGTTGATTTGTCTAACGTTTTTCCAGCCTAATAATTCTGTAATGTGCAGGCCTAATCATGTGGTAAAAGGACTGCAGAACGCAAGAACGCCCCGATAATGAAGTAATGCTCTTAGTTGTTCGTATCTTGTCTCTGGCGTTGAACACCACCACTCCCAAGTGCGTGCGCGTTTTTGGTATGGAAGGTTCAATCCTCCCAAAACACCGCGACTGCCAATTGACCCTGTTAGTTGACCTGCATAAAGAAACGCACAAAGGTGGTGAAAAGAAAGAAACTCTTATCACTCTTCCCCTATCTTTCATCACTCTCTCACATCACGCACTCCCAATTCCTTGTGCTGCTTCACTCCGCGGACATGACCCCACTCCTTCCACAGCATGTGAAAGGAGCAGGGAGCAGCACTCTGTACAGCATTGCGCACAGAGCTCCCGGCCAGAGTGCGAGAGGCCGAACATGAATGTCCTGCTGTGTGGAAGAATCAGGAGGAGCAAGACAAGTCCCCCTTTTGCGAATTACACACAAGCTGTGTCCACTGAACCCATCCCTTTGCAGCTCCTCAAGTCTATCCTTCCACCCAGGCACCCAGACTCGAAACTGCTTCCAAATAGCACCCTGTAACACATGCTCGGGCAGATTTCCCTGACAAAACAGCTCAGTTCAGCTCCACCCTGTTTCGCTCATGAGCGCCGTGTTAGTGCAGCGAAGCCAGCTTCCCTGTGCCCTGTAACCATGTGAACTCGGTTTCCCTGTGCTGATGTGTGGCCTGTTCACTTGAGCCTTTCCCAATGCTCAAAGCCGCAATGAGGCCTGTATGCTGCTGAATGGATCCAAGGGGTTTTGCGCATGTATGGCGCGCTGTGCACAGATACTGCTACTGCTGACCCGGAGCAGCTTTACTCCTGCTGCTGTTAACTTGCCGTTGAGAGGCTGAATGCCTGAGAGATCCGATCACGGGCTGGGCTGGTCAGAAGGGGGCGGAGAGAGGGCGACCTCTCTCCGCCCTCTAAGCTGGCGACCTCTAAGAAACTGCTGGCGACCTCTAAGTAAAAACGCCATTTGCAGTTTCATTTGCATCACACGGGACGGAGTGATCCAGGTGCATGCGGGCGAGGGTGTGGTGATGGGTCCATGAGGGTCAGAGTGGATGAGGAAGAGCGGTACGCACGTGAGCTGGGCTGTGGTATTACGCAGGCTGTGTGGAAGGCCGCAGCTCTGGATGGACAGATGCTGATGCACTGCGGCAGTGAGGAAGTGAAGCACCCAAGGGCTGACGAAAAGGCCCCGATGAGAGGCACCAAGGCACGGCTATAGGCTATATGGTGAGGATGGCAGGTAGTGCAGTGGGAATTAAGCTACAGCCCCACACTCGCCGCAAGTGACATGAGATGCTGGTAAGCGCAGCTGGCCAGGTCGGTAGGAGATACAGGTGACGACTGGTGCATTGGGCATTGAGATGTCTTGGCTGGAGCAGTGGCGAGCACAGGGCGGCGCAAGCAGTGCTGCTGGCTGCCACAACTGGACGGTGCATGCACAGCTGCTATAAACGCAGCACCAGTGCTTTGAGGCGCCCCTCAACTCGCACGCAGTGCAGATCGGATTCGGGACCGGACGAAACCCGAGCAGAGACTGGGTGTAAGTGTTCAGCATCTTGGCCTGTCCCAGTCTCAAGGTTAGGGTAAGCTGGTGGGCTGCAGAGGCTCGGTAGCGATTTCTTCCTGAGCATAATGTGCGTTGCATCCCCAGCTAGAGCAGCACCTCCAGTTAACTACTTGCCCAGTGATTGGCACTGTCTTACTGGCTACTGTGCGTCTGGCTGCCTGTGTATCACGATGCATGGCGATGCCTGAGCGTGCACGCCCTGCTGTGCAGCTTCTGTGCCATCTGACCCTGTACGCTGCCTCTCTCATAAGCCTTCTAGCTTATCATTTCCTTGTGGTAAGCTTTTCTCTCTCTATCGCTCTTACTCCGCATTCTCTCCTCTCAACGCTTTCTCACCCTCTTTTCCTGAGAACCCTTCTCACTTGGCCCGTTAGCCCTCTCCTCACATCTTTCCGCCCCTCCACACTTAAGCAGCGGCACACGCGGCAACGGATGCAGGCTTTTGAAGCGCCTCAGAAGGCACATCTTTCCGCACGCCTCCACACGTAAGCAGGGGAAGACACACGCAAGGGATGCGGACTGCACTGACATGCATGCACACAAATGCACATAGACACACACTGATACGCGTGCTGCATGCACGGGCGAGCGAGCGCGCGCACGCACACACACGCACAGGTACACACACACACACACACACACACACACACACACACACACGCGCGCGCGCGCGCGCGCGCGCACGCACGCACGCACGCACGCACGCACGCACGCACGCACGCACGCACACACACACAGGTACTTACACACACAAGCGCGCTCGCGCACACACACACTTACATGTGGACACACAGTAACACCCCACATCACTGCTTGCTGCACCCACCACCTCTGCATGCACATGCAAGAATGCAGAGGGAACGAAGGGATCAAGCATACTCCATCCAAGGACGCTTACTGGATCGTGTAGTGGGGGAAGTCGAGTGGATCAGCCGCAAAAAGCTGAGGAGAAGAAGAGAATGAAGGGAAAGTTGGGGCAAAAGAAATCGGAACCAGATGAAGAACGACAGATGGCAGACAAACAGGCGAACGACTTACCAAAAATTGTTGACTGAATGCCGCAGGCCCCTAATGCTGCTGCTGCTGTTGCTGCTGCTTCATCTGCTGCAGCAGCTGTGACGCAAGCTGCAGTGTCGCCTTGAACCTCTCATCCTGCATGTCAATACCTCCCCCTCCCACTCCTCCACCACCACCGCCTCCTCCCCCTCCTCCACCTCCTCCCCCTCCCCCTCCTCCACCTGCTGCTGCTGTTACTGCTGCCACGGCTGCTGCCGCTGCTCCCATGCTGCCACCTGAACCACCAGAACCACCTGAGAAACCACCTGAAGGAACAACTGAACCTGGCCCATAACCACCACCCGCCTGCTGCTGCTGCTGCTGCTGCTGCTGCTGCTGCTGCTGCTGCTGCTGCTGCTGGTAGAAAGGCTGCTGAGGAGGTAAAGGTGCTGAAGGCCCCTGCTGATTCCATTGAGGGGGGAACGAGGCCGCAACACCACCAGCACCACCAGCAGCGCCACCACCACCGCCACCATAACCTGCGCCACCACCCCCACCAGAACCACCACCACCACCAGCACCACCACCAGAAGCAGTTCCAACGGCCGAGCCATTCCAAGCAGCACCACCACCACCACCGGGACCACCACCACCACCACCACTGCTGCGATCACCAAAGGCTGGGCCCCTCATGCCACCACCAAAGCCAGAACCGTCAGTCTGCCCTTGCATCTGCTGCTGCGGTTGTTGCTGCATCTGCTGCTGCACCAGCTGCTGCTGCTGCTGCTGCTGCCGCCACTGCTGCTGTGGCTGCTGCTGCGGCGGGGGCAGTGGCGGCCCTTGAAAGGGCCCTCTGGGTGCAGGCCCAGGGAAACCGGCGCCAGGGAAGGGCGCAGCAGGAGCAGATGGGGGTAGAGGGCCCCCTGACGGCGCACCTGAGTGGCCACCTGAGAGGGCACCTGAAACGGCACCTGGAAGGTTACCTGGAGAAGCACCTGAGGGGTTGTCTGAAGAGGCGTTCCATCTGCTGGGTCGATTGCTCTGCCACTGACTACCATAACTGGAAGGCGGCTGTTCCTGTGCTTGCTGCTGCTGCTGCTGCTGCTGCTGCTGCGCCTGCTGCTGCTGCGCCTGCTGCTGCTGCATAGACTGGGGAGGCTGCTGCGGCTGCGGCTGCTGCTGTCCCAGCAGTTTACTAAGCTGAGCCAGCTGCTCTGGAGTGAACTGAGGAGGCGACACCGCCTGCTGCTGCTGCTGCTGCTGCTGCTGCTGCTGCTGAGGCGGGAGGGGAGGAAGAGGAGGGCCAGGAGGCCTCTGAGGAAACTGCCCCCCGACTGGGGGGGCAGGGGGGAGCGGAGGTGGCACTGAGGAGAAATCCCGCTTCATCCCACCCATGCCTGGGCCAGTAGGGAGGAAACTCATACCCATGCCGGGACCAGACGAGCCAGGCGCAGCAGAGGCAGGTGCGCTACCAGGTGCAATGGCATTGCCAGGAGTGGCACCAGCACCACCAGTGCCGGTGGCAGGAGCAGGGGATGCGGTCGGAACGTTCAGCTTCGGAAGCAGAGACGATAGAGACGCCAGGAGCTCAGGGGTGATCCCAGCAGGTAAACCCGCCCCAGAAAAACCTGCTCCAGTAGCACCCTGCCCTGCACCCGCCCCTGCCCCTGCCCCAGCTGCTGCTCCCTCGGCGCCTCCCCCAACCATACCCACAGGGGGGCGTATCAACTGAAGTGCCGCCGGGGGGATGGGGGAGGCAGAAGAACGGGCATTGGGAGGGACCGGGGGTGTGAAAGACGGAGGTTGGTAACCAGGTAACCCGGGACCTGCACCAGGGGCACGAGGCAAGGGAACCGCGGATGGGTGCATAGGTGCTTGCAAAGGCCTCTGGGGAGGCGAAAGAGGCTGGGCGGAAAGGCCTCCGCCCCCTTCCTGGGGCTGCTGCTGCTGCTGCTGCTGCTGCTGCCACCTAAACGACGAGGCTCCTGTCTGCTGCTGCTGCTGCTGCTGCTGCTGACCGGGGCCCTGCTGGTTGGGAGGCAAAGGAGGCCTCCCTGGTTGCCCTTGGTGCATCAGCCCTGCATGCGGGAGGGGAAGCGGGGGCCCCCGTGGAAGAGGACTGGCAGTAACCAGCCGTGGGGCGGAGCCCAAGGGAAGCGCTGGCGGAGCAAGAGCAGCAGGCGCAGCAGGAACAACAGGAGCAACGGGAGCAGAAAGCGCAGGAGGAGCAGCGGGAGCAGCGACGTTGAGGTAGACTCCGAAGAGTGAGTCATTCCTGGGCACTTGGAGGATGGAAACGGCGAAATCGGAGGGCGGGACGAGGAAGAGCGTAGAGCCGTCAGGCAGCTTGGCCACCCCTGCACGGCGCTTGTCCCCCAGGTACTGCACGAGGTCGTGGTACGGCGGCACGTCCGGCTGTGCCTCGGGGATTATTGCTACCACTCCGAAATCCGCTGCTGCCCGCACGTGCTTCGCGAGAGTGTCCAGTTCTGTGCGGGCGGAACAGTTTAAAACGTCCGGCCTGGGGGGAGGGGTAGCAGCAGAGGAGGGAGGGAGGGAGGAGAGGAAGGGGGGCGGAAACGGCAAAGTCAGAGGGAGGGACGAGGAAGAACGTGGAGCCGTCAGGCAGCTTGGCCACCCCTGCACGGCGCTTCTCCCCCAGGTACTGCACGAGGTCGTGGTACGGCGGCACGTCCTGCTGTGCCTCGGGAATGATGGCCACCACTCCGAAATCCGCTGCTGCCCGCACGTGCTTTGCTAGCGTGTCTAATTCTGTGCGCGCCGAGCAGTTTAAAACGTCCGGCCTGGGGGGAGGGAGAGTGGCAGAGGAAGGAGGGAGGGAGGGGAAAGGGGGGGGGGGGGACAAGAGGGAGCAATAACGGGAGGGGAGGGGAGGGGAGAGTGGGAGTGAGGGGAAGCGGGTTGGGAGGGCGTTTCTCCTCCAGGTACTGAACGAGGTCGTGGTACGGCGGCACGTCCGGCTGTGCCTCGGGGATGATCGCCACCACTCCGAAATCTGCCGCTGCCCGCACGTGCTTTGCGAGAGTGTCCAGTTCTGTGCGCGCCGAGTAGTTCAGCTTTTGAGTCGACTCAAAATGACTTTTGAGTCGACTCAAAAGTCAACCCGAGCAGTTCAGCACGTCCGGCCTGGGGGTAGAAGAGCAGGAGGAGAGGGAGGGAGAGAGCGGGGAATAGAGGAGGAAACAAGGCGGCACAAGGAGGGGAGGGGAGGGGGATGGAAGGAGGGGAGGAGAGTGGGAGTGAGGGAAGCAGGTTGAGTTGGGAGGGCGCTTCTCCCCCAGGTACTGCACGAGGTCGTGGTAGGGCGGCACGTCCGGCTGTGCCTCGGGGATGATTGCCACCACTCCGAAATCCGCCGCTGCCCGCACGTGCTTTGCTAGCGTGTCTAGCTCCGCGCGGGCTGAACAATTTAGCACATCCGGCCTGGGGGATGGGAAGAGAGGGGAAATGGGGCGGAAACAAGACCACACGAGGAGAGGAGGGGCGGGGAAGGGAGGAGGGGAGAGTGGGAGTGAGGGGAGCAGGTTGAGATGAGAGGGCGTTTCTCCCCCAGGTACTGCATGAGGTCGTGGTAGGGCGGCACGTCCGGCTGTGCCTCGGGGATGATCGCCAACTCCGAAGTCTGCTGCTGCCCGCACGTGCTTCGCGAGAGTGTCCAGTTCTGTGCGGGCGGAGCAGTTTAACACGTCCGGCCTGGGGGGAGGGAGCGCGGCAGAGGACGGAGGGAGGGAGGGAAAGGGGGGCGGAAACAAGAGGGAGCAAGAACAGGAGGGGAGGGGAGGGGAGGGGAGAGTGGGAGTGAGGGAATCGGGTTGGGAGGGCGCTTTTCCCCCAGGTACTGCACGAGGTCGTGGTAGGGGGGCACGTCCGGCTGTGCCTCGGGGATGATGGCCACCACTCCGAAATCCGCTGCTGCCCGCACGTGCTTTGCCAGCGTGTCCAGTTCTGTGCGGGCGGAGCAGTTTAACACGTCCGGCCTGGGGGGAGGGAGGAAGGGAAGAGAGGGAAAACCGGACGGAAACAAGACCACGCGAGGAGAGGAGGGGCGGGGAGGGGAGGAGGGGAGAGTGGGAGTGAGGGGAGCAGGTTGAGTTGAGAGGGCGCTTTTCCCCCAGGTACTGCACGAGGTCGTGGTAGGGGGGCACGTCCGGCTGTGCCTCGGGGATGATGGCCACCACTCCGAAATCCGCTGCTGCCCGCACGTGCTTTGCCAGCGTGTCCAGTTCTGTGCGGGCGGAGCAGTTTAACACGTCCGGCCTGGGGGGAGGGAGGAAGGGAAGAGAGGGAAAACCGGACGGAAACAAGACCACGCGAGGAGAGGAGGGGCGGGGAGGGGAGGAGGGGAGAGTGGGAGTGAGGGGAGCAGGTTGAGTTGAGAGGGCGCTTCTCCCCCAGGTACTGCACGAGGTCGTGGTAGGGCGGCACGTCCGGCTGTGCCTCGGGGATGATGGTCTAGCTCCGTGCGCGGAGTTTTTGAGAATTCTCAAAAACTCCGCGCTGAGCAGTTCAGCACATCCGACCTGGTGAAGGGAAGAGAGGGGAAATGGGGCGGAAACGAGGGATAGGGGACCGGGAGTGGTGGAACCAGCATGTCGTAGCCTTTCCAAGTTCCAACTGTGTCTAGCTCCGTGCGCGCTGAGCAGTTCAGCACATCCGGCCTGGGGAGACAGGAGAGCGAAGAGAGGAACCAGTTGTGATGGTTGGAGAAAAATGTGAAACGTAAAAAACAAACAAACAACCAAAAAAACGACTGCATGCTCACACAAAATCGCCAGCCGAGTCAGAATCACGGATTTTCGTTCGTGTTGAGAGTCACACAACATACATGGGTGCAGAGATGACTTTTGAGTCGACTCAAAAGCCACCTCGTTTTGAGTCGATTCAAAAGTCACGGATTTTCGTTCGTGTTGAGAGTCACTCAACATACATGGGTGCAGAGATGCCTGGACCGATGGGAATCGCCCGCGCATGGCACACGAGAATCCCCCCCTTAGCCAACGTCCCCTTCCAATGCGACCCCGCGCCACCCGAACCACCAACCGCCCGAGCCAGTCCTCCAGGCATGGAACCAGGTCCGGGAGGAGGCATGGGGCCGGGAAGAGCGCCAGGCAAGCCCGGACGGACCAGCATGGGAGGTTCGGTGACGGAAGAAACAGCAGAACCAGCAGGAGAGACAGCTGGGGGCACAACAACATCCCAGCCACTGCTTCTGCGGCTAGGAGGGCCATGCAGTCCGTGAGAGGGAGGGGGATGAGAGTCACGAGGAGGAGGATGAGACGGGCCATGAGGAGGAGGCAGAGGGCCCCCTTCGCGGTCATCGTAAAAGCGGCCGCGGTTCTCAGCAGAGTCAAACTGGCCGTCCACTCGTGGACGCTTGGAGTCATACCCCCGCTGCCACCCCCTCCCATCCCTCTCGTCTCTCTCATCCCACTCATCCCTCTCATCCCACCCATCCCTCTCGTCCCGCCAGTCCCTATCGTCTCTCTCCCAGTCCCTCTCCCTGCCCCTATCCCACTCCTCCCTCTCCCTCTCCCAATCCCTATCCGCCCAGCCTCGGCCCTCTCCTCGCCCTCGTCCTCGTCCCCCTCCTCTCCCGCCTCCTCTCCCTCCTCTCTCAGGCCCACGGGGGGGTGAATCCCAAGCCCCATCACCATCCCCCTCCTCCCACCCTTCCCTACCTCTCCCTCCTCTGCCTCCCCTCACCCTCCTCCCCTTCCCCTTCCCCCTCCCTCTCCCCCGACCACCGTACTCCCTATCCCCTCCAAAACCCCGATCCACCTCATACAAACCCCCAGAAACCCCCCCACCGCCCGTCCCTCCTCCCTGCCTGCCCCTCTCGCCAAACCCCTCCCCAGCTGCCGCTCCTGCTGCAGCACCTCCTGCACCGCCTGCTGCACCGCCTGCTGCTGCAGCAGCAGCAGGGGAGGAGAAGGGCGGGTCTGCAGCGTGCATAAACGCAAACTCGCTCTTAGAATACCGAATGTGCACGCGCTCGTCGTTAAACAACACGTGGTCCAGTGCACGGATCGCATTCGTCGCCTGCTCGCACGTGCCCATCTCCACAAACGCGTACGTGCGCCCCGGGAACGTCTTGATGCGCCGAATCTGCCCGTGCTGGGAAAAGGCCGCGTGGAGCCTCTCCTCTGTGACTGTGAGCGTGCTCGGAAACCCCACCCACAGAATCTCGCTGGGAGACCCATCCCCTCCCCCTCCCCCTCCCCCCCCCACCACCTCCTCTACCACCACCACCGCCGCCGCCGCCGCTACCCCCTCCTCCTCCTCCGGCATGCGGGCCTGATTTCGCAAACTCCACTCGGAACACCCCACCGTCGCCCGTGCGGACGTTGTTGATGGAGGCCACGGCGGCCTGGGCGTCGTCCTCAAAGCGGTAGTCCACGAAGGCGCAGGCGCGGTCGGGGTGGAAGCGCAGGTCCTCGATGGGGCCGAACCGCCGGAACTCCGCGTCAATCTCCTCGGGGATTACATGCGCCGGCCCCCACCCCACCCACACCACCCTCCGCACGCCTCCCCGTGGCCGATCTGGGCGCTCCTTCTCTTTCGATTGAGTAGCTGGTGGCGGCTGCAGTGGATAACGCAGAGCAGGGAGGCAGACAAATAAACCAATAATTGAGTATGGTACAACAGGCCCAGGTGCGTCGATCTCCTCGGGCACCACGTGCGCCGGCCCCCACCCCACCCACACCACCCGCCGCACCCCCGCCGCCCCCGGCCACTCCTTCTCCTTGGGCTGACTGGCTGGTGGCGGCTGCAGTGGTGAAAGCAGGGGAGAGAAGGAAATGAATGATCATAGAGGCTTGATTATGGGGCAACTGGCCCAGGTGCACGTGCGTTGCCCTCCGAATGCAATCCACAAACAGCAGGCAGGCGCAGTAGGAGTGAAAGTGTGAATCTGCTGGTGGAGGAGAGAGACCCCTCACCTGCGGCCCGCTGCCAGTGGACCTCTTGGTCTATCTACATGATACCCCTTGGTTACACCTTCCAGCAGCAGCACTTTCAAGTCGACTGAGGTATAAAACGCCTGCTTACCTGTGGCGCCCCTCCACCCGCCGTTGACCCCTTGGCGTGCGTCGCACGAGAACTCCATTTTCATCTACAGATTTCTCTAGTCGACGGACATCATTGAGGCGCCTCAAATTTTTCTCTAGTCGACCGACATCAAAAGGCCTGCTTACCTGTGCCGCCCCACCGCCCAACGTTGACCCCTTCGCATACGCGAATTCCACTTTCAGCGGCAGCAGGCCCGGGCACAGCGGCTTCTGACATTTCAAAGACAAAAAAGAAAAAAGCAAATAAAAAATGAAATTACCTGTGCCGCCCCGCCGCCCGCCGTTGACCCCTTGGCATACGCGAATTCCACTTTCAGCGGCAGCAGGCCCGGGCGCAGAGGCTTCCCCGCCAGCACCCGCCTCGCCTCGCTGGCCTGTGCTGACGTGGCCATGTCCACGTAAGCAAACTCTCTCTGGTAAAGAATCGCGAGGCCTTCCACCTGGCCAAAGCGGCCAAACGCGTCTGACAGCTCACGCTCGGCAATATCGAGGGTCACGTTGCCCACCCACAGCTGCCTCGCCTCTCGAGGCCCCTTGCTCTTCCCTGCCTCTCCCGCTCCCCCTCCCCCTCCTCCCCTTCCCCCTTCCCCCCCTCCTCCTTCCGCGCCTCCGCTCCCTCCTCTTCCCCCGCCTCCCCCGCCTCCTTCTCCCCTTCCCCCCGGTGACACTCCCGATTTCATAACCTGCCTCTCGCGTTCCAGCCGCTGTTGATCCTGCTGTTGCGTCAGCTGAGACTGCAAGAACTCGTCAAGCGGCAGTTGCTGTTGCTTATCCCGTTCTTGATCAGACTCATTGTTTTCGCCCCCACCAACTTCTTTCTCCCCACCCCTCTCCCTTTCTTTTTCTCTATCCCTGTCCCTGTCCCTGGAATGACTCCTGTCCCTTTCTCGCTCCCTCTCCCTCTCCCGGCTAGTCTCCCTCTCCCTCTCTCGGTCCGAATCTCTCTCCTTCAAATCCCGATCGCGTTCCCTCTCACCACGATCCCTCTCCTTGTCCCCTTCCCAATCCTTGTCTCGATCCCTTTCTCTCACCCTATCTCTATCCCGATCCCGCTCCCCGGACCTGTCCCGGTCCCTATCTCGGTCTCGTTCGCGCTCTCTATCCCAGTCCCAATCCCGGTCTCGATCCCGTTCTCGATCCCACCGGTCTCGGTCGGCGTGATTGTCATCCTGGACATACGAAGAAAAGGAAGAAATGCTAATGAAATCTCTGCATTTTCCGCGATTTAAGAATCACTGACGTGATTTGACGCGATTTAACGATGCCAGATAGAGCGAATCGGAAGAAAGAGCAGCGACAAAAAAATACCCCGCTGATATGAAAATAACCGGAAACCCGGATTAGGGGAAAAATACAAAATTGATTTGACACCCGTACCAAGCTTACTTTAGTGTCTACATAAAATCTTCTTATACGTTCTCAACCGTACAGAGACCATTGATACCCTCGATTCCACTAGAACAATGAGAGGCCATTACCTAACAAAAAATATTCAAGAAAAAAAAAAAAAACAATTAACGCCATTCATGAACTTCTCTACTTCGACAGAGACCGTTGATACCTGCGATGCGGAACGTCTCTGCATGACGTACAAAGCTTCTTCGCGATCCAAAAACGAACGTTACGGGGGACTGTTGGTGGGAGTAAGGTTGTACCTAAGAGCATCAGCTATTACAATAATCGGAGACGAGATCAGGAAACCTAGAATGGCTTCTACTTGCGACTCGCATCGCATCTCCAAAACAAGGCTCAAGGAAAAAACCCTGGGATCTCCCATCTAGGCCTTGGGCTCTTCGCAGCCGAAGAACTTCTAGAGCCTTCTCGATATGGTCGTATCTTTTAATTAACATGTTCTACACCACCCGACGACGAAACTCTAATAGCACTTTCGTTATCTCTGTCCATGTATTATACCGTAATGGCCTTGAATGGCTTTGTCAACCTTTCACATGTCAATCCACAAACCACGACAAAATCATCAACCCATACCTATCTATCTACACAACCTTGCTAGGAAATTGTCAACGTCACATTTCCCCTCACAGGCGCAACCTTTTCCCCTTGGCTTCCATCCGCGTATGCAAATCGAGATTCCTCCATAGAGCCCGAGCCAGCAGCTTCACCATCGGATGACACGTGGCGGCAGCAGCGGAGGGTTTTGAGAAACCTCAAATATCACAAGAGCAGCCTTTTCTCCTTGGCTTCCATTCGTGCATGCAGATTGAGATTCTTCGATAAAGCCCGAGCCAGCAGCTTCACCATAGGAGGGCACGTAGCGGAAGCAGCGGTGGCGCGAATTGTGCGGGAAGCTCCGGTGTCGGAGAGAAGGTTGATGTGGTGGGCGGTGTGGCGGGCATCGGGCATGGTGAGTTGCATGAGGGCAAAGGCTGCACAGGCGCGCAGAGAGGGGGAGGAGCTTCGTAGCATGGCGACAAAACGAGCGATCTCGGCCGCACTGCACCTGAGCAGCCCCGCCTCCTGAATGCGACAGTTCTGGGAAAATTCCATCAATGCAGCATCATCTGCTGCTGCCAGCTGTGCTCCCAGGTGCCGCGTGAACCCCGCCGACATGGGCGGTGGCAGATCTCCTGAACCGGCACCTGAAGAAAATCCTGAAGCGCCGGACGGCCCAGCAGCAGGGGAGTTGAAAGTGCGGGTACAAGCAGGGCCGTTCCGAGCCGCAGAGCCAGGTGTGGCCGAGCCTGTGGCTCCTCCACCCAGCGCCGAACCATCCTCTTCCTCATCAGAGTCTAATTCAATCGCTCTTCTCCTTCTTCTTCTCCCTCGCCCCCTCCCTGCCCTTCTGCTTCTGGTTGCTGCAGCTGTCCCAGGCAACCCATCCCCCTCATTTTCCTCCGCCTCTTCCTCCCCTTCCTCCTCCTCCAATGCCGAAGCTCTCCTCTTTCTTGACCCTCCCGCTCTCTGCCTGCTCCCTCTGCTCCGAAACTCCCCTTCCTCCTCTTCCTCCATCGCCCTCCTCCTCTCCCGCTCCCTCTCCCTCACTCTCTCCCTCGCCCGCTCTGCCTCCTCGCGTTCGTGCAGGAAGCATCTGAGAAACCACTCAATGACGTGCAGACCAAGATTCTGCTGCAACTGCAAGGTTAGAGGGTATTCCAGATCAGGTGCTACTGCTTCCGCCGCTGCCAACATCTCTGCATCTTTGCTGCAAGACGGAAAACGAGCGGGAGTAGGAAGGAAAGCAGCTGAGAAACCACTCAATGACATCCAGACCAAGCTCCTGCTGCAGCTGCAAGGTTAGATAAAAATGTCCTGGAGCCTCAAACGGTTTTGCTGCAAGCCGGGAAGGGAGGGGTGATAATATGCGGGGCATGCAGCGGAGAGAAGTATCGAGGGTTGTAGAGTAGAGCTGCGGAAGCACGCATGCGGTGTGCAGAAGAGGGACAGAAGAAGCAAGCAAATATGTGCGAGAGAGTGGATGGAAGCACATCATCTGTCACACACACAGACATTTACTTTACCTGCCATCGCACATGTATGCGAGAGCAAGAGACGCCATGAATCCAGCCATGGGAGAGGATTGCCAACGAGCACCGTCGGCAGGAGAACGAGCAGCAGCGGCAGTAGGTAGGGGTACCGAGGAATCATCTCACACAAATAGGTGCTTACCTTCCATCGCACATGTATGCGAGAGCAAGAGACGCCATGAATCCAGCCATGGGAGACGAAATCCAACGGGCACCGTCGGCAGGAGAACGAGCAGCAGCAGCCGTAGCAGCAGCATCGGCATCGGCAACAGCAGCACGGACAGCAGCGGCAGTCGCAGCAGCACCAGCACCGGCAGCATTGGCAGCAGCGACAGCTCGAAGCGCAGCCGCTGTTGCTGCATCAGCAGCAAAGAGGTTACGGTTGTTGGGTAAAAGAGGATGGGGAGGGAGCGTGCGGGCAGGGGGAGGAGGAGCGGGCTGCGGCAGCAGCTCATACCAGGCAAAGCCATCAACAGTAGCAACAGCAGCACCAGCACGACCAGTAGCAGAACCACCAGCAGCACGACCAGCAGCGGCACCGGGAGCACCAGCAGGGTTTGATGAGGATGGAGAGGTGTGGGCAGTGGTGGTGCTTCTAGGTGTGGTGGCAGAGGAGGGAGAGTGGGAGCAGGAGGGGGAGGAGGGGGCTGAGGAGAAGTGGTCAAGGGCGGTGGGCGGCAGGGAGGCAGAAATGATTGCGCCCATGATGGGCACGCCACTGTTCACGAGAATGCGGGCGGCGTTGCCTGGATGGAAGGCTAGATTCCAAAGCGCGCCAGTGGCAGTCTCTTGAACCTCCTGTGGGCAAAGTGAGGGACGATGGATGGGAAGGGATGGGGCACGATGGGAGGGAACGAAGTTGGTCCAAAAACCGTTCATAACAAACTGCACTGCACTGCACTGCACTGCACTCATCCATAATCCCCATGCTACACCCTCGCCCCCCCTCGGCAACATTACTGGCTCATCCACTACCCCCTCACCCCATGCTACAGCTGCAGCACGCACCTTCTTGCGTGACTGGGCAAGGCTGAGCAAAGTCTCCACCCCACCCGCCCGACCAATCGCCACACTGCATGGGGCCACACAACATCCCCACACCCCCCACATCCCCATGCTGCACTGCATCCCCATTACCTCCTCACCCCATGCTACAGCTGCAGAACGCACCTTCTTGCGTGACTGGGCAAGGCTGAGTAAAGTCTCCACCCCACCAGCCCGGCCGATGGCCACACTGCACGGGGGCACAGCGCAGCAACGGGAGGAATCAGAGAGAAAAATAAGCTTGATAAGAGCAACATGGGAGAACATAAGAGCATAGTAAGTACTAAGCAAGCAGGAACACACCTGTTGACCTCACCGCCCAGCTGCCTCGTGCACAGTGAAAGGGCAGGGCAACCAGTACCGATTCAAAACGCACCTGTTGGCTTCGGAGACAGAGAGGCCCCATAGGGCACCTGCTGCTCGCTCCTGGGTGTCCTCTTCCGCGCCGGGCAAACACGATTCCTGCGCCAGGCGAACCAACGCTTCCACCCCCCCAGCTGCTGCTGTTATCGGGCGGGCACAGGGCACCAACCAGTACTGACTCAACACACACCTGTTGGCTTCAGACACAGACAGGCCCCATAGAGCACCGGCGGCTCGCTCCTGCGTGTCCTCTTCTGCACCGGGTAGGCACGACTCCTGCGCCAGGCGAACCAACGCCTCTACCCCCCCAGCTGCTGCGATCGCCTCCCTGTTGCCGTCGTGGAATGATAGATTCCATAGCGCGCCTGCTCCCTCTTGCCTGTGATGTGATATGGGGGGTGGGGAAGAGGTGAGAGGAAAGAAGGAAACGACCAAAGTTTCCACCCCCCAGCTGCTGCGATTGCCTCCCTGTTGCCGTCGTGGAATGATAGAGTCCATAGCGCGCCTGCTCCCTCTTGCCTGTGCCGTGGGAGAGATGTGTAAAAAAGAGGAGAAAGAGAGGGACGGGTGGAGCGGAGAAAGGGATGACATTCAGAGTTTGATGCTCTAGCTGCTGCTGCGATTGCCTCCCTGTTGCCGTCGTGAAATGATAGATTCCATAGCGCTCCTGCTCCCTCTTGCCTGTGATGTGCGGACGGGGAGGGAGAGGAGAGAAGAGAAGACATGGGTTGGGATTCAGGGATGGGTGCTCTAGCCGATGCTGCTGCTGCGATCGCCTCCCTGTTGCCGTCGTGGAATGATAAGTTCCAAGAGCCAGGTTAGCAAGAGCCCAGGCGGCCTGCTCTAACTCAAGGTTGTGGCCTGCTCTAGCACCCCACCAAGTCACACCCCACCCACCTTAAGCTTTCGTTCGGTAACTGCAACAAAGCAACCAGCGCGGGGATGGCAGAAGGCTCCGCCCCAACAGCAGCAGCGTTGCGGTTGCAGTCACCATGAGCAGCAAGGTTTGCGAGGGCCCTGGCAGCCTGCTCTAGCACGAGGTCGTGGGGGTTAGCAGGTGCGCTTGCAGTTGCAGCGAGGTCGTGGCGGCACCCCACCAGCACACGCACCAGCGCTGCCACCCCTCCCCTCTCCACTATGGCCGTGCTGCACCCGTCGTCCACCGCTAGGTTTGCCAGGGCACCCGTCACCCGCTCCTGTTGACAGGGGAGAAGAGGGTAGGACAAGGAGGAGGGGAAGGAGGGGGCGGGGGGGTGGGGGGGAGGAGAGGGATTGGAGCACGAGGTCGTGTTGGCACCCCAGCAGCACACGCACCAGCGCTGCCACCCCTCCCCGCTCCACTATGGCCGTGCTGCACCCGTCGTCCACCGCTAGGTTCGCCAGGGCGCCCGTCACCCGCTCCTGAGCACAGGGAGAGAGGAGGGGGGGCAGGGGGGGTGGGGGTTGAAACAGAGAAAGGGGGTCAGGGATTGACAGAGGAATAGCTGTTGTGGTTGCAGTCTCTGTGTGCTCCCTCCCTGGCGGCCTGTTCGAGCACGAGGTCGTGGCGGCATCCCAGCAGCACGCGCAACAACGCCCCCACCCCGCCCCGCTCCACTATGGCCGTGCTGCACCCGTCGTCCACCGCTAGGTTTGCCAGGGCACCTGTCACCCTCTCCTGTCCATTTAAAAGAGGGGGGAAGAGGGGGGAGGAAGCAGCACGGGAAGAACAATTTGCCACTAGTATGGCTGTGCTGCAACCATTATCCAGCGCTATCATCTGCTCGTGACCATATGAAGGGTAGGAAAGAGGGGAGGAGGAAAGGGATGAGGGGAGAAGAGAGAACAGTGACGGGGAGCCAGGAGGGAAGGTTGGACAAAGCGGGAGGGATTGATAAAATGACAGAAGGGGGCAAACCCGGAACACATACATTGCACGCTATGAACAGCCAAACAATGGAGGAGGGGGAAGGGTCACGTCACGAGGGGAGAAGAGAAGGAGTCAATGAAGATTCATCAAGAGAAGCAAAGAGAGAAAGAGAGGACGACAGGGTGATGAGGAGGCTTGGAGAGGAGGAGGGTCGGAGGATAGGAGGAGAGGAGGGTGCGAGGACTCACGAGGACACTGTCCCCTGGGAGGCCAAAAGTAGGAGGAGGAGAGGTGGCCATGAGATCAACCAGTGTGGCGATGCCCCCTGCCCGCATGATGTACGCCTGAAAGGGGAACAGGGAGGGGCAGGGGGGGGCAGGAAAAGGCTATTACATGAATTTGCGGTGGCCGTGAGATGAGATGAGATCAACCAGTGTGGCGATGCCCCCTGCCCGCATGATGTACGCCTGACGGGATGGGAGTGAAGGGGAAGGGGAGGAGAAAAGATGATTCTCCTTCTGAGTTGTTTTGCTTTGAAGGAGGAGCAGTGGCCATGAGGTCAACCAGTGTGGCGATGCCCCCCGCTCGCATGATGTATGATGATTCTCTTGTACCACTTATGGACTTTCTGAAAGGTAGACATCAAACCCACACCCACCCACCTTGTATTCGTCAACTGATAGGTTCCAGAGCGCCCCTGCAGCAGCTTCAGCTATACAGCCGTTGGAGTGCGCGAGGAGTGTTAACCTTTCGTGTCAAGTTGACACTGTCAACTCACGAGTCACTGCAATGACCCACCCACCTTGTACTCATCCACTGATAGGTTCCAGAGCGCCCCTGCAGCAGCCTCGGCGATACAGGCGTTGGAGTGAGCGAGGAGGGATAGCAGCACGCCCACTCCCCCCACCCTCACCACCTCCTTTGCCAAGTCCGCACTCACTGACAGATTCGCCAGGGCCTGGTGTGAGGGGAGGTGGAGGGGGAAAAGGGAGGGGACGGGGTGGATTGAAAGGGTGTTTAGTTTTGTAACTGTCAGCATGTCCATACAACAACCCCATTCACACCCTAACTGACTTTTGAGACGTCTCAAAAGTCAGCATGTCCGTACAACAACCCCATTCACACGCTCACACCCTCACTGCCACATACAAGCCCTCACCCTCCTCACACACCTTGGTTGCTTCGAACCGCGGCCCCTCGGGCCCGTGCCGGCCTGCCATGTGAACCAGCACCTCCACTCCGCCGCCTCGCATAAACGCACTCACCCGCCCACTGCTCCCCCCCTCCCCCACTCCCCCGCTCTCACCCATCACCATATCCCACCTGTCCCCCTGTCGCCCTGCCCTTCCCCTTCCTTCCCCTCCTCCCTCTCCTCCTCCTCCGGCCCCTCCCGCTACTCTCCACTCCCCTGCCCCCACCCCACCGCCTCCCCCCACTCTCCCTCCTGCTCCTCTCCCTCCCTGCCCTGCTCCCACCTCTCCCTCCTCCTCTTCCTCCACCTCCACCTCCACCCCCTCCAACTCCTCCTCCTCGAATCCAGCCCCAATAGAGTCAGCGACAACAAAGACTCCCACAGTGGCCGCTGCTCTCTCCCGCACCTCCTGCTGCCTGCTCTGCAGCAGCAGCAGCACTGCCGGAACGCCCTGACTCACCCAGAAATCCTCCCTCGCCTCCCACCCTCTACCTAACCCTCCTCCCCCTCCTCCTGCTGCTTCCCCTCCTCCTCCTTCTCCTTCCCCTCCCCCTCCTCCTCCCCTCTCTCCCACCCCCCCTTCCCCACCTCTCACCCCCCCTCCTGCCCCATCCGCCCCTCGCCTTCCTCCTTCCGCCCCTCCCAGTTCCCCCCGTCCCCTTCCCCCTCCCCGTCTCACTCCCCCCCAGCCCTCTCCCCACCCCATTGGCTCCAACCTCTCAGCCAATGAGTGCAGAGCTCGCACCAGAATCAGCTCCGTCCAATCAGAGAGCTCCACGCAGGCACTGCGGGGCCCACCGCCGCCCAGAGCTCTGGTGATGTGGAGCACGAGTGCTCTGACCTGGCTCTCTTCCGACGCAGCAGCGCTCTCTTCTGAAACAGAAACGCCCTCTGCGGATGGGCCTGAGAACATGGGCGTGTGAGTAGTTTCCTCCTCCCTCGCTGGCGTGCTTGCTGCTGCTGCTGCTGCTGCTGCTGCTGCTGCTGCTGCTGCTGCTGCTGCTGCTGCTGCTGCTGCTGCTGCTGCTGCTGCAGTTGCTGTTGCAGCCGCAGCTGCTGCTGCTCTTTCTGCTCCTCTTTCTGCTGCTCGTGCTGCTGCTGCTGCTCCTGCTGCTGCTCCTCCTGCTGCTGGTGCTGCTACTTGTGGTGCTGCCTCTTCATCTGCCGCTCCTCTTCCTCCCCCTACCCCTCTTCCCCGTCCTCTCCCTCGACCTCCACCTCTTCTACCTCCAGAGGCAGCAGTTGTAGCAGCAGCTGTAGAAGCAGCGGCGGCTGTAGCAGCAGCGGCGGCGGCGGCGGCAGCAGCTGTAGCAGACCTAGTTTGCCGTCCAGAGGGAGTCTGACGTGTGGCGGCTGCTGAGCCTGCTGCTGGTGTTGCTGCTGATCCCGCTGGTCGTGCTCCTGCTGCTGCTGTCGCTGGTGTTGCAGCTGCTGCTGGTGTAGCTGCTGCTACTGGTGTGCCTACAGATGGCACTGCTGATGATGCCCCTGCAGCAGGAGTGGCCACCGTTGCTGCTGCGGCAGACATGCTAGCATTTCTAGATCTGACATTCCCATTCCCAACCTCTGCCCCAGGCTCGGCAGCTCCCGAGCCTGCCACAGGGCGTGTTGCTGGTTGCCGAGGCTGGTAGAAACTCCATAGGCAGGAGGGGTCGCTGCAGGAAAGGGCAATCGCGAGGAGAGCCAGACGAAGGTCGCCGTACCGGAATAGCAAAAGACAGGGCTTGCTAGGCATTTTGATGGCCTCGTGAAAGGTCTCCAGCTCAGGACAGCTGAAAGCAGCTACCAATAGGATGGAGGGAGATGCTAAAATAATATTGACAGCTTCGGGAGAGATGTCCGAACGTGACACGTCTATGGCTCGCAGGTTCGGCAACCGAGCCACTTCCGAAGCTGCCCGATGCCAGGACATGTCCGAAGCTGCCCGATGCCAGGACACGTCCGAGCCTGACAGGGACAGATACCGGACCTGCTGAAGCAGCGCCAAGCCTCCCCGATCCTCAAACCTGACACAGTTAACGAGCGAGAGATTGTATAGCCGCGGGCAGTGGCGTGCAAGGGCAGCAAGGCAGGCCAAATCAACTCTCCGTAGTCCGTTTAAATGGAGATCCTCTAAAAGCGGACAGGACTCTGCCAGCACGCAGATCGCGTCAGGAGACAGCCTCTCGCAATGGGAGAGCGACAGCTGGCGCAGGCGCGCGTGGCGGCCGAGGATAAGCCCGAGGGACGCGTCAGAAAGATCGGAGCATGAGTCAGCACAGAGGTGCTGGAGGGACGAGCCTGGGGGAGAGGCATGGCCCAAGCCTGATGACGAGCCTCGGGCAGAGCCTCGGAAAGAGGTCCAAGGAAAGGTTTTAGAAGAGCCCTCACAACCTCGCATGCTGGTGGTTGTTGTGCCGGTTCCACGCGTGCCCCTGAATGGGTTTCCTGTGCCGGTGCTACTGTTGTTGCTGCCACTGCCACCGCCCCTATCAGGTCCAGTAGCGTTCACACCAGCAGCACCAGCAGCAGCAGCAGCACTCCCCGCGTTAGCACCAGAACCCAACCCAGCCGCAGCAGCAGCAGCAGCAGGAGAAGGAGGAGGAGGAGCCGCAGCGCTAGCAGAAGCGCCACCAGCAGAGACCCCAACACCTTCGCCAGCACGAGCAACCCCGGAAGAACCTTCCAAAACCTCTCCACACCTGTCAAACCTCCCAAACCCAGCAGCAAGCCTAGCCACCGCTCGGAGCGACTCCGCCCCCTTCACATGCACGCGAGTCAACGCCCCTGCGCACCTCACAGCAAGAGATTCCGCAGCAGCGGCTGTGAGAGGGGGGTAGCAGCGGAGATCTAGGGTTGTCCAGAGGGAGGGGGCGAAGGAGAGGTGGCACCAGGAGGAGCAGGCGCAGGATGCTCGAGCGAGGTCCCGGAAGGCAAGGAGGGAGAAGATTCGGAGGGTGATTTCGGCTGGGAGGGAGGTCCAGTCTGGGGGGTGTTCGCGTGCTGGGTGATCCTGCTGCTGCTGCTGCTGCTGCTGCTGCTGGGCTGCTGGTTTGTTGTTTGGTGTGGAAGGTGGTGCTTCTGTGGCTGGGTGATGCTGGCTGGTGCCGGCCTGTTGTTGCTCTTTCTGCTTCTGCTTCTTCTGCTTCTGATGCTGCTGCTGCTGCTTCTCTTCCACATTCTGCTGCTGCGCCTGCTGCTCCTGTCGGCCCTGCTCTGCCTGCTCCTGCTCTTTCCCAACCCCACCTTCTTCCTCCTCCTCCTTCTCCTCCTGAGAGCCGTGCTGCTGCTGCTGCTGCTGCTCCGAATGTCCCTTCTCTCGCTGCTGTCGCCGCTGCTGCTGCTGCTGCTCCCTCTCCTCCTCTTCCTCCTCCTCCCCATCCTCGTCACCCTCCTCCTCCTCGTCCACCAATTCTAACACCTCCTCACACCTTTCCACCATATTAATCTCCTCTCCACCATTCTCTAATAACCCTACCCCCTCATGCATGCCCAGCTGACCTACCTTCTCAACCACCCCATCCACTCCCTGTTCTTCACTCCCCTCCTCTCCTCTTTCTGTCATATCCATCGGCCAAAACACCGCCTCTCCTCCGCCTCCTCCGCCTGCCACGTCAGCAATCCCCGCTTCCGCCTCTGTCTCCGCCGCTACTGCGTCCAGCCGCGCGAAAACCGCGCTCACCCCGCGCTCACCCCTCCCAGCATGGCGCGCGGAAACAGCGCTCACCCCGCGCGCGCGACCAGCAATACCTCCGCCAGCGCTTGCGCCGGCGCCAGCGGAAGAGCCGCTTTGGTGCCGAGCTAGCGCGGATGACGCGCGGGCTTCCGCGGACAAGGCGGGAACTTCCGCCGGCGAGCGCGGAGCGACTGCGGCGGAGGAACTTGGCGCGGAATCGGGGGTGAAGCGAGCGGATGCGGAAGAGGACGCGGAGGAGGGACCGGGAGGCGGATCTTCCGCGGAGACTTCGAGCAGGGGGGGAAGCGCGAGCGAGTTCCGCGATCCTGCGCGATGAGCGGTGGTGTCGGCATCGGCTAAGGAGGGATGCAGAAGGGTAACGTCGGAAGAAGTCACAGAGGCAGTCGCCGGAGTCGCAGCGGGATTCGCAGGAGTCACAGAACAAGTCGCAGCGGTAGGACTCGCCGTAGGCACGAATCTGACGGTTCCCCCTGGAGTATCCGCGGAAGCTGAACGACCTCCTACCGTCCGTCGCGATCGGCCTCTCTGACTGACAGGTGTCACCTCCTCATTGGTTGCAGCTGCAACGGCGCCTGAAACCTCCACGTCAGGGGTAGCGCTGGTTCCTCCCGTCCGTCGCCTCGTCCGTCTCGTCATGTCGCAGTCGCAATCACCTTCGCAAAAGCGCCTTGCGAAACAGCGAAACTGAAGCGAAGTTCGCTGACCAGTTCATGCAGATTAGAAGAACCACGGAGAGGAGTTGAAAGAAACTCATACTATCATGGCTGGAACGCGGAGAAGGGCCGACAACACTGACAGGAGCTGGATGCCTCCTTTTTCTTACAGGCGTGCAATAACGGTTGCTGAATGCGAAGCCGATCGCTTGCTAGGACGTCGATGCACTTATGTTCCTACCTAAACCGACATCTCCGCGTCAGCACGGAAGGCGCAGGAGCATCTCTGGATGCAGGAGCACCTAATAAAAAACAGACGTCTCTGGTGTAAACGGTCTGTACCGATGAGGAACCAAGCTTTACTGGCTGGGATTGCACGGGAGGAAACGTGAGCCTCATGACGAAGAATGAGAAATCGTGATACAACTGTACAATGTATCAGCTTTTATGCAGTGCCTTTGCCGATATACAGATTGATTGTGCTGGTTTGCTGGATCTGAATGTGGATCTGAGTTTATTACAGGTTTTGCTTCAGTTTTCTAACCTATACAAGCAATTTTATGTTTCAGACTTTGATAATACAAGAGAAAAAGATGTAAGATTTCTACTGGCTAGCTTCGTAGCAGAGTGATATAGGCAAGTAATCTCAATTAATAATTTCTTTGAATATCTCTCAGAATTAATGAATGTGTGTCATTTTTGTAGTATGTACCAGCCATATAAGATATGTGAGATTAAGGGTTTCTATAGGCAGGTTTGTTTCTATATATTCTCAACACCAATATCAGAACCATTACAGAGACAGGATGAGTAACAAGGTCGCTCATATTTTCGCGACACCCGTCGTCTGAACCTTGCACAGTGTTTCCTCTGGTTGGCGAACAAAACCTGCTTACGTGGACACTAGCTATCCTTATCTTTGGAACGGGAGCCCAGAATCATCCGTAACTCGATTTCGGACGCTATTCGTCCGTTGGATGCGATCCACATGTCGAATCGAGGGGTCCCAAAATCGCTGACAATTTGCCTCCAGAACCAAACATCGAGCTTGGGCACCTAGTGACTTGGGGAACCACATAGGGACCACCTCCGATCTTCCTCGGGAATTCAGCAGCTCTCCTCAATTCGCCGATCTCACCCATCTCAGCGCAATCTCTGGTTGTCATTCACCCTGAAGCAATGGCTGCCGCTGCTTCCATGGCTACCAGCGTTGCCCTGAAGAGCCTCAGCTCTTCCTTCTCCGGTGCGGCCGTCGCTGCTCCCCAGAAGGCTGTGGCCGCCAAGGCCGGTGCCTTCACCTGCCGTGCCCAGAAGTCCGAGGAGGAGGTTGTTGTGTCCCGCAGGAACGCCGTGACCCTCCTCGCTGGTGCCGCTGCTGCCCTCACCCTGAAGGCTGCCCCCGCTCAGGCTGCCTATGGCGAGGCTGGTACGTCTCGCAGCTCGTTCCCATCCTCGCCAACGTTCCCGTCGCGTCAAAGCGTGTTATCACACATGCATTCGCTTTACTCATGTGCCTTCGGAAATACAGTAGCTTTAGAACGTTGACTCAGCTGTTCACTATCCCTCCTCCCTTGGCAGCCAACGTCTTCGGCAAGGGCCCCGGCAACACCGACTACATTCCCTACAAGGGCGCGGGTTTCTCCATTAACCTTCCCTCCAAGTGGAACCCCAGCAAGGAGGTCGGCGAGTTCGCCAACATCGTCCTGAGATATGAGGACAACTTCGATGCCCTCGCTAACGTGGTCGTCATTGCTGAGCCCACCAGCAAGTCCTCCATCAGCGACTTCGGCTCCCCTGAGGAGTTCCTTGAGAAGGTAATAATGTTTTTTAGTGCACTTTTTAGGTTCCCACTCCAAGCTTGTGCGACGGTATCTACTGTTCTTGTTATTAGCAGTTTCAGCTCATTCTAACGTCTGTTTTCTTGTGTTCTGCAGTACAAGAACCTTCTGGGTGTCCAGGTCTTCTCTGGTGAGACCGCGTCCGAGGGTGGCTTCGAGAAGAACGCCGCTGTTACCGCTTCCGTGCTCGAGTCTTCAACCGAGAAGGCGAACGGCAAGACCTACTACAAGCTGAACGTTCTCACCCGTACTGCTGACGGTGGTGAGGGTGGCAGGCACCAGCTGTTCAACGCTGCCGTGTCCAACGGCACGCTTTACATCTGCAAGGCTTCCTCCGGTGACAAGAGGTGGTTCAAGGGTGCCAAGAAGTTCGTTGAGGGCACCGTCGGCTCCTTCACTGTCGCTTAGATTGTGATATAATGTCAATTTTGCGATACAAAAACCAGTAATCCAGTCATTTTGCACATATTTCACCGATTTGGTCAACCATCTTGTAACTGGCAAGCATACTCGAACAGCGTACATTACTGAAGCTTTAAACGTAATCTGTCACTGATGCTGCTAAGCATCATCCATCAGCGTACATTACTAATGCTGGCTCACAGTGTCTCAAAAGATACAGTACCATTACACATCCCGGCAGTGAAGAAAGTTCGCTTGCATCTAGACCCTGCAGCAGTATACAACCAATGTGTTAATATCAAGTGACAGATTGACAAGGGGGTAATGCAGAGGGCGAAGTGCCATACGATGGAGCTGGTGCTGGTGAAGGTGAAACTGTAGGGGATGGAGCAGGAGCCGGGCTTGGTGCAGGAGCAGGAGCTGGGCTTGGAACAGGAGCTGGGCTTGGGGCAGGAGCTGAAGCAGGTGCAGTTAATGGGCCCGTTGCGTTAACATGGAGCCTGAACTGCAAATATGAGTTACCCGCTAAGCCTAGGAGGCCAGAACCAGCCTGAACAGCTTGAAGCACGTCCCTGCTCACAAATGGTCATGGAAAAGGTTTTTACACATAACAAAACGTACAGTGCATACAGTACAGCCATGTGTTTAATAACACACCTAATTCTGACAATAGGGTCTGAGTCAGCCATCAGCAGAAGAGAAGTATTCTGCACAACAATCACAAAAAGGAGAGTGAGAAGAGAAGAGAATCAAGTCTCGCAAACATTGTGGGTGCTGCTGATAATGCGATGCACTTGCACTTACAGTTGCAGATATCTGACCAGCGACATTTGTGATTTGATTGCTGGGGATGTCCACATTGACGTTCTTCAGATCCACATCTTCACCAAAATATTTTCCAGTGACTCGTCCAAACAAAACTGAGGCGTTTTGAGGAGTGAAGGTGAAGTTCCCTTCAGGGCTGGTTGTGAAATTCCCACCTGCTCAAAGAAATATCCGTGTTACCACACTTGAAAGAGCTGCGCACTGGAGTAGCAACAATAATAATCTACCACCTACCAGAGACGGTGAGATTGACATCTGTTGCAGTGAAATTTGCAAGAGGGATAGCGGCGCCAGGCCCTATGAGTGCAATCTGGAGCTGAGGGGGTATGGTTGTAAAGCTACTGCGAACCCATGTCCACTCAACCTGCAACCATGCCACGCGAAACCATGACACGTCGTATGAACAATCCCAGTTCCAACAAAATTGTCAAAAATGGAGAAACCGTGAGAATGTAAGCACGACTCTACCTGCTGGGTCGACGGGGAGAGGGCGAGTTTGAGCGCGATTGGCCCTTTGAGCAGAAAGGACGGCGGCCCCACAACCAATCGCAGGCCGGATGCGCCACCAGCTTCCCAAGACGAATTCGAGGCTTCAGGAACCGCCTGGCCTCCGTGAGAAACAGAAATGGCTTTATTTTTTCTAATTGGAACGTTTCGACGACTGGAAGACGACTCGTTGGGCAATAAAAACTTACCTGCAGCACGGTGCCCTGAGCCCCTTGCCCATTTGCTGGGTCAACAAGTAGCGTGAAAACGAGAAGAACCAGGCAGAGACAAGCAAGCAGTTTTCCCAACAAGCTTTTCGTTCCAAGGGAGATTGGTGACGCAGAGCGGAAACACGAAACGCAGGGAGCCATTTGGGATTCTGAGTGGTGCAGTGAAGATGACGGCGAGCGAGGAAATAAACGCGCGATGCACATTAGCGGCTATATGGCTGTGTTAGTGTTGAATCTGACCAATCTCAGGAATTCGTTTCCGAGTGCCGTGACGGCCAGCCGTCAACTACTGGTTATAACATAACCAGGCGATTTGGCTTTCACCTCGTTGGGTCGCATGACGTTTCGCACAGCAGGGGAGTGACACGTAGGGAATGGAACGGCTGGAAGCAAACTGAAATTAATTGGATTTTTGGCAGAGGAAACTGGGATGACGCACCTAATACAAGTGATGAAATTTAATACATTAGAAACACAGAACAACAAATTCTTAAAACAATGACCCAAGCAACATAATCCACTCTTGCTACGCGGCAGGTTGCTGATTCTCTCTTGCACCAAGGATATGATTATGCTGGCCTGGAATTTGTCCGTAGGGTTGGTGCTGGTCATTCAGCTGTTGATTGTGATGTGCGAGGAAATGTTGCTGCATCTGCCGCTGCTGCCTCTGCTGCTGCTGCTGCCGCTGAGCAGTCGCAAGCAACATGGCACAAACCAACTTATGCCCAGCCTTCCAATCCAGCGCCTGACACGCTCTGCTGCAATATTTAGCCTCTCCGCACGCAGAGCAGCACCTAAACTCCTGCCGCCGTGTCTCCGACCGGCCGCAGCGGGAATTAGAGCACAGCCGAAGGCCTTCAGGGAGGCCGTATATGCCACGCCAGTCTACAAGGAATTTATTCACCGCAGCATGCCAGGAGAACGGGGGGAGGGTCACTGTGGGGAGGCAGCAGCAGCGGTAGCCAACACCATACACTGCACAGGAGGGCAGCACAGCCGTGGGATTCACTGCATCTGGACCTGCAGGGCGTGCATGGCCTGCAGGGTGCGTAAGGCCTGTAGGGTGCATCTGCTGCTGCTGCACCTGCTGGAAATCCAGTGCATTTCGGTTGTGGCGCAGCAGGTACTCTGCATTCTGGCTATGAACTTGCTGTGTAGCCATGGCATGCTGCATACTGAGCGCCTGAGCAGAGCCACCGCCATCAGGTGTTGTTTCAGGAACAGCAACAGAAAGGCTCGTCTGGTCAGCAGGGACTGGGGGCCTTGCTTCCACGTGTGGGGCTGATTGCGTCGCTGCGACTGCTGCTGCAGGTAATGCTACTGCTGCTGCTCCTGTTGAGGCTGCTGCTGCTTCTACTGTTGCTGATGGTGCTGCCAGTTCCATGGGCGCTGCTGCTGCTGCCATGTCAGTCCGTGGTTCTCTCGCCAGCACCGTAGCAATAGGCACGGCAGTGACTGCTGAGGCCCGGAGCATTTCAGCAGCCTCGGCGGGAGACACCAGAGCGCCATAGGCTCGGCGAGCCCGAGCCAAGCCCTGCAGGGCTTGGAGATCCAAACGAGGGCGGGAGGTTCGGCGGGGAATCATGGGAGCTGTGGACGAGAAGACGTATTGTTGGGGGGGTTGAGTTTGAGGGGGAGCAGCTGGGGAGGGTTGAATTGGGGAAGATGTAATGCCCTGTTGATGCAGCTGTTGGTAGTGATATTGCTCTAGCTGACCCCTGTACTGTTCTACAGGATGTTGTTGCACAGCGCCGAAGTCATTTATAACGCGGATTGTCCCAGAGCCTGCAGCTGCTTCCACTCTCCTGCTCCCCTCGTTTTCTGCTTCGGAACGAACCTGCCCCATAAACTGGCTCCGCGGAGAAACTACCACCGCTGCTGCTGCTTCGGTATTCTCCATACCCCATGCAGTTCTCACAGTTTCCACGGCTTCGGGCGTTCCAGGTGCTACTCTTGCAACTGCTTCCCCTGCTACTGCTCCCTCTCCGACTGTCTCCCCTGCGACTGTCCCTCCTGCGAATGCTTCCCCTGCCAATGTCCTCCTTCCAGTTGCTACGGTTGCGACTGCTTCTGTTGCCTCCGGACGCCAAGGCGCGGGTGCAGCAACTGCTTGTGCTGCAACAGCGGCTCCAGCAGCACCTGCAGCCTCTGTAGCAGCTGTAGCGGCTGTGGCGGCTGTAGCGGCAGCAACTGTAGCGGCCTCTCTCGTGTTCGCCTCGAGCAGAAGCCGCCGCCCCTCCGCCACGTTTCGCGGAACCCCATACCCGTCCTGCAGGCAGTGCCCTAGCTCCCGAAGCGCCTCCACGTGGCCCTGCGCCGCGGCCTTCGCGCACAGCAGCACGCCCGCGAGCAGGTCGCGGTCGAGGCGCGTGCCGCTGCTGCCGTTGAAGTGGATCACGGAGAGCGAGTGCAGCGCGTGCGCGTGCCCGCCCAGCGCGGCGCGCGCGAGCAGCGTCGCGCCGCCGCGACGGTCTTCTAGGCAGTAGAATTGGATCTGCGGGGGAAAAGGAGGGGGGGTGGGGAGAGGAAGGGGGAAATGATCGGCGAGCGATGATGACCGTCACTGACTGACGACGAACGACGACGAAAAAAAACGTTTTGATAATCGACGATGGAGATGATGGGGACAGACTATGGGGACAACGAGACAATGGGACTGACCATGCCGAGCGAGTAGCACGCGTCGACTTTGCCCGCCGAGGCGCATCGTTTGAGAAACCGATGCGCGCCGTCCGACCAGGACGGCGCCGCCACCGCCATGGCGGCGGGCGACGCGCGTCGCAGGACGTGCGGCTCGGCGCCCAGCGCGCACACGCGGCGACACGTCAGCCACGCGTTGACCAGGTCGGCGGGGGAGCGCGCTCGCGCCGCGAGATGCTGGAGAACGCACGCGACGAGCTCGTCCTGCGGGAACGGACACGCGGGGGGGAAGGCGGGGAGAGGAAGAGGAGGGGAGGAGGGGGAGAGGGGGGAGGAGGGAGAGGGGGAGAGGGGGGAGGAGGGAGAGGGGGAGAGGGAGGAGGAGGGAGAGGGGGAGAGGGGGGAGGAGGGAGAGGGGGATGGCTCCTGAGTAGACTCAATCATCGCGAGATGCTGTAGAACGCACGAGACAAGCTCGTCCTGGGGGAGAACGGACACGCGCGGAGGAAAGGGGGGAAGAAAGTGGAAGCGGGAGAGGAAATCAATTTACGCGCCGCGAGATGCTGGAGAATGCTGGAGAATGCTGGAGATGCCCGGGACACGCGGAAGAAGCGGGGGAACGGTAGAGAACAAAAAAAACATCATGTGTCGACGCGCGTGGGGTGAGACGCTCGACGAGCGAAACGCGGAGGCGCCACGTGGTATGGTAGGGGAGGAGCGTGATTCTTCTTCCCCCCGCGCAGCTCCAGCGCAGGCCCGGCGGAGCTCGATGGTCCATGTTACTTCAACGGAATGTGAGTTGACGTTACCAGGGGAATACGTAGCGGAGGAGGCGGGGAGCAGCGCGAGGTGCGTGGGGGTCGATGCGGCAGCGCAATGCGTCAAGCTAGCAACAAATAAGTTTTCGTGAATCGTTGTGTTCGTATTCGCTGCTTACGGGTAAGTCGTCGAAACGCGACGCGTCCGAGCACGTCGTCGTTCGCCTTCGCTTCGCCGAGTCGCTACTGATGCAGAGAGCCGTCGCGTCGCATGATGGAGTCATGGCCGACTTTTGACCGGATAACGGGAGAAAGTGAAACGTTATGCCGTCAGACGCGCTGCGATACCCTCCCAAACGTGTCCTCATTCTACCAAAGGGAATGATTTTGGCAGATCTTAAGGCTTGACGAAAGCAAAAAGGTAAGTAGCGTCAGTGTGCTATCATGGCAAAGGAAAGAGGCGCATGGGATATCTAACGCTCAGACTATAGCCTCCTCTACGTATTTGACCGGCTCGTTACCTAAGTAGGAATTGAACGCAAAAACTGGCTACTCGACGTTGAAAGACGATTCCTTCATTTGGAAAAGCTTGCTGCTGATGTCGACGGATTGAGGTACGGTACAGACGATACTATTTTGTTCAAGAGCGGTTTACTAAGGTACCAAGGACGTGAGCTCGTACATGCACATCAGCTCATTTGGTGAAGGTCGAGGTTGGACGTTTGTCACCACCGCCCTTTGTCACCGCCTGCACACAGTTCGTGAGGCAACTGTACTGAACTGTAGCTGCACAATTCTGAAGGGACACCGAAGCACGGATGCTTTTGATACTGTACCGTTCAGCCCTGGGCAGCAGTAAAAGTGAGGGGGACCAATTCGATCGAAACACTGTTTGTGTCCGACCACTTTTGGAAGCATAGTCACCGACGGGCGAGAGGAGGAGTACACCTAGTCCGCGGTATTTTAACCACGTGAACTGTTTTGCTTCAAACACCCTTTGTTCATTTTCGGGTAATGATATGGGCACCCAGAGACTTCAAGGCTATTGTTTCGCAGCCAGAAGCATTTCCTTTTAAAGAAACTCACACTTAGTGCTCCTAAATAGAGGGCGGATCGGCATTGACCAGGTTTTGACTGCCGTCGCCTCACAAAGGGTATGCTAGATTCTACCCTCAATACATTTGAAAACTACTCGTATAAAAAAGTTTGACCATGGAGAAGTACCCTCGCGCGGTTAAGATAGCGGCGGTTAAAATACCGCGGACTAGGTGTACAATACTCGGTCTGGGTTCCTGAATCCTGATTTTATTCCACCTGATTTCAGGCGGTGTATTCGCGTTAGAACCTTGAGACTTGTATCGTCCACGAGAGGACACCAGCATCTGCACATCTCCGTGAGAAGCTCCATCTTTCCCACCCCACACCCGATGCCTTTCGGGAGAGAAGGTCCACGAGCAGAACGGTGGACTGCTTGCTCAGGACCGAGGGAAGAGTGAAACGTAGACTCGTTATAACGCGACCGCATCGGAATTACCACAGCACTATTTCTGTGAGCGGCAACGAATGCCATCTAGCTCAAGGGTGACTACCTTACTGAAACACGTATTCAAGCAAAACAGGCACTCTGGAACAACAAATGTCATAAGTGTAGTAAATATTCCACAAAATATGACAGAAGTGTAGTAAATTTTCCACAAAATATGTCGAATAGCTCATCCAATTCCATATAACCCTTGGACGTTGGGAAACGGACATTTTGCTGAAACTACAAAATGACAAATTAGGCTGCCGAATCGCTTAACCAGTCGTAGAACGCATGAGTGAAGAACTTGTCGGAACACGACCCAGCAGTGAAGGTAGACTTGCATCCCATCATTACGAAGCGGTTACAAAGATGCTGGCTGTCCAGACATGACGTTTGGTTTTAACAATGAAACATCTTGGAAAGTTCTAAAGGATCACAAACAGCATTAAATGCGGGTTGGTGGGAGGGTACTTGGTGCTGCGTTCGGTAAGGGGTCATGAACTTATGAACTGGTCTGCACTAACATATTGATAAATTTATTATGATAATTTTCACATAGGCAGTTGGTGGGAGCTGCAAAACGAGGTTTAAACAATAAAGCTTATAATGTAGGCATTAACATCGTGTCAAAATTGTACTTACGGTGTTCTCTCTTTTTTAAGGTCCCCCTTTATTTTATTCCTAAGCTCTCGTTGCATGCCTAGTACTTTTCAATCGCAGTTGCAATATCCATTTTCCAGCACACCGTTTATCACAGCTTATAACAACGAGTTTCTTTCAAGTGTTGCAGCGATGATGCTGTGGGATACCACCAGCAGCGCAGTGATTGTCCTACCTTTGAGCCTGCGGAATATAGTTTTGCAACTCCCGCCGCATCCTTCAATATTTCGCCCGCCTTTCCCCGTCCTCCACTCAAACTGCGCGAGGAATACCATTCACCCCCCCCCCCCCCCCCCCCCCCCCCCACCCCTCCCGTCCCGTCACCTCCCGCACTCCTCCCCCCTCACGCGGAACAAAGGGGCTGCTAAACTCCGCCAGCAGAAAATCCCCTACTGCCCGCAGTGCTCTCCCCTTTGAAATCCTACCTTACCTCCTCCTTACTCTCCTTTCTGCCGCTTCTCTCTCAGCCCCTTAGCTTTACTTGTTCCTTAGTCAACTATCCAACATGGTAGGCACTCTATGGCTGTTGTGTGTGCTATTAGTTCCTCGCTCGGTGTCAGGGGTTGCGATTTGTTACGGAGCCATGTTAGGGTTTTCTACCGCTCGCGGTTTCTGGTTTTCGAAATCCATCTCGCTCGATCCCTTCTGACGTTTTCGCGTGATCAGTCTCACGTGCCGTTTGAGTCGACTCATAAGTCACATCATGCGGGTGTGCCATGTACTATCTAGGCGAATACCTAAGATCCATTTTAAATGAAAAGGACGGATATCAGGTTTCTAACTCCTCTCTCGACGTCTGTCCTCCCTATCTCGATCCATGTCGCGCCGTTGCGAGTCCAGGCGGACACGGAGGAGGTGCAGCCGAAGAAGCGCACGTTCAAGAAGTTCACCTTCCGAGGCATCGACCTCGATGCGCTGCTCGACATGGGCAACGAGGAGCTCGTCAACCTCTTCACCGCGCGCGCTCGCAGACGGTACGTTTCGCGAGTGTTTGTAACCCTATTTCGCTCGATGCGCTGCTCGACATGGGCAACGAGGAGCTCGTCAACCTCTTCACCGAGCGCGCTCGCAGACGGTACGTTTTTTTCGCGAGTGCTGGTACCCCTAATTCGTTCGCAAGCTTCTCGCGAGCCGTAGGACGCTAGAGTCTGCGTTGTCGGCGACGTTTTCGGTGCTGAGCTGGAGTTTTGGACACGGATCTTGCACTCGGCCAGTTCGACGATAATCTGAGTGAACTTGATAGGTACCTGCCCCAGACAGAAGTCTCGAGCGTTTGTTCGGCTTGGTTGACCGATCTGGTAACTAGTGTGGCGCGAGGCAGTCTCGACCTGGATTTGGGAAATCGGGAGGAGCAAAGAAGGGACTCGGATTTAGGAGAAACGCAGTGGGCAGAAGTGCGTTTTGCTGGCTCAGTGCAAGAGGGCGTTTTCTGACAGAGGAGCAGTAGCGCGTAGCGGAGCCGATATCGGCACATGTGTCCCGTAGCAGGACCAGAAAACCTGGCACATGGCTGGCTTATGCTGGCGAAGCTGGGCAAAGGCGGAGGAATACGAGCGAAAGCGAGCGACGGAGAGTGAGGGTGTACGTAGCGAGGATATACGAGGCAGGCGCATCCGCAGCAGGGCGGCAAGGAACAGAGGAACAGGGAAGCTGGGGGAGTAGGGGGGCTCGATCAGCCACAAGCGGAGCAGGAATCAGAAGTCGAGTTTGCAGGCTGTTTGAATCCCAGAAATTGTAGGAAAGAGGAAGCTGACGCAGATGTGTCCAAATGGAGTGCCTTTTTCCTTTCGTCGGCGGGAGTTGGCACCGAAGGGATCTGAGTTGAAACGGATGTTGATCGCAACGGGAGGTCACCCAGGCGGTAGTGCGGCGAACCTAGCCGTTTGTTCGACTGGTATTGCAGTGGGTTTCTTGGTCGCGATGCGCTCATGTCAAGTGTTCTGTTTTTCATCCGCGCTTCTGTGTTCTGTTTCCCCGTTCTAATTGTTGCTCATTCCTCATGCTGATTTCGTCATAATGCGTTGTTTATTCCCGCACCTCCCCCCCCCCCCTCCCCCCCTCGCCCGCTTTCCCTTCCCGCTTCCAAGTGTTTCCCATCCCTCACATCGGTTTCGCCATAATGCGCTGTTTATTCTCCCGTCCTTGCTCCTCATCCTCCCCCAATTTTCTCTCCCCCCCGTTTCCCCTTCCCCTCCCCACTTCCCTCCATTCCCGCCCTTCCACGTTGCGCCCCCCGCCCCCTCCCGCCCGCCCTCCGCTCCCCCGCCCGTCCATTCTCAACCGATGCAGGTTCCGCCGCGGTCTCAAGAGGAAGCCGCTCGCCCTCATGAAGAAGCTTCGCAAGGCGGTGCGTGCTCACGATGGGGGGGTTGGGTAGGGAGGGGAAGCAGCGGGCTGCTGCTGGACACGGGTGGAAGGAGGAGCCGCGGGAAAGGGCAGTGGCGGGAGGTGGGGTTGTGGGTGGGGAGTGGATGGAGGGGAGTTGTGGGAGGTGAGGGGTGTTGGGAATGGAGTGGCGTGGGGCGGTGAGAGGTGGGGAGTGGTTAAAGTGCCGTGAGGTGTGGTACTTGGAAAACTGGGGCGCGCGTGACAGCAAGGAAGATTGGAAACCGTGAGGACTTGAGAGCGGGTAGGCAAAGGGACGTAGATCAGCAAGGCAAGACAGCTCATGTGCATGTGATCTTCCGAACGCAACCCCTGTTTTTAATTAGTCATGTCTGCCTCAATCACTCATCACTTCCCCACCCTCTCTCCCCACTCTCCCTCCCCCCTCACCCCCCTCTCCCCCCACTTGCCCGTTCCTCGCAACCACCATCCCCTGTCCCGCCGCTCCCCCAACCCCCCGTTTCGTGCCTCGGCGTGAGCAGAAGCGCGACGCGGAGGAGGGTGAGAAGCCCGAGGCGGTGCGCACGCATCTGCGCGACATGATTATTGTGCCCGAGATGATCGGCAGCGTCATCGGCGTGCGATCGACATCTAGTCATGTCTTCTTCAACCACTCACACTTCCCCACCCTCTCCCCCCTTTCCCACCCGCTTCCCTCCCCTCCCGCTTTCCCCCTCCCCCCCTTCCTTCACTTCCCCCCTCTCCCCCCCCCCCCGGACCGACCCACCTTCCCGTGTCCCAACCCCCTGGACGCGAGCAGAAGCGCGACGCGGAGGAGGGCGAGAAGCCCGAGGCGGTGCGCACGCACCTGCGCGACATGATCATCGTGCCCGAGATGATCGGCAGCGTCATTGGCGTGTACAACGGCCGCGTCTTCAACCAGATCGAAATTAAGGTGCGGTGGGGTGGAGTGGGGTGGGGTGGGGTGGGATGGGGTGCGATGGGGTGGGATGGGGTGGGGTGGGGTGGGGTGCGGTGGGAAGAAGGTAGTGTTGGGGATGTTTGAGTCGATTCGAGATGATCGGCAGCGTCATCGGCGTGTACAACGGCCGCGTCTTCAACCAGAACGAAATCAAGGTGGGTTGGTGGGGTGGGGTGGGATGTGGTGTGCTGGGAAGAAAGGTATCCAAGGTGTCAGGGATGTTTGAGTCGACTCGAGATGATCGGCAGCGTCATTGGCGTGTACAACGGCCGTGTGTTCAACCAGATCGAAATCAAGGTGCGTGCGCTGGGGTACGATGGGGTGGGGTGGGGTGGGGTGGGGTGGGATGGGGTGGGGTGCGGTGCGGTAGGAAGAAAAATAGTGTCAGGGATGTTTGAGTCGATTCGAGATGGTCGGCAGAGTCATCGGCGTGTACAACGTGCGTGTGTTCAACCAGAACGAAATCAAGGTGGGCAGGGAAGAAGGGAATGCGAGCGAGGTGTGGTGAGGAGATTCTTGGAAGAATGTGAAGAGGGTGGTTGTTTCATTTCCCCACGGACCAGTCATGTTTCTTTTGCATTTGTCTCTGGAATTCTTTCCAAAATTGAAACAAACTGAGCTTCCTTTGTTGTCTTCGTGATTCTTGGTGACACTCTAATTTCTGCAGCCTGAGATGATTGGGCACTATCTGGCGGAGTTCTCCCTGAGCTACAAGCCTGTGAAGCACGGTCGGCCCGGTATTGGTGCCACTCACTCCTCCCGCTTCATTCCCCTCAAGTAAACCCACCCCATACCCATGGGAAGGCCTACTGCAATGTGTGCCGCCTCTTCAGCTGGCTATTGCTGCCACCATGGCGTCGCTAGCTTGTTGCCTGGAGCTGCTTTTGTGCTCCCTCCATGTATAATTGTGAAATTTGAAGCAGGGCAGTAGTAGCAGCAATGGAGAAGAGTCTGTACGCATCTTGATTCAAGTGGAGATTGTGAGGAAAGAGTCTTGAAGCGGGTCAAGAAATGGAAATCCTCGGAGTTATGCAATTTTCTGTTCCATTCTTTACTATCTAGACGATTCGTACACTTATCGCAGCACTAGGCCTTCACAATTCCCGAGAAGTTAACACTGCAGAAGCTGCTTTCGTGATCAGCGAGTCAGGGCATCAGGCCTGACAGCCGAACCACACACCACCTGGCCCGCTTCCAGCCCGTACGTATCCTCCTCCTGGTTGAGTCCTGGCCCGGCCTGGCGATGTGCGGATCAGGCCTGTCGCTTGCTCTAAACCCAATCCTTAAAACCCGCGCCCCAAATTGCGGGCCGCGAGGGTCAAGTTCTTAAAACTTGACGAAGTTGAGTGTCCAAGCTTTTGAAAGTCACGCACCTGCAATTTGGGACTTTCGAAGACAGATTCACTCACCAGGGGGAAAACCGAGGGTTGGCTGGGTCTCGCGAAAAAAACGAACCTAGACGAAATCGGAAACTCTCGCCAAAGCCCACACCAGAAAAACTCCCTCTGGTCAACTTTTAAAATCATGAACAATTTGGGCCGCCGGCTTTAAGAAGTTGAGCTGGCCCAAAACTAGCCCGGAAGCATCCAGGTAGGGGCTGATTTTGGCCCGTAAGAATCAGGGCTGGCCAGTAAGAATCAGGGCTGACTTCAGGCCTAGTGTATTTGCAGCCAGCAACATAAATGTGTTTGAGAACTATGAACTATGAAGTTTCAACTAAATGTGTTTGAGGCGGATTCGCGGATAAGGGGTCAAGAAACTCCAAGGGGGTAGGGAAGGTAGTTCGGGAAAGGGGGGGGGAGGGGGGGGAGGGGGGGTGACATACGTGGAAATCCGGGCAAGGCCCAAAACCAGTCCGTTAGGATCCGGCCAAGGGCAAAACCAGTCCGTTTTCCTTACGGGCCTCCTCGAAAACTAACCCTTAAAATCTCTGAGGTGCGTCAAACCCAGCCCTGAATTCTCAGGACAAACGGGCAAATGCCCGTGAATCGACAGGCCTGGTGCGGATCCAACTGTGCAGCACGCGTGCGCGACGTTCCCCGCCGCCGTAGCCACACTTCTCCTCGGGGTCAGAGTCAGGGCGCGGGGGCTGTGGATAGGTTTGGGTTGGGAGTTTTCCGAAGCAGAAATTGTCCATCTGGGCAGGATTACCACGCGGAAGGTCCACAGGATTTGGGTGGCGCTTTTACATCACCTGCACATTTTTTTTCCTGAACTTTGTTTCTTTGCGAGGTTTTATCACCGGGCTGAGATATGCTGGCTCAGATAGTGGAAGCACTAGACCCGACCGATACCAACCATAATTCGGAAACTCGCAAACACATTGTCTGACCCACGCCCCGGCGGACACGTGTAAATGCGGTCGGGTTCATTCCTCGACTTCTTCTCTGGGCCCAGCCCACCTCGGGATGCACTTGTGTGATTCTCGGGTTTATCAGGAATGGAAAAGTGGAATTCAGGATGTGCTGTCTTGTATTTCAGGTACTGTTGTTCGAAGGCTATTTCTAGCCACATCCCTTCGATTCAGTAGCGACAGCTTGAAAAGATTCTCCACAGGCCTATTTTCCTTCCATTGCCTCACCCCCTCACACTCATTTGTCGTACAATACGTTGGTCGCTCTTCTGGAGCTGGAACCATGGCTCTTCTTTCCTGTTCGAGAAATCACGTGGTTCGATTTTCAGGGGAAAAGCAATATCAGCGTGCGATCTCTGAAGTAGTCAGGTCGACCGACCTAGTGGTGGGTCATAATAGTTTAGGGCCTTCTAGAAAGTGGCATTCGGATGAGTCTCTGAGAGTCTCGACCCCCCGGATTCAACGTCAGTTATCAGGAACTCAAACTGGCAGTTGTTGTTTTTTTCTGGAATAGTGTCGCCTTTTTTCCCGTATAATTTTCCTTTCCGAAATACAGAACCGCTTCTTTTCAAAATCCGTATTTCGCCGTAACACTCCGATTACTAATCGCGAGCCGCTTTACATTCAATGAAGTTGTTCATCTAGCGCATCGACGGCCGCGTTATCATGCTGTCGCTCGCGACGTTAGCAACTAGCGACGACGGTCCCGGTCCTCTGTCCCCTGCTCCCGGTGGTCGTCGTCGTCTCAAACTCGACAAATCCGGCCGGCCCGCCGTGCCTTGCGCCGCCTCTTCCGGCCATGGCGGACCCTCGGCTGGCCTTGCTGCTCTTTCCGCCACTAACGAGACCGCCAGCTGCAGATTTCCCGGCGTGTTTGACGGCGCATCTAGTGGCAGAATTGGCTCGGGATATAGAGGCGAGCGGGGGGAATACCCGCTCGAGAGGGGGGACTTCTTCGCTGCCGTTCCGCGCCTCCGCGCAAGCGACCTTGAGAGTTCCGTGGACGCGCTGCTGGAAGCGGACCCTGACGCGCCCGCCGGCGCAAACGCTTGCGCCGACGCGGACGATGACGTCAGCATCGACATTCCCGTAGACTTGGACAGACTTTTCCGCAAGTGCGCGGAGCAGCAGCAAATGCTGCGGGAGGCAGAAGGCGGAGGGGGAATGGGCGGAAAGGGACTGGGCGGGGATGCCGCAAGGCACTTGTCGACCTTGGCGGAAGCGGGGAAGCATGGGATGACCAAGCTATGGGCGGTTCTAGGGACAGGAGGTAAGGCTGCTTTAGGAGCAACAGGGGCGGTGTTCCCGTCTACTGGGTCTCGTGGGAGTGACGATATTAGGGATGATCCCGAGGGAAGAGCGGAAGAAAATATTGGAGGGGGACGACCGGGGGAGCAAGCCCCGAAGGAGGCTGCTACTGCTACTGCTACTGCGTCAGCTACTAACGAGTATAAAGCAATGCATTTTCGGAGCAAGTCGGTGGCGGAGGGACGAACAGGTTACAGTGGCCTATCAGGATCCGACACGTCACCAGGGGAAAAAGGCAGCAGCAGCAGCGGTGCGAATCCCACGACCAACAACAGTAACAGTAACACTATTAGTCGCAATTCCACCAAGGCAACAGGCCTTTGGAATCGACAATCTCTTTCCTTCCACCACCACCACCAGCGCTCCAAATCCGTCACGTCTGCACCGTTGGATTTCCGGGCCCGGCTTGACTCAACGGTCGAGATCGCGTTGCCGAGTCACAATGGCAGGAGAATCAGCATGACGCTCAAAGGCACGAAAAGCAGCAGCAGCAGCAGCAGCAGCAGCAGCAGCAGCAGCAGCAGCAGCAGCAGCAGCAGCAGCAGCAGCAGCAGCAGCAGCAGCAGCAGCAGCAGCAGCAGCAGCAGCAGCAGCAGCAGCAGCAGCAGCAGCAGCAGCAGCAGCAGCAGCAGCAGCAGCAGCAGCAGCAGCAGCAGCAGCAGCAGCAGCAGCAGCAGCAGCAGCAGCAGCAGCAGCAGCAGCAGCAGCAGCAGCAGCAGCAGCAGCAGCAGCAGCAGCAGCAGCAGGGTTGAATCAGCAGGAGCACAGGGGATGGTGCAGGGAAGCTTTTTCTCAGCATCGTCAACAGCAGAAGCAGCTCCAGCAGCGGGAGCAGCAGCAGCTTTGGATGAGTCTGTTTTCTCTGTTCTTAGGTTTGAGCCCAATGCTGCTGCTGCTAGGATGCGAGTCGAAACCGCTAAGGGTGTATCCCTCTTACTAGATGCTTCCACTGGGCAGATTCTAGCTGCTAGCGAAGCAGCTATTAGGGAGGCTGGAGGGGTTGGGTCGGATGCACGGGAGGACAGGGAAGGCAGGACGGAGCGAGTGGGACAGACGCAGCAGCAGCAGCAGCAGCTGCTTGTGGGTCGATCAGTGTTTGAGTTGACAAACGGCAAGATGACTATAGCGAACTGGCAAGCAGCAGTGGCAGCGTTGCCCCTCGATAGAGTCACAGAGAGCGTCATTCTGAGGTTTCGGTTCGCCCCTGTGGGTGGAACCTCCCCCAGTAGCAGCCGCCGCTGCAGCAGCAGCAGAAGCAGCAGTGGTAGCAGAAGCAGCAGCAGTTGCAGTGATGATGGCGCTGGTGGTGGGGAAGGTGCAGGAGGTGCAGGTGGGTCAGGAGGGGCGTTGTGCGGTCGCATTGTGGACCTTCGGCTGAGACGCACTGCTGTACAGCAGGAGGAGTTGGCTCTTCTGGTGGGAAGCATTTGCGCGTTTAGGAGAGAGAGAACGGGAGGAGGGAGAGAGGGGGAAGGAGGAGAGAGTGGGAGGGCAGGGGAAGTAGGGAGGAGAAGGGCGGTTGATGAGGAGTGTGAGGAGAGAGCAGAGAGGAAAGGGATGGGGATGAGGGAAGGGAGGGAAGGAAGGTGTGAGAGAGAGGTGGAGGAGAGAGGGATGAAGGATGGGAAGCGAAGGGGATTGGAGAACACACAGCAGCGGATGGAATCGGAAGAAGAAGGGGGTTTTGGTGCAAGGCAGCAGAGGCGAGGGGGCGGTGGTAGTAGCAGGAGTGACTATAGTGAGAGTGATTGTAATGAGAATGATCGTAGCGAGGGGAATGATGATGAGAGTATGAGCGGCGAGGAGGGGAGTGTGGGTAACCGACAGAGTTTGAAGCCAGATGGACGGCGAGGTTTGTCCGCTAGCAGGGGGGTGAGGGAGAGGGGGAGGTGGAGCGAGGATGCCAGGAGGGAGGTATGGAGTGAGAAGGAGGAGGTGAGGAGGAGGGGAAGGCAACGAGTGTATAGTACTGGAAGTTTGGTCGAGTTGGCAGGGGAGAAGCAGCAAAGGCAGCTAAAGCAGGGAAGACAAGAAAGACAGGAGAAGCAACAGTCGGAAATTTGTTGGTCAGAGGTTGGAGCTATCAAGGGAGAAGCAGAAGGGACAGATAGTGCGAGAGGGAGAAGGGGGGATGGTGGAGGGGTGAGGGGTAAAGGGGAAGGGGAAGGGAGGGTGTTGGAGGGGAGGGTATCAAAACGGAGGGTCTCGGAAGGGAGGAATGGGACGATGCAGAGAGATGATGGGGAGGAGGATAGAGGAGGGACGAAGATGGGCGTGGAGAGAGAGCAGAGAGAGGAGAGGGAGGAGAGGGAAGAACGGGTGGAGAGGGAGGAGGGAGAGGAGAGGGAGGAGAGAGAGGAGGAGAGGAAGATGAGGGGAGCAGAGGATGTAAGAAGGGCCAAGGAGCAAGGCGGTGGGCGGTCAAGTGTGTTGGGTAGTGTGCCGCCCTTTCTTCGTAACCTGCGGTCGAAAAGCCTCGTTGACTTGCCGCGGTGGCGGCGCAGGGTGGTGGGAGGTGACAGTGACGGGGGCTCTACTGCTGCTGACACGGATGATGGTGATGATGCTGATGATGGGAGTGATGATGATGGTGATGGGAGTGATGATGATGGTAATGAGGATGAGGATGGTTGTGAGGATGATGATGACGACGATAGTGATGATAATGATTATGATAAGAGTGACGATTCGAGTGACAGTGACAGCAGGGATGGCACCAAAGCAAGTAGAGTTGCCATTTCAACCGCCGCTGCTGCCGGAGCTGCCACTGCAGCCAATGCTGCCAGTACTGTCAATTCTGCAAGGGGGGCTATCGACTTTACCCTCTCCCGCGTGAGCACCTTTGCTCGCTCCCTCACCTCCTCCTCCTCCTCCCGCCCCGTTCTCGGGCGCCTCAAAACAGAAACCTCCAATTTCTCCCGCCCGATTTCGGTGCGCCGCAGAGCACAAGCTGCCAATTCCTCCCGCCCACTCAAAATAGCCCTCGGGAAGAATCTAGAGGCGTTTGGAAAACCCACCTTCTTCCCTCGATCCCTCACCACCTCCTCCTCCTCCAGCCCTCTCAAGGGAGCTCTTAGGAAGAATCAGAAGACGTCTGGAAACTCAAGCCCGCACCAGAAAAGAGAGAACCCTGCCGTTTTGCCTCGCTCCCTCACCTCCTCCTCCTCCTCCTCCCGTCCCCTCAAGTCAGCCCTCAGGAGGAACCTTGAGACGTCTGGAAACGCAAGCCCCCATCAGAAATCAGAAAGCTTGGCCTTCCTCCCTCGCTCCCTCACTTCTTCCTCCTCCAGGCCTCTCAAGATTGCAGTGGGAAGGAAGGTGAGGAGGCTGGAGGTTGGGCTTCGAGTGAGTGCGATTGCTGGGGGAGGGAAGGTGGCAGGTAGGGGGGATGAGGGTGCGGGTATTGCCCGGAAAAGCAGAATTGATGGCAAATGCGAAAGTAAGAGCATGAGCAAGTGCAGCGGCAACGGCAGCGGCGACAGCAGCAGCAGAGGCAAAAGCAGGAAAGGATGCGAGGAATGGGGAGGGCGTGCAGGAGAAGAGAGAGGACGTGCAGAGGAAGGCGGAGGCAGAGGGGGGGAGAATGGGGGAGGGAGGGTGGCAGGAGCAGGGCGGGGAGGACGCGAAGGGGCAGGAAGCATCAGCACGACAGGTTCAATTGGTGATGGAACAGCAGCAGTCACAAAAGCGACAGAGCCAAGGGGGTTGGGAACAGGGAGACAGCAGGCCATGGGGAAGCAGAGGAGAGAGGTGGAGGAGAGGGAGTTCGTTGGTGGGGAGCAGAAGGGAGAGAGGGAGAGAGAGAGGGCCGTGAAGGCACCAGAAAGCTCCACTGCTGCCGCCACTGCTGCTGCTGCTGCTGCTGCTGCTGCTGCTGCTGCTGACTCGACTGACAAGGTTCGGTCTGTGAGGTCACCGCACTCCACCACTCCAAAGTCGACTCCAAAAGCTGGGTCTTCACGTTCACCGCACTCCACCGCTGCTGTACGGGTCGAGGGTGCACCAAGGAGCAGGGGTACGCCTAGAGACAAAGCAGTGACACCAAAAGGCAAGCCAGTGACACCTAAAGGCAGGCCAGTGACTCCAAAGGACAAAGAAGGGATCCCAAAACGCATGGCAGCGACAGCAGGAAGAAAGAGAGCATCACCACCACAATCCTCCGCTCCTGCGCCTGCCACTCCTGCCACTCCTGCCACTCCTTGTCGCTCCCAACTTGCCACCCCTTCTCGCTCCCTACCCGCCACCCCTTGTGCCTCCCAACCAGCCAAGCCCTGCTGCTCCAAGCAAGCCGTGCCATCTCGACGCTCCGTCTCCCCGCAGTCCTCATCTCTTGACGCGGCCCCAGTGCCCAAAGTACCCCCAGTGCCCCCTGTGCCAAGGCATCGCTCCGTCTCCCCCCAGCCCTCCGCATCCAGAGTCTCTGTTTCTCGTTCACACCCTCCCCACCCCTCCCCACCGCTCCTCGTCTCCTCTCCGTCTCCTCCCTCTGCCAGCCGCCTCCCCCCTTTGGTGGGCCAGAAAGGCCATTCTCGCTCCCACTCTTTCTCAGCAGGCATGCAACAGAGCCCTTACCAGAATCAGTCAAGCCCTTGTCAGAATCAGTCAAACCCTCACCAGGATCAGCCGAGCCCTTACCAGAATCAGTCGAGCCCTTACCAGAATCAGTTGAGCCCTTACCAGAATCAGACAAGCCCTTACCAGAATCAGTGGAGCCCTGACCAGAATCAGTCAATTCCTTACCGGAATCACTTGAGCCCTCACCAGAATCCGGTAAGCCTTCACCAGAATCAGTCAAGCCCTCACCAGGATCAGCCGAGCCCATACCAGAACCTGTCAAGCCCTTACCAGAATCAGTTAAGCCCATATTGCAACCAAATGAGCCCGTTTTTCAGTCAATCTGGCCCTTACCAGAACCTGTTAAACCCGTTCTCAAATCAATCGACCTCATTCCCAAATCAAGTTGGTCCACACTTGAACCAGCTGAATGTGTGCCTGACAGAACCTCGCCCCCCCTCTACAGGCCACACGGCAGGTCAACCGAGTCCGCTAGCTCACGCAAGTCAACCAAGTCAACAGAGTCAGCTGACTTATCCAAGTCAACCAAGTCGAGAAAGACTTTTCGAGCCAGGCACCTTTCAGGTGGCCGATTCCGCAGCGGAATGCACGCCTCCTGTTTCCAAGGGTCCAGCGGCGTCGGGTACGAACCAACGGAGGTTGGGAGGAACGGGAGGGGGAGGAGCAAAAGGGGAAGGAGCAAATCGGGAAGGAGCAAAAGGGGGAGGAGCAAGGGTGGGTGGAGAAAAAGTGGCAGGTAGAACGGAGGGAAGAGTAATGACTGGAGCAGTGGGGGCGAGGGTGGGTGGGGGAAGGGCAGTAAGGTCTAGGAGTAGTGATGAGACTGAGTGTCCAGTCGAAGTGGGTGTTAGGGATCAGGGTTCGAATCCTGGCGCTGGCAATGCTGTTGCAAGAAGGGGGGTAGGAGGAGGAGGAGGGAGAGGAGGAGGAGGAGAAGGGGGTAAGGTGAGTGTGAGGCGAGGAAAGGGTTTGCCAGCAAGCCGAAGCCTTGACTGGGATGCAGTGATGGGGGATCAGGAGGGCGGACAGAGGAGGGATGACAAGGGGAGAAGGGGTGAGGAGAGAGAAGGGAAGAGAGAGGGTGACAGGGAGGAGGAGAGCAGGCGGAGGAGGAGGGAGAGGCGTTCTTTAGGAGCAGTGGATGTGGAGAGGTGGTTGGCTGGTACGGTTGACGGGGTGGGGGTAGAGGAACCACTAGTTTCAGAGCAGGAAAACATGTATCCTCGTTTAGAGCTGAATCCATACAGCTTTGAACCGTTGCACAGCTACAGTGTGGCAGCTGAAACAGCATGTGGGTATAATGGGCAAGGCATTGGCCATGAGGGCATGTGTTATGATATGGTTCAAGATGGGATGGTTCAAGATGCGATGGTTTCAGGTATGGTTGAGGCTTTGGGGATGGGTGGAGGTGTGGGGGTGGTGGGTGAAGGTATGGATGACAGTATGAGGGGGATGGGTGAAGTAATGGGGGGGATGGGTGACGGTATGTGTTTCGACAGTGGAGGAGGAGTGTGGTTGCACACACGCAACCATGTGAAGCACCAGCAGCAGCAGACGCAGCCGCAGCAACAGCAGCAGCAGCAGCAGCAGCAGCAGCAGGTGCAGCCGCAGCAACAGCAACAGCAGCAGCAGGAGACGCAGCTGCAGCAACAGCAACAACACCAGAAACAGCAACAGCAGCAGCAGCAGCAGCAGCAGCAGCAGCAGCAGCAGCAGCGGCAGCAGCTGCGGCAACAGCAACAACAACAACAACAGCAGCAGCAGCAGCAGCAGCAGCAGCAGCAGCAGCAGCAGCAGCAGCAGCAGCAGCAGCAGCAGCAGCAGCAGCAGCAGCAGCAGCAGCAGCAGCAGCAGCAGCAGCAGCAGCAGCAGCAGCAGCAGCAGCAGCAGCAGCAGCAGCAGCAGCAGCAGCAGCAGCAACAGCAGCAACCGCAACAGCAGCAGCACCAGCAGCAGCAGCAACATCAACAGCAGCAACAGCAGCAACAGCAGCAACAGCAGCAGCAGCAACAGCAGGAGCAGCAGCAGCTGCCCAAGTCTCCTCAGTTCCAACCCACACCCTCCACAAATCTCTCCTCTTATTTGCCATACCAAGGGAGGGGGCCCCTGGCTTTTACTACATACAGAGTAGCAGCAGCAGCAGCAGCAGGAGCAGATGCGGCAGTACCATCAGGACTTTTCTCCCATGCACCTGCCGCTTTCCCCATCCTCCACACGAGCTACCTCGACCCTCCGTACCTGTCTCCACCGCACAACACCGCAGAGATGCAGAATGAAACATCAAGCCAGAATGAAACATTTCTGGATGCACCACCTCTCTACACTGAGAAATACCGTGACACCTCGTGCCATGACACATCAAGCCATGCCCCGTCATACCATGACACATCCGGCCATGCCACGTCATACCATGAAACATCAGGCCATGCCACGTCATACCATGAAACATCAGCCCATGACACGTCATACCATGACACATCAGCCCATGCCACGTCATACCATGACACATCAGGCCTTGCCGCGTCATACCATGACACATCAGGCCATGCCACATCATACCATGACATTGCCTATCTTGCCCTTGCTAGTCCATCCTTGTCAGGTAAAGCTGGCGGAATTGCACCGTCGCAGCTTGGGGTTGTTTCCAACAGTTCATATTTACCATCAGGTGAATTTTCAGGTGGTAGTGCGCAAGCCAGAGAGGCACAGACACGCAGGAGGATGGGCCACCATCAGCGTTCCCGCAGCATTGCTCTTGGGGTGATTCACAGGATGGCAATGATGGAAGCTGCTCACACTGATGCCGGGGCCTTTGGGTTCGTTCAGCAGGAGCATCAACAGCAGCACCATCAACACCAGCAGGGGCAACTGGAGCAGCCGCAGCAACCCATGTGGGTGTATGAGTTGCGAAATGATGATGGCGCAGATTTGTATGCATAGAGGTGATTGTACAATCTCTCTGTTTTGTTTTGAACTTTGAGTACCGTAAGTAGAGCCAGCATAAAAGGTGGTGATACATGCTGCAAGATGTATGAGTTCAATTCGTGTTTAGTAAAAAAACACTGGAGTGAGATGTTATGCAATGCACCATTACTTACAGGCCTGAACTGTAAAGGAAACCACCCATTAACCCATTACCTAGTCTGTATATGCTTGGTAAGGTACCCCGTTCAAAGCCTACCATGGCCTTTTGAGTTCTCTCCAACTGACCCCATAGTGTCATTATGGAGTACAAGTGTAGCAGCTACCAGCTCGTGCACCTTGTTCTGATTGTTTGTGTGGTGTGGTCGGTTGGTTGGTGGGTGGGTGGATTGGCTTGTGGCAACGTGATCCAGTTATCCCTCCACTGGCACAATTGGGCAAAACATTTGCACTAGCCTCCCTGACCGCCATGAAAATAATCGTTCGCCATAATTTGAAAATAGCTACCTTCGAACAGATTATGAGTTTGGTTTTCTACATCTAGGACGGAATAATGTTTCTTTCTGCCCGTCTGACAGCCGTATTCTGGGTTCAACCAGAGACGTTCGATTGCCAGTCTGGTTTGATGCTCCGCAACAAGCCGCGTCGCGGAATTTCCAAGGTTCTCCTCAGGCCTCGATTTCTTCCCTCACATCGAGATTTGATAGAAACAGGTGACCACGGAATAACGAATGATTGACCAATCACGAGTCACAAGAAACGATTCACGACACGGCTCACGATGACGTTCTGCTCAATCCTCCACACAGCATCAACCATGGCGTAAGCAATCAGTGTGTTGTCCGTCTGCTTCTCAGCTTACGATTCCTTACGCCGTTCATCTGTCCGTCGGTCATCGGAATAAGCAAGTTAATATAATTTAGTGCATACGAGTAGGAAGGAAAAGTGATAAACGCGTGTAAAGCCTGGCTTGCTGATTCACGGCTATTCTTCTGTAAATAGACGATCCCCATGTCTGCACATGGACCTCCAGAAAGAGGTACCCATGACGTAGCTAGCGAGGATATTTGTTAAACTCTCAAGACGCTACTTTTGCATGAACATGGGGTTTCCGTTGCCGAAAACCCGGTAACCATGTCGCCGGTTTGCGTCGCTGTGCATTCCGATGCCTCCATGGACCTGTACACGTCAGCACACGCTACAGGCCACGGCGCTCCTCACGACGGCTCTCGCGGTGCGACCCAGAACCAAGGAGGTAGAGTAAGCCATCGACATTCTGGTAGAAGTTCTGATCAAAGAAACGATTCTGACGCGACGCGAGTAAAGGACGTCAACCGGAGGGCCGTCGACCCCGCGGATAGGGCGATTCGCTTTCGTTCTTTCGCGCGTGATGACGTGGCCCGCACCAATACGAGCAGCGGGTCGCAGTCCAGCATCGTGATTCACGATGACGTGGCCGACGAAGCCGCTCGTTTCATGGCGCACGACGCGTCGTGGATTGCGGATGCGGACGACGACGACTCCGTGAGACACCGTAACGAGGAAACCCTAGAGATTAGACCAGACGGACGAGCAATTCGGAACATTCACAGAAGCGACGAGGAAACTCAAGGCGGGTTGGAAAGCCAAGGCAGCTCGCGCTTCGGAGCGGGAGATAAGAGCGACTCGGCAGCAGCAGGCTGCAGCGTGCGGAAAGAGGGTAGGGTTCGCGCTCGGCGGACGAAAACTGCGGGCGAGTCGAACGGGGTCTCCGTAGCAGAGGCAGTGGGAGAGGGCTGCAGTGGTCGCGAGATGACCGTTGAGTCGACTCGAACGTCGTACTTGAATGAAGCCATGGGCGAATCGAGCGGGGTTTCTGCAGGAGGGACATCGGAAGGAAGATCTCGTGCGTACGGGCCGACTTTTAAAGGGTCGGCTCGTCGCAAGTCGTCTCGGTTGCCCACCTCGCACTCCCGCTCGTCTTCTTCCTCCGATCCCCTGCAGCCCCTGCAGCAGCAGCAGCCGCAGCAGAGAGAGCAGGCAGAGCAAGCACTGCATTCGCGGCAGGAACCGGCGCAGCAGTCGCACCAGTCGCACCAGTCGCAAAAGCAAGCTCATGGTCTCGCCAGATCCTCCTCTCGTGCGAGCAGCAGCAGCCATAGGGACGTCGACAGCAGCAGCACCGGCGCCGGCTGTAGCAACAGGACCAGCAGGACCAGGAACAGCTGTAGCAGTGAGGACGGCAACGGCGCGAACAGCAGCAGCAGCAGCAGCATCAGCAGCAGCAAGAGTAGAAGCAGGGACCAGAGAGTCAAGTCAGAGGTGCAGGGGAGTGAGCAGGCAGTTACTGCTGCAGCTCAAGACGCTTATGGTTTGCTACTGGAGTCGCTCTTAGCGGAGCAGCAGCTGCAGCAGGGGGTGGGCCGGCAGGGTGTGGCAGCATTACTGCTGGACGTGCGAGGTCAGATTAAAGCTGCCACTGCTGCAGCCGTTAGATGGACCATGGGGGATGGCAATAGGGACGGAGACGGAAGGGGAGGAGGAGGAGAGGGGGGAGAAGCGGAGAGGGAGTGGGAGGGGGAGGGGGAGAACGACGGTGACTCAGCAATGGCAGACTTGTCTCTGATTGGCCGAAGCATTTACGATTTGAGCGATGGGACGACAATTGTTGATGATTGGGTGGCGACGGTTTCGTCTTTACTGATGGATGACGAACCTAGACCAGATAGTGTGGTTTTCCCGCTTCATCTGGTCCCCATGGCTTTAATTTCCTCCAAGTCTATAATCTCCTCTGCTAACACCAGCGGCTCGTCCTTTAAATCCATGCCCATGGCAGCTCCTCTCACTGTTAACTTAGAGTTACGTGTGGTTACGGGGTTAGAGGCAGAGGTGAACCATCCAGTGTTGGTTTCACCTGGAGGAGACGCTCAGGTGAAAAGCCAGGTTGGAGGTCAGGTGGCGCCGTTTAAGACCACGCTGCTGTTGGGTGTGATGACTCCTTTGGAACAGAGTCATGGGGACCTGGAGGATAGGAAGGGGAAGGCAAGGGGAGGGAGGGAGGGCAGGGAAGAAGAAAAGGGGAGGGAAGGCAGGGGAAAGGGAAAGGCGAAGGAGGGCAAGGGAGGAGAGGGGAAGGGTGGGTTGAAGGGCGAAGGGGGGGAGATGAAGGGGAAGCAGCAGCGCCGACAGCAGCCTCTGCCACGTCAGGGATCTGGGCACCTGAGAAACCTTTCGGAAGGTTCCCTGCCTTTGGACTGGGGCAGCAGGGGAAATGGGGATGACAGTGTTGGTATGGGAAGGGGAGAGGTGGATGGGGAGGGTGTAAGGAGAGGAGGAGATTTGTATAATTCTGGTGCAAAGTTACCTGGGACTGGCACTCAGCGTAAGTTAGGTGGCACTCACCTGGCCGCCCCCAGTTCCCACCGCCCCCAGATGCTGCCAAAATCGCAATCTGTGTCACCAGGGCAGAGAGGGAGCAAGGTTAGGAGGAGGCATGGTTCGGTAGGGGAGGAAGGGGTGCTGGATATAGGTCCAGCCCGAACCTATAGCAAGACTAGGTTCGGCGGAGAGGCAGCAGCCGCGGCTGCAGCTGTATCAGCTGGTGCTGCTGCTGGTAGTGGTGCTGCTGGTGCTGCTGCTGGTGCTGCTGGTGCTGCTGCTGATGGCGCTACTTCCGGGGGTGATGCTGCTGCTGCTGCTGCCGCTGCTGGTGAAGGTGGGGTGTACAGGACAAAGAGTAAAGGGGCGGAGGAGAGGGAGAGGCGTGCACTAGTCAGGCGGAGATCGAGGTCTGTTGAGGAGGTGCCTCAGTGGGAGGCAGATCTTGAGCATGGGGATGAATCAGCTTATAAAGAGGATGAGGAGAGCAGGCAAAGACACCCTGATAGGGCAGAGCCACAAGGTAGCGTTTCTGAGAAATCTCAAAGACACCCTGATAGCGCAGAGGCACTAGAGAAACGGCGAGGGCCACGAGACGCACAAAAGCCAGCAACTGCTGCTGTAGCAGCAGTAGGAAGAGGAGGAGGAGCAGGAGGAGGAAGAGGAGGTGGAGGAAGAGGAAGAGGGGGTGGAAGGTCAGGAAGGGGAGCGCAGGTGCAGAGGTGTGCGAGCGATTTAAATTCCTCCTCCTACTCAACAGGCGCAGATTCCACCATCCACCATGCTTTCCCCAAGTCAGCGTCCTCTGGTGGGCGGCCGCAGCAGCCCAAAAAGCAGGAAGATGCTTATAACGCGGATGATCTTGATGGGGAGTCGCGTGAAGGAGAAGGGTTGGAGGATTGTAACGAGGATGGTTTTCACGGTAACGAATCGCATGGCTCGGTTCGTTCAGGTTCGATCCGCAAGGGTGGGAGTGCTGGTGAGTGTGTGTCAGCAGTGGGGAGGCAAGAGGAAAGTGGTGGAGAAGGTACAGGCAGAAGCAAGGTAACGGGGAGATCTGAGTCGCTTTTGAGAAATCTGAGAGGCGACTCTGGCTCAGGAGCAACTCTCGGGGAAGAACCTGACAGAAGCAGGGCAGTGGGGAAGGAAGTGGGGAGTGCGAGAGGAGGTAGTGAGGGTGTGGGGATGATGGGAGGAGCTGATGGTGAGACCATAGGGACTCTCCAGAGAGAGCGCGGTGTGAGAGGAGGTGGCGAGGGAGTTGGGATGATGGGAGGAGGAGATGGAGCAGGATGGGATGGGATCGGGAGGTCTCAAACGACAGGTGCGGGATGGCATGAGAGTGGGAGGTCCCGAACGTCAACTGCAGGTTCGGAGGGGCAGAAGTGGCATGAGAGCGGCAGGTCCCGAGCGTCAACTGCTGGTTCGGAGGGGCAGCAGGTTCGGCAGAGGCGTGTTTCCTTTTGGGACAATGGGGAAGCTGAGGATGGGGAGGAAGGCGAGGAGGGGGCGCAGGAGGTTTGGGGGAGGCGTAGAGGGGAGCGGGCAGGGGCGAGGGAAGTGGGGAGGGAAGGGGGGGGAGAGGAGAAGGGACGGAGGAAGGCGAGGGGAGGGAGTATGGGGAGTATACAGGAGCTCCTCCGATTCTTGCATCTGAGTTCCCATGAGGAAGGGAAGAGAGGACGAGGAGGGGGAGGAGGAGAACCCTTTATGGGTAGGCAAGAGCCGGTGCAGGCCGCTTTAGAGTCACAGCCGAATGAAAAGGCAGCTTTTAGGAAAGTGCGGGAGCAGGTGAGGAGGCGGAGAGGGGCATCCCTAGAGTGCTTCCCTGTGGCGTTCTCTCTGAGCGACCGGCATGCTGGAAGGTCGCCTCTCGTTGAGACGCATGAGAGAGCTTCTGCGAGCAGTGTGCACCCAGGGAAGGCCTCTTTCTCTGCTCCGTCTGGAAGGGTGTCCCGCGTCGACCGGCACACAGGGAGAGGGACGACGGAGGTGCAGGAGGAGCAGGAGGATGAGGAAGAGGAGGAAAGGGAGGAGGAGGGGGAGGTGGAAGAGGAGGAGGGGGAGGAGGAAGAGGAGGAGGAGGAAGCTGAGGAGGAGGAGGAGGGGGAAGAGGAGGGAGAGGAGGAGGAAGGGAAAGTGGAGGAGGAAGCGGAGGAGGAGGAGGGGGGAGAGGAGGAGGAGGAGGTGGCAGTAAAAGGGGAGTTATGGAATGGAGGCGAGAGGACGAGGCAAGGGAATAGTCGTGATACTGCTGCTGCTTCACGCTCGGATGTGGGTGGTATACCACGTGCTGCTGCTGCTGCTGCTGCTGCTGCTGCTCCTGCTGCTCCTGTGTCTGCAGCTGTGGGTGGTATACCACCTGGTATGGCTGTGGGTGGTATACCACGTGGTGCTGGCGCAGTTGCGAAGAGGCAGGAGCAGAGTGGAAGTGGGCACCAGCAGGTGCTAGTGCAGCCAGGAGTTCTCATGCAGCACCACTCGCAGCACCAGACCCAGCAGCAGCAGCAGCAGCACCAGATGCAGCAGCAGCAGCAGATGCAGCAGCAGCACCAGATGCAACAGCAGCACCATGTGCAGCAGCAGCACCAGCAGCAAGAGGCACAGCCGCAAGAGCTGCAGCAACAGGCGCAGCAGCAGCCCCAGCAGCAACAACTCATATACTTGCAGGAGCTACAGCGTCTGTATGGAAACATCCAAGCAGGTTCTGCTGGAGGGTTCGATCCAGGTGGTTACCAGATGGTTACTGAATCTGCGTGCCAGAACGTCCCCACCTATTCTGCTGTTAATGATGCCACTCCCTCGATTGCTGCTGCTGCTGCTGCTGCTGCTGCTGGTAGTGGTGCTGGCGGTGCTGTTGGTGATGGTGCTGGTGGTGGTACTGCTGCTGCTGCTGCTGCCACTGGTGCCGGTTTTTCTGCCGCTGGTGCTGGTTTTGCTGCTGCTGCTGGTGGTGCTAATTTTGCTGCTTCTGGTGCTGGTGGTGCTAATTTTGCTGCTTCTGGTGCTGGTTTCGCTGTACCTGCTGCCTCTGCTGCGGCTGCTCCACACCCTACTAGAGGCGTCTTTCCCCGCAGCCAATCTATGGCTGTTGGTGCTGGTTTGGCTGCTGCTGGTGCTGCTGCTGGTGCTGGCCCTGCTGCTGGTCTTGCTCATGGTCTTGCTGGTCCTCCTGTGTCTGCTGCTGCTGCTGGTGCTGCGGCTGTGGCTGCTGCACGCCCCACTAGAGGGGTCTTTCCCCGCAGCCACTCGATGGCTGTTGGGGTGAGTAGAGGGGGGAAGGGCGCAGGGAGTGGTAAAGACAAGGGAGGAGGAGAGGGGGAAGCAGGAGCAAAGGGAGGAGGAGCCGGGGGAAAAGGAGGTAGGGAGGGGGTGCGGGTAGGAGGAGGGGCAGGAGGTGTGGGAGAGGTGAGGAGAGTGGGAGCAGGGGGGGAGGTGAGGCGAGTGGGGGTACGGGAAGACAAGGTGAGGCGAGTGGCAGTACGGGTAGGTGAAGAAGAGATGAAACCGAGGCTGTTCAAATCCCAGTCGTTTGCTCTGGGAGGGGGGAAAGCAGGGGACACTGCTGCTGCTTTGGTAGGAAGTGGGGGGCTGATTCAGAGGCTGTTCAAGGGGCATGGGGGCGGGTCTGGTGAGGATGGGCAGGGAAGAGAAAGAGGGAGGTCTGATGCAGTGGGGAAGAGAAGCAAGGGGCGGATGGGGGCAGCAGAGGGGATTGCAGAGGAGGAGGGAGAAGGGGAGGAGGATGGGGAAGGGGATGCGGAGGGGGAGGTGGAAGGAGAAGGAGAAGGGGGGGAGCAGGAAGAGGAGGTGGACTCTGATGAGGAGAGGAGGAGGAGGAGGTTGGAACCCAAAGAGGTGAAGATTGCTCGTATCAAACGCATGCTCGCACAGGGAGCAACTGCTGCAGGAGCAGAAGGAGCAGAAGGAGCAGCAGGGGCAGCAGGAGCAGCAGGAGCGGCAGGAGCGGCAGGAGTAAAAAACAATCGAGATTCGCACGAAGCTATGAATCAGCCTTGGGGAACGCACCCACTCCAGTCATCAGCTTCAGGCGATCAAAAGTCTGGGAATTTTCCAGGAAATGCAGCAAGCCAAATTTTACCCTTTGGGTATCCTGGGAATTTAGGAGGCGCAATTCTTGGCCCTATACCTCAGGCAGGGGGGGCAGTGGGTGGTGGTGCTAGTATGGGAGGTGTGTACAGAGGGATGTTTAACCCGTACCAGCAGCAGCAGCAGCAGCAGCAGCAGCAGCAGCAGTGGCAGTACCAGCAGTACCAGCAGTTTCAGCAGTTTCAAGGAAATATGCTCCAAGGCCCGAGCAGCAGGCTAGCACCAGGGCTAGCAGGAGTGGATAGTACCACTGCTGGTGGCGCTGGTGGTGCTGCTGATGCTACTGGTGCTGGTGCTGTGGGAATGGGTGGGATGAGAGAGGGGCAGTGGCAGGGACAGGTGCAACCAGCAGCGCACCTGTCTCTGCAGCAGCAGTCTACTGGCCTGTGGCAGCAGCAGCAGCAGCCGCAGTTACATCAACCGCAACAGCAGCAGCAACAGCAGCAGCAAAATTTGCAGCAGCAGCAGCAACAGCGACAACAATATCAGCTGCATCAGCAGCAGGCGCAGCATAAGCAACAGCAGATGCAGCAACAGCAGCAGCAGCAGCAGATGCAGCAACAGCAGCAGCAGCAGCAGCAGCAGATGCAGCAGCAGCAGCAGCAGATGCAGCAGCAGCAACTACAGATGCAGCAGATGCAGCTGCATGCGCAAAGACAAGAGACGGCCGTGACTTGTGACCCAACTCAACAGTCAGCAGCAAGTAGGCCAGGAACAGCCGTTTCTCACCCTCTCAGTGATGTCGGCTCGGCCCCTCTTGCAACACGATCCTCCACCGCCACGTCCCTCCCTCCCCCCTCCAGCAATTTCCCTGCCTCTTCTAGCAATTTCCCTCCCTCCTCTAGCAATCTCCCCCCACTACCCAGGGGTTTCGCCCCCGGTGTTTCTGCAGCAGGGCCGTTTTTGTCTGGGCCCTTGCCTTGCAACCTTGGGTCTGGTAGTTTCCAGACTGGTAACCTGTTACCTGGTTACCGCGTTGGCAGCAGAAGCTTTGATTCCGCCACCACCCTGTGTGCCAACAGTGACGGCGCTGCACCGGGCAACAGAAGCTTACCCGGTACGACTGGTGGGAGTGCTGGTAGTGCTGTTGCCACGGGCGGCCGGCATCGCCCGTCTTATAGTGTTTCTGCCTTGCCAATGGCTGATTGGAGCACTATGGTTCCTGCTGTGGCTCCCACCGGGGGAGGTATGGCAGGTAGTAGTGCTGTGGGAACCATGGTTCCGGGTGCTATGGCGTTTCCACCACATTATGGCATGCCACCTGCTCCCGGGATTGCCGGATCTGGAACGAGGATTGATAGAAAGCGCAGCGCGTCATGGGGTGGTGGGGCGGCTGCTGATTCGGCACCTGGGTTCATAGGTTGATGTGTCCCAAGGGCAGCAACAAGTGATGTTGAATCTCATCATTTTCCTAATAATGGACAATTTTTTGGTGGTCCTCATAGAAAATGCCTCTAGAGCTGAGTGGTTTTGTGGTCATTATTTATGTATGTTTTCTCATATATTGTGCATTTATTTATTTGTTGGAAGCCAAATCCAGTTGTGCATCTGCAGTCCCAATTGATACATCGAAACTTGTTTTGTACACTTGCATCGTTTGCGCATCCCTCTTATACTTACCAAGGAGCTACGTAATGAGAACCGTTCCACTTTTCCATGCAATCTGCCAGCTTCACGAAACTGGATTTCCCTTGCTGCCCGCCAGCTCAGAAATCGCCCGTCATCGCGAGTTTCGAATACAAAACATTTCCATACCAGTGAACTGTAGCACAACACAGGTGCATCATTTTCAGTTCAGTTCAGACAGAACTTGCCCGCGCCTCGTCATTTTTGGAGCACATTCACCACCACAAACCGAATCGCGGATTCGAGAGATTCGGCCTGAACTGGCCCACAGGAGGAAATTGGCCTTGTGATAAACCAGGCGGAATTGTGTTGAGCTGAGCGAGAGAACCGGGCAACCCCACCCGCCCCGCAACGACTCTTTTTCCTCCGACACCCATGAACGACAGAAAGCACAACACATGACCGCCTCTGGCTTGAATCTTACAGAGCAGCCAAGCTTGATTGCTGCCTACTGCTCACCTCCACCTAGCATTGCCCAGTTGGCCGTTGCCTGCATTGTCTTCGCATCGCACATGCGCTGCTCACATCATGGCAGCTACGATTTATGATTGCACCACCGAACAGCTGTTCTAGTTTAGTGCTGCTCTGCTCACGCAGTACACAGTACAGGCCGTGCTCTTTGTGGAAGGACGAAGAAGGACGCGTAGATTGCTCGCGTTTCAGAGAAAGGGTCATCAGCGGAAGCATCAGGTTCACACGTTGCTCGGTTTGTTCGTTCATTGATATATGCGTGTGCAGCAGACAGATGCATGGGGGTTGTTTTTGGGGTGGCATTCTATCCACCCGCCCTCCCACGCACAGGGATGGGATGGATGGGGAATCACGCCCAATCGGATGCATCTGTTCTCAAAGGGCGGCTGTCCCGAGCGACACGGCCAGTCGCTCAAACTTTGAGCGACGCCAGCGCGACGCCGCGCGATTCTTAGCATGAGGCAATTCATGTCTTGCGCTGTGCTGCTGAGCTGCTGAAGAAAAAGCTACGTTGCTGAGCAGCTGCGTACGAAGCTTCGCTGCTGGAAAGGCACGAGCTCCACGCGGCGATTTTTTCGCCGCATCATGCGGCAGACGCGTCGGTCGAGTCAATCCCCTGCCACGATCCGATCGGGAATGAAACCCTGGCAATACGAAAAATATCGTATCGCAGCGACGATCGCGTTTCATGAAGAAAACCACGATGCAACTTGTCTTGCTATCGTAGGCTCACCTCGAAACGCGACCCCGATATATATACTATATACCTCGCACAGGAAGATAAGGCAGCGTTGTCAAGTCACGTAGGATGATAAGGCGGTTTTGCCTAGTCACAACGTTTCGACCATTGACAAGGGCCTCAGAGGAACGTCGTTTTGACCGTCTGTTGGCATTCTCACAAGTGAAGTGACCTTCAGTTTTCTCGTTCAAGCACCAAGCAACGTCGCGAACGTCCTTCGACCTCGTGTTTGCCATCGCCTACAAGCAACTTACGTCGCAAACGCCGTTCGACGACGGACGGCGCACCTTTCAGCGACGTTCGGATTTTCGGGGAGTCTCTATACGGTGTAGTAGTCGACTTAGTTACGACTACGTCTCGAAAATAGTCGATAGTATCGTTAGTAGCATCATCGGGTAATGGGCGGCCACGATGCGTTCTCGCGTGCCGCCTTACGCGGCGACACGTTTACAGGGACTGACGTATCAGCGGCGGTGTATTCCGGAACAAGCTTTCCCGCATTATCTCCCGCCGTACATCCCGCCGCATCTCCCGCCACACATCCCACCGTACGTCCCGCCGCATCTCCCGTTCCCTGGCGCGAGCGGAACGCGGACGCGGCGGCGGCGGAGACGGACATGAGATGGGCGGTAGCGCGATTCGCGGCCTCTCCTCGTACTGTCAGAAGGAACACTGCTCTTAATACTCCTACCGCTACCACTAGGAATACCGCAATGGATACCGCCACGAATCAGGGCGCACGCAGGGGGTCTCCGCGACAGCCGGCGGAAAAAGTGTCTCCCGCAGCGCTAGAGCATCCGCGGACGTTTGAGTCGCCAGCGCGGGTGTCTCCCCGGCAGGTGGCGGAAAAGGTATCGCCCGCAGCAAGGAAGGGTGACCCGCAGCCGCCGCTTGAGTCGCCCGGAAGGCGCTCAGCGCGGGGAGGGGCTTCGCAGCAAAGCGGCGGCGAGCGGAGGAAGGCCGACGTGAGGAAATTGTCGGATTCGCGTGAATTGCCTAACACAGCAGCCGTTGAAGCAGCACGGGAGGGTGACCCGCAGCCGCCGCTTGAGTCGCCCGGAAGGCGCTCAGCGCAGGGGGCATCGTCGCAGCAATGCGGCGGCGAGAGGAGGAAGGAGAGGGCGGAGGCGAGGAGGTCGCTGGATTCGTGTGATTTGCTGAAAAGGCCAGTCGTTGTGGCAGCGGGGGGTTGGTCTCCCCAAGCATCGTGTGGCGGGAAGGAGCGGGCAAAGAAGGGGGTGCTGAAGGACAAACTCCTAAAGGGAGGGGAGCGAGAGAAGGGAGAGGAGTTGAAGGATAATTTTTTGAAGGGGCAGGGGATTCTTGAAGGTGCATCTCGTGGCAAGGGAAGGACGCCGGTGGTAGGCAGCAGCAGGAAGGCCAAGGAGCGGGAGACGAAGGAGTTGACAGATAAGCTGCTGAAGGAGTTTTTTGAAGGGGCACCGTGTGACATTGAAGGAACACCGAGTGGCATTGTAGGAGCATCTCCTGGCAAACGAAGGCCGCCCATTGTTGGCAGCAGCAGCGCGAGGGCGAACGGCAGGAGGACTATTGGGTCGCTGGCAGAGCTGCGACAGCTGGAAATGACGGAGCATGGGGAACGGATGACGCAGCACGGGCGGCAGCTGACGCATTATGAGCGGCAGCAGCGCAAGGAGTTGGTTAAGAGGGGTAACAGCGGGCCTCTGCGCATGTCTCCCTCCGCCCATGCCGTCCGCAGGCGCAACAGGAGCATGGGGGACGATGCAGCTCTTTTTGACCCGACCCAACAGGCGCAGCAGTCACCTCGCAGGCGAAACAGGAGCACGGAGCTTGATCCAGCACCTGTGACTCTACCCAAGAGTCGCCTAGGGATTGCTCCTGCAGCATTGCATGTAATGTCATCGGCAAGCGACGAAGAGGGCGAGAAAACTCGCGCTGGTAACCGCGTAACGCATCGCGAGTCATCCGTCCCTTCCTCGGCAGGCAAGCACGCAGACTCTGGGAGAATGGAGAGCCTTGGAGCGGTGGTTGAAAGCCCGAGATACGAGTCGTTGAACGCACAAAGGGAGGCGGACGGAGAGGGGACAGATGAGGAGGAAGAGGAAGAGGAAGAGGGTGATGGAGATGAAGATGCATGCAGAAGTTTTCAAAGCAGCAGAGGTGTATCAGACGCAGGCTGCTATGGTGAATCTCCTCCTGCCACAGCCGTTCTTTCCGCTGCTCCGCGTCTGGACCAGCCGCAGTGTTTCTCCCCTGAAGCCACTCCACCCGGTCGCCTCGCATCCTCGCTCAAAGCACTCGTTGGCAGGTTGACGTTCGCCCGCACTCGCGGGGACGGCAGCAGAGGAGGGGACAGAAGGGCTGGGGGTGGCAGTGGTGGCGGCGGCAGTGGTGGTGGCGGCAGTGGTGGCGGCGGCAGTGGTGGTGGTAGCGGCAGCAAAGCTGGTGGGTTCAAGGAGCCACCAACACCAACGCACGGGCTGCAGCGTGATGGAACTGTGAAACCGAGGGGTGGGAAGGCAGGCGGTGCTGATCGAACGACCAGCAGAAGCTGTTCCAAGGGTCCGTGTGATCCCACGGTCCGGCCCTCGTTCCAAGGGGAAACTGCAGCAACAGCAGCTATACCATCGACGCCAACAGCACTAAAATCACCTACAGCCCCTGCAGCCCCTGGAGACCTAGTGGCTGTGAAACATGGTGTCGGTGCAGGTGTAGTTGCAGCAGACACACGTGTCCCCCAAGTGTTACCAGCCGGGCGGCTCAGTGACAGAGTTTTTGCAAGCCAGCCAGAGAATGCTGGCCATACGGAGGTTGCCGGCCAGCCGGAGAATGCTGGTTGGGGTGATGCAGCGGGTCAGCGGTACGAGCAAGGCTGGGAAGACATGCATCAGGCACACCTGCTTTTCCAGCACAATGGGGGTACGGACCTCTACCAGCAGGTTTACCATCTAGAGAGTTATCAACCGGAGGCTTGTCAGCAAGAGTTTTATCAGGGAGAGGTTTATCACTCGGACGTGCCAGGGCTGAACTTTGACTCGCCTCTAAGTCGTCTGCATCACCACGACAACCGCAGTCACGATTTGTACGGGCAGGTTCACCTGCCCGAGGTGCAAGTGCAGGACGAGGCATGGAGACCCCCAGCAGCACCAGCCGCAGCGGCAGCAGCAGCAGCAGCAGCGGCGGCAGCAGCTGAAGTGGCAGCAGCAACTGCAGCAGCGGCGGCGGCTGCGGGAATGGCTGGGGCATTGAAAGTGCAGCGATGGCTGCAATCGGCGGATTTCACCGCCTGGCCCGTGGAGGCAGAGGTGGAGTGGGATGCGAATGGGTGGGAAGGGGTGAGCATGTGGGATGGGAGGAGCACGTGGGAAGGGGGAAGTGTGTGTGGAGGGGTTGGGGTGCGACCTTGGGTGCATACTCCCTGCCACACTCTTTTTGAATTTCAAGAGGATATATCAGTTTCGGAAGCAGCTGCACTCTGGGGTGTCAATGGAACACATGCTGTGGAACCAGTATCCTGCACTTCAACTGTGAGGCACTCAGGTGTTCCGCAGTGGTATCCTTTTGAGCAAGTTCCGATACAAGCATCTGGTTTCACGCAGCAAATGGAGTTGGATCAGCAACATTTAAAGGATGGATTGTGGTCGCATGAGGCGACACCGTACACACACGTTTCAAGCGGTTACAATTGCCACCAGATGCAGTTGCAGTACAACAATGCGCATTCGTGTGGTTCGCCTGCCCAAGATGAGTGGCACCGTGAACTGTGGTTTGCTCCCAGTGCTCAAGCGATAAGATATCCCTGAACATTTCTGTGTCAACCCTAAGGTAATTGGATGTGAAATTCGTTGAGCAATCAACAATTTACTTATTAAATATAGCTGACTCGCTTGGATGATTGGGGAATAATGTGTATTCCGTAACTGTAACCGTATAATAGGTTCTCGTCAGTTCGCCTCGCACATGAATCGTTACCCACCAAACCCACCTCCCTCCCAAATACCCAAACCCTAGAGACAAAATCCTAGACCCAGGCGTACTTATTTCCCAAGCCCCAGTATTTCGTACTTTTCGAGTGTGTTGGGCTCGGCTCCGTTTACCGTCGCACGCCGTCGCCAGTCGTCGTTGACGCCTGCGCCGTGCAGTCTGCGGCTCGCCTTGTCCCAGTTGCACGCCTCGAGTCGTGCTACGTGCCACCCTTCGTTTAGTTATTTCCAGACGTTTCTGAAGTATCTTCCCGCATTGACTACTGCAGCTTCCTCAGAAGCAGTCTGCTGTAGTAGGTGCACAGGGCATTACCGAAGGCTTCTCGCTGTCGTAGGTTCTTTCGCCTTGCGTTAATTTTCGCAATTCCAACCGCACCCAGATATTCGCTGCGATTCCACCCTTAGTGTGCAGAGAATATTTGCTACGTTCAGAACCCGCACTTCGTTCAGCGGCAGGTTTACGGCCCGTTGTCAGAACCTAGTATCGAGTCGCTCATCGGCGCGGCGCGATGAGATTAGAGAAGTGCTGGTTCTGCTCGTCGACCGTGTATCCCGGTCACGGCATCTGCTACGTGCGCAATGACGCCAAGGTGAAGTGAAATCCTTAACGGATTCCATTCAGTCTTGGGGGGCTCTATACCTCAGATTAACACAGCTAGCCTATTAGACACGCAATTAAACCCGACTCTTCGCGGTGTTTTGGGGAATTCATTTTTTTTTTCTCGTTTCTGTGCTGTGTGCGGGCAGGTGTTCCGGTTCTGCCGGTCCAAGTGCCACCGGAATTTCAAGCTGAAGCGCAACCCGCGCAAAGTGCGATGGACCAAGGCGTACCGCCGCCTTCACGGCAAAGACCTCGCCGCCGTGAGTTTTCTCCCCTTTCCCTTCCTCCCATCATTCTTCCATCAGCCTTCCTCTCCTATCCCCTCCTCCCGCACCCCGCGCAAAGTGCGATGGACCAAGGCGTACCGCCGCCTTCACGGCAAAGACCTCGCCGCCGTGAGTTTTCTCCCCTTTCCCTTCCTCCCATCATTCTTCCATCAGCCTTCCTCCCCTATCCCCTCCTCCCGCACCCCGCGCAAAGTGCGATGGACCAAGGCGTACCGCCGCCTTCACGGCAAAGACCTCGCCGCGGTGAGTTCCCCACTGCTCTCCGCTCCCTCCCTAGTCCTCCCGGTTCGGGTGGTTTCAGGATCCATTTCCCTGTGCAGTCCTCTCGTGCTCACTCTGTTTACCCTTACCCAACTCCCCATTCCCCAGCTGCCCCTCCTTCCCACCCCATCCCCCCGCTTTCCTTTCTTTCACCTCCCCGTCTCCCCCCACCTTAAACCCCCCCTCCCCACACACCCCTCCCTTCCTTTTTTACACCCCTCCCACCAGGACACTACCTTTGAATGGAGTGGAGGCGCAACCGGCCGGAGCGGTACGAGCGCAACGAGGTGGCGATGAGTGACTGAACTCACGCTCACTCTGCGTGCCCCCGACAAACCCCTCCCCCCCCCTTTCCCCCCCAAAACCCCTTCTCCCCACCCCCGCCCCTTCACCACCCTCAGGACACGACGTTTGAGATGGAGCGGCGGCGCAACTGGCCCGAGCGGTACGACCGCAACGTGGTGGCATTGAGAGACGGTGGCGGCCATGAAGAGACCACAGGCTCCACCCGCGCTCTCATGCGCCTCTAAACCCAACCCCCAAATCCTTCAACCCTTCCCTCCTTCCCTGCCCCCCACCCTCCTTCCCTCCGCCCTCCCCTCTCCCAACTCCTTAAACGCTACCCACCAATGCGTCCCGCCACACCTCAGGACACGACGTTTGAGATGGAGAGGCGGCGCAACCGCCCCGAGCGGTACGACCGCAACGTGGTGGCGACGACGGAAGACCACATGCTCGCTTATGCGTTCAAACCTTCCCTCCCTCCCTTCCCCCAACCCCACACTCAGGATACCACCTTTGAGATGGAGCGCCGAAGGAACCGCCCTGAGCGGTACGACCGCAACGTGGTGGCGACGACGGTGGCGGCGATGAAACGGATCGACGAGCTGCGCGTGAAGCGGCAGGCCAAGTTCTGGGAGAAGCGGTGAGTGCAGTGGAGGGTGGGAGGGAGTGGTGAGCGGTGGCTGGCAGAGCAGGTGCAGCAAGAGTGGAATTCCATCTCCACTTGACCTCCTGCCCTCCTCCCCTTTTAATCTCCTCCCCTTCGCCGTATCCTTGCTCCTTCAAACAGAATGAAGGTGAAGACGAAGGAGGAGCGGCAGCAGGCACGCCAAGAGCTGGAATCCGGAATCCACCTGGTGAAGGCCCCAGCAGCACTGCCGACCGCCCCTTGCTCACTCTGCTGCTTACCCTCTTCCCGCCGTGCTTCCCACCCATGGTTCTCCCTTTTCACCATCAACAGAATGAAGGTGAAGACGAAGGAGGAGCGGCGGCAGGCACGCCAGGAACTAGAAACCGGAATCCACCTGGTGAAGGCCCCAGCTGCCCTCGCAGCAGACCCGTCCCTCACCCTCCCCAAGCCCATCTCCACGCTCTCAGCGTCCGTGGCGGAGCAAGCAGCCAAGGAGAAGGCGATTGCAGTTGCCATGGAGGAGGGCGAGGAGGTGGGAGGGGAGAGGGCGGGGGCAGAGGCGAGGGCGGAGAGGGCAGTCGAGAGGAAACTGAAGGGGAAGATGAAGGTGAAGGTGGGACGGGTGAAGGGTGCTGTGATGGATGCGGATATGGAGGGGTGAGCAGGGGTAGAGAGGAAAGGAGGGAGGGGAGAGGGAGGGAGAGGAGAGGGAGGGAGAGCGGAGCAAGCAGCCAAGGAGAAGGCGATTGCAGTTGCCATGGAGGAGGGCGAGGAGGTGGGAGGGGAGAGGGCGGTGGTAGAGGCGAGGGCGGAGAGGGCAGTAGAGAGGAAACTGAAGGGGAAGATGAAGGTGAAGGTGGGGCGGGTGAGAGGTGCTGTGATGGATGCAGATATGGAGGGGTGAGCGGTGGCAGGTGTGGTCCAGCAAGGGATCTGGGAGGAGTGATTGGGAATCTGGGACTGATGGCATTTACAGCATGGGCTGTTAGACCTTGGGGCTGTAAATGTGTTGTCGATGTGTTCATGTTGAATGGTGGGGAAGTGGTTTGCGTTGCAGTCTGCTGCTCTCAGCGCCCCCATGCAGTTACTGATTCTTTAAGACTCTGGAAACTTTGAGAGCCTTTTTGCCTGTCCTGTACAGTACGTAGTAATTCCTATGGCACCTACCTAATTCGGCGCTCATTATCCAAAGTCTTTTTGACACGCACTACAACAGAATCACTCAGCATGGGGTACACTGTTGTCAGTTGTAGCAGCTTTTAGCAACTCTCACCACCACTCACAACTTTGCCTCAACTTACACCAAGTGTACACTAAGAGCGTATTCATATCCTCGTATCAAGAGAACCTCATATCAAGATTGTACTTTTTGCCTGGTAAAACTAGCGAGAGGTTTTGGGTTTAGGAGAATTTTCAGCGGGAAGATGATATGAGGTTCTCTTGATACGAGGATAGGAATACGCTCTAATCAGAGATTCTCACTGTTACCGGTACCAATAATAAGCTTGGAGTATTCTTCAATCGCAGCAGCTTCTAACGAGACATCCAGGTCATACTCAGCATAGGGATCCCCACTCACTCCCTTCCGTATCTCCCCCTCCATCTCCTCATCCCTCTCCTCCTCCTCACTACCCTCACCTCCCTCACTCCCCTCACTCCCTCCCTCACTCCCTTCCCCTCCCTCAACATCCATCCCCCCTGCTCCCCCACTTCCCTCTATCCCCTCTCCCCCTGCACCCCCTTCCCCTGCCCCGTTTCCCTCCTCCCCTTCCCCTCCTTCCCCACTGTCCCCGCCCTCCCCAGATCCTGCCTCTCCATACTCCCCTTGCAGTAAAGCTGCTGCTGCTGCTTCCACGTCATTGCTGCTGGCCTCTAGAGCTTGTCGGGCTGTGTGGGGTGTGGATGAAAGATGTGGGGATGCGGAGAATGACTTTTGAGTGGACTCAAAAGCTGCCCCATACCCTCCCTTCCACCAGAGCTGCTGCTGCTGCCGCTGCTTCCATCGTTGCCTGCTGGCCTCTAGAGCTTGTCGGGCTGTGAATTAGGGAGGAGTGTGTACGGGGGGAAGGGTGAGGGGATGGGGAGAATGTTTTTTTAGTCGACTAAAAAGCTGCCCCATACTCCCCTTGTGCCGCTGCTTTCACGTCGTTTCTGCTGCCCTCCAAGGCACGCCGGGCTGGAGTTAAAGGGGAGCGTGTGGGGGGAAAGTGTGGGTACGGCATGTCATGGGTTTGGTATGGCATGGTAAGGCATAGCACGGCACGGCATGGCATGGCACGGCATGGCACTAAGCAGGTACTTACCTTGCTGAGCAGAGAAACCCAGTGCCACCAGAGCGGCCACTGAGTCATCAGAACACATGCCGCCAGCACCAGCACCAGCACCAGCACCACCACCGCCTCTGCTGTACCTCCTCCTCCTGCCACCATCCGCTTTCCCCTCTGCCACTGCCACCTGAAAGCACAAGAGTGTGTGGAGGGAGGAGTGCAGGGGATATTATTTATTCGACACAAAAAAGGGTGACTTCTGAGTCGACTCAAACGTCATCCGCTTTCCCCTCTGCCACTGCTACCTGAAAGCACAAGAGTGTGTGGAGGGAGGAGTGCAGGAGACTTTTGAGTCGACTCAAAAGTCACCACTGCTACCTGAAAGCACAAGAGTGAGTGGAGGGAGGAGTGCAGGGGAGATTTTTTATTCGACACAAAAAAAAGCTCTTCGCTCCGCTACTGCCACCTGAAAGCACGTGGGTGTGAGGAAGCTTGCAGGGGTGAGTGAGAGTGAGTGCAGGACCCAAAGTCAGGCAATCTCACTGTTCACCTGAGAGCGTGCGTGGTGGTGTGTGGAGGATTGTAGGCGGGTAAGGAGTTGCCTCGTGGTATGTCTGTGCCACATTAATGAGCGACAATGAGCGACAATGAGCGACAATGAGCGACAATGAGCGACAATGAGCGACAATGAGCGACAATGAGCGACAATGAGCGACAATGAGCGACAATGAGCGACAATGAGCGACAATGAGCGACAATGAGCGACAATGAGCGACAATGAGCGACGATGAAAGCGTCAAGAAAGCCGAGAGGGTGGACTTGCCTCGAGAGCGGCGAGGGAGTTGGGGTCAAGAAGGGCGTCTAGGGCCTGCTGGTGATGGTTGAGAGCGGTAGAGAGGGATAGAGGTGGACAGAGAGGAGCCTAAGGGGTGGACTTGCCTCGAGAGCAGCGAGGGAGCTGGGGTCAAGAAGGGCGTCTAGGGCCCGCTGGTGGTGGTTCTCACTCTGCCTGAGTGCCTCTGCTGCCACTCGCCGCATGAAGCTGAGATGGTGGGGAGGCACACAGAGGGGTGGAGAGCGGAAGAGAGGGGTCGAGAGGGTAAACTCGCCCAAATGTCAGCGATGGAGCTGCGGTCAAGAAGGGTATCGAGGGCCCTCTGGTGACGAACTCTGCCTGAGTGACTCTGCTGCCACTCGCCGCGTGAAGCTGAGATGGTGGGGAGGCACACAGAGGGTTAGAGAGGGGTAGAGTGGGGCAGGCAGAGCGGGAAACTCGCCCAGAAGGTAGCGAGGGAGTTGGGGTCAAGGAGGGCGTCGAGGGCCCGCTGGTGATGGTTCTCACTCTGCCGGAGTGCTTCTGCTGCTACTCGCCGCGTGAAGCTGAGACGGAGGGGAGGCTCAGGGGCATGGAGTGAAGAGATGAGGTGATATGGGGGATGGGGGGAGGGACAGAGGATGGGAGAGAAGTGAGAGCGTTTCAGTTCAAACATAAGATGAAAACTAAACTGCACGGATCGGATCAGCAGAGTGGGAATTTGGGTACAACTAGGAATCATGACCACTCGCATGATCCTAATGACGTCAGCATGACGTCATCCGCTCGCCCACTCACCCGTATGCTGCCAGCTCATCCAGCAGCCGCATGTCCACCTTCTTGCCATGTGGCGTCCTCCCATAGGCCCTCTGCTCCCTGCAGCCGCCAAGAACACGCCATGCACACGCCATGCACACGCCATGCACGCGCCATGCACACGCCATGCACACGCCATGCACACGCCATGCACGCGCCATATTCCATGCACCCACATGGTTGGTAGTGCAACGATACATTAATTTTCACATTCACTTTAACAGAGCATTTGTTTCCCAAGGAAAGGTGAAACATCATGCAGGACAAGTTTATAACAGCCCCACCCCCAAACCCCATAATGCTTCCCTTGCCGCCTCATTACCCTACTTCCTACATACACTTGATTCCCACATTTCCCACTCCCTCCCCCTCCCCCACAAACCTCTCCATCCGCCTCTGCTTTCTGTCCTCTTCTGCCTTCTCTGCCTCCCGCTGCCGTTGCAAGATGACAAACTCTGCCGCCCGGCTCACGTCACCGCCTGCCACGCGCAGTGCCCGCCTCGCCTCATTGGCCGAGAAGCCCATGCCTGCCAGGCTGGCCAATGACTCGTCTGCGACCTGCAGCTGAGGTGGCGTGACGAGGGGATGAGGGAGGAAGAGGGGGTAAGAGGGGGTAAGAGAGAGATGGTGATTAGGTGAGAGATGGTAACCGAAAAACCCATGCCTGCCAGGCTGGCCAATGAATCATCGGAGACCTGCAAGGTGACTTTTGAGTCGACTCAAAAGTCACCCTGAATCATCGGAGACCTGCAGCTGAGGTGGTGTGAGGGGGGTGATGAGGATGAGGAGAGATTAGGGGGGATGAGGCGCGGTGAGAAGGGATGAGGGGGGGTGAGGAGGAAGGAGGAGAGATGAGCGAAGGCGAGATATGAGAGAGTGAACAGCTGCAGAAGCTAATAAGAGTTGGATAATAAAGCAACGAACGAGAATGGTGATTAGACTGAACTGCGTGCTGCTGCTCCATTCCAGGCGAGCGGTACCTGCTGAAAGAGGGGCTGGGCTAATAATGTTTTAGAATCTCTAAAACTTGAAAATCCCTTTTCCCGGGCAGTACCTGCTGAAAGAGGGACTGGGCCGATGCTAGTAGCGGGCGGGCTCGCGTCAGGTCGCCACTGTGGTAAGCTGCAATGGCGTCTAACAGGTCAAGACGGAGGTACCTATAACGAGTATGGGCAATGGGAGGTGGGGGAAAGGGAGTGCGAAACGCACAGATTTCGGGAGAAAAGGGAAAGAGAAAGGGAGAAAGGGTGGGCAGGTGTGAAACGGAGGGAAGGAACGCTGGACGAAGGAAGGGAACGGAACGAAGAAGGATTTTGGAGTGACTTTTGAGAATTTTGAGAATTTTGAGAATTCTCAAAAGTCACTCCAATATAGGAACGGAACGAAGAAGGATTTTGTAAACGGGAAGCAAAAGCCAAACCGCTATAAAACGGCAGCCCAAGAGAATAGCACACCAGAAACGACCCCGTGCTATACTTGCTTCGTTACTCACGTGGCTAGCTCGGGTCAGAAGTTTCCCTGAAGCATCCTCAGCCGTGACATGTCTGCGCCGTGCGCCTTGCGCAGAGCAGACCGGGCGGCAGCAAGCCGTCCTTTAGCGGCTGCCAGACTGGCGACATTTTTTGTCATGAAGTGGCACCATACGATGTCCAATAGCAGCATGGGGATGTTGTCTATAGACTGGACGGATGGAAGGAAAGGGAAAGAGAGGCATGAAAAGATAAGATAGAGAGGCTTGGAAGCAGCATTGGGATGTTGTCTATGGACTGGACGGATGGAAGGAAAGATAGAGAGGCATGAAAAGATAAATGAAGGGCTTCTTTAACAGATAAGTGAATGGTAGGAAAGGGAAAGAGCCTCGGAAGGAGCATGGGGGTGTTGTCTATAGACTGGACGGATGGAAGGAAAGGGAACGAGCCTTGGAAGAACATGTGTGTGCTGTTGCTTTTTTTTTTTTTTTTTTTAGCAAGAAGAAATTTGCATAATGGTACGGCAAGCGAGGGTGGTAACATTAAGGATGGATCTGTGGGGTTGATGCTGAGCTGTACATTATAAAGAAGGAACCCGTTTCTGCGCAATCATGGAATAGTCCGTTGGGAGCAGCAGGACAGAGAAAGAAAATGCTGGAAGACAAGGGAAGGTTGGTCACAAGGGAAGGTTGGTCACAAGGGAGGGTTGGTCACAAGGGAGGGTTGGTCACAAGGGAGGGTTGGTCACAAGGGAGGGTTGGTCACAAGGGAGGGTTGGTCACAAGGGAGGGTTGGTCACAAGGGAGGGTTGGTCACAAGGGAGGGTTGGTCACAAGGGAGGGTTGGTCACAAGGGAGGGTTGGTCACAAGGGAGGGTTGGTCACAAGGGAGGGTTGGTCACAAGGGAGGGTTGGTCACAAGGGAGGGTTGGTCACAAGGGAGGGTTGGTCACAAGGGAGGGTTGGTCACAAGGGAGGGTTGGTCACAAGGGAGGGTTGGTCACAAGGGAGGGTTGGTCACAAGGGAGGGTTGGTCACAAGGGAGGGTTGGTCACAAGGGAGGGTTGGTCACAAGGGAGGGTTGGTCACAAGGGAGGGTTGGTCACAAGGGAGGGTTGGTCACAAGGGAGGGTTGGTCACAAGGGAGGGTTGGTCACAAGGGAGGGTTGGTCACAAGGGAGGGTTGGTCACAAGGGAGGTTGGTCACAAGGGAGGGTTGGTCACAAGGGAGGGTTGGTCACAAGGGAGGGTTGGTCACAAGGGAGGGTTGGTCACAAGGGAGGGTTGGTCACAAGGGAGGGTTGGTCACAAGGGAGGGTTGGTCACAAGGGAGGGTTGGTCACAAGGGAGGGTTGGTCACAAGGGAGGGTTGGTCACAAGGGAGGGTTGGTCACAAGGGAAGGGTTGGTCACAAGGGAGGGTTGGTCACAAGGGAGGGTTGGTCACAAGGGAGGGTTGGTCACAAGGGAGGGTTGGTCACAAGGGAGGGTTGGTCACAAGGGAGGGTTGGTCACAAGGGAGGGTTGGTCACAAGGGAGGGTTGGTCACAAGGGAGGGTTGGTCACAAGGGAGGGTTGGTCACAAGGGAGGGTTGGTCACAAGGGAGGGTTGGTCACAAGGGAGGGTTGGTCACAAGGGAGGTTGGTCACAAGGGAGGGTTGGTCACAAGGGAGGGTTGGTCACAAGGGAGGGTTGGTCACAAGGGAGGGTTGGTCACAAGGGAGGGTTGGTCACAAGGGAGGGTTGGTCACAAGGGAGGGTTGGTCACAAGGGAGGGTTGGTCACAAGGGAGGGTTGGTCACAAGGGAGGGTTGGTCACAAGGGAGGGTTGGTCACAAGGGAGGGTTGGTCACAAGGGAGGGTTGGTCACAAGGGAGGGTTGGTCACAAGGGAGGGTTGGTCACAAGGGAGGGTTGGTCACAAGGGAGGGTTGGTCACAAGGGAGGGTTGGTCACAAGGGAGGGTTGGTCACAAGGGAGGGTTGGTCACAAGGGAGGGTTGGTCACAAGGGAGGGTTGGTCACAAGGGAGGGTTGGTCACAAGGGAGGGTTGGTCACAAGGGAGGGTTGGTCACAAGGGAGGGTTGGTCACAAGGGAGGGTTGGTCACAAGGGAGGGTTGGTCACAAGGGAGAGTTGGTCACAAGGGAAGGTTGGTCACAAGGGAGGGTTGGTCACAAGGGGAGGTTGGTCACAAGGGAGGGTTGGTCACAAGGGAGGGTTGGTCACAAGGGAGGGTTGGTCACAAGGGAGGGTTGGTCACAAGGGAGGGTTGGTCACAAGGGAGGGTTGGTCACAAGGGAGGGTTGGTCACAAGGGAGGGTTGGTCACAAGGGAGGGTTGGTCACAAGGGAGGGTTGGTCACAAGGGAGGGTTGGTCACAAGGGAGGGTTGGTCACAAGGGAGGGTTGGTCACAAGGGAAGGTTGGTCACAAGGGAGGGTTGGTCACAAGGGAGGGTTGGTCACAAGGGAGGGTTGGTCACAAGGGAGGGTTGGTCACAAGGGAAGGTTGGTCACAAGGGAGGGTTGGTCACAAGGGAGGGTTGGTCACAAGGGAGGGTTGGTCACAAGGGAGGGTTGGTCACAAGGGAGGGTTGGTCACAAGGGAGGGTTGGTCACAAGGGAGGGTTGGTCACAAGGGAGGGTTGGTCACAAGGGAGGGTTGGTCACAAGGGAGGGTTGGTCACAAGGGAGGGTTGGTCACAAGGGAGGGTTGGTCACAAGGGAGGGTTGGTCACAAGGGAGAGTTGGTCACAAGGGAAGGTTGGTCACAAGGGAGGGTTGGTCACAAGGGGAGGTTGGTCACAAGGGAGGGTTGGTCACAAGGGAGGGTTGGTCACAAGGGAGGGTTGGTCACAAGGGAGGGTTGGTCACAAGGGAGGGTTGGTCACAAGGGAGGGTTGGTCACAAGGGAGGGTTGGTCACAAGGGAGGGTTGGTCACAAGGGAGGGTTGGTCACAAGGGAAGGTTGGTCACAAGGGAGGGTTGGTCACAAGGGAGGGTTGGTCACAAGGGAGGGTTGGTCACAAGGGAGGGTTGGTCACAAGGGAGGGTTGGTCACAAGGGAGGGTTGGTCACAAGGGAGGGTTGGTCACAAGGGAGGGTTGGTCACAAGGGAGGGTTGGTCACAAGGGAAGGTTGGTCACAAGGGAGGGTTGGTCACAAGGGAGGGTTGGTCACAAGGGAGGGTTGGTCACAAGGGAGGGTTGGTCACAAGGGAGGGTTGGTCACAAGGGAGGGTTGGTCACAAGGGAGGGTTGGTCACAAGGGAGGGTTGGTCACAAGGGAGGGTTGGTCACAAGGGAAGGTTGGTCACAAGGGAGGGTTGGTCACAAGGGAGGGTTGGTCACAAGGGAGGGTTGGTCACAAGGGAGGGTTGGTCACAAGGGAAGGTTGGTCACAAGGGAGGGTTGGTCACAAGGGAGGGTTGGTCACAAGGGAGGGTTGGTCACAAGGTTGGTCACAAGGGAGGGTTGGTCACAAGGGAGGGTTGGTCACAAGGGAGGGTTGGTCACAAGGGAGGGTTGGTCACAAGGGAGGGTTGGTCACAAGGGAGGGTTGGTCACAAGGGAGGGTTGGTCACAAGGGAAGGTTGGTCACAAGGGAGGGTTGGTCACAAGGGAGGGTTGGTCACAAGGGAGGGTTGGTCACAAGGGAGGGTTGGTCACAAGGGAAGGTTGGTCACAAGGGAGGGTTGGTCACAAGGGAGGGTTGGTCACAAGGGAGGGTTGGTCACAAGGGAAGGTTGGTCACAAGGGAGGGTTGGTCACAAGGGAAGGTTGGTCACAAGGGAGGGTTGGTCACAAGGGAGGGTTGGTCACAAGGGAGGGTTGGTCACAAGGGAGGGTTGGTCACAAGGGAGGGTTGGTCACAAGGGAGGGTTGGTCACAAGGGAGGGTTGGTCACAAGGGAGGGTTGGTTGGTTACCTCTGTGATCTTGGCATCGCAGATGCTGAATGCTTCTGAGGTGACATTTGAGTCGACCCAAAAGAAGACTGGTTTGCTTGGAAAGAGAGAAAGCTGGTTACAGTTGTTGGCTGGTTGGTTGGTTACCTCTGTGATCTTGGCGTCGCAGATACAGAATGCTTCTGAGGTGACGTTTGAGTCGACTCAAAAGTAGACTAGTGTGTTTGGAAAGAGAAAAAAGCTGGTCAAAGTGGTTTGTTGGGTGGGTGGTTGGTTGGTTGGGTGGTTGCTTACCTCTGTGAACTTGGCATCGCAGATGCTCAATGCTTCCGAGTCGACTCAAAAGAAGACTGGTTTGCTTGGAAAGAGAGAAAGCTGGTTACAGTTGTTGGGTGGTTGGTTCGTGGTTACCTCTGTGATCTTGGCATCGCAGATGCTGAATGCTTCCTGCAACAACGAAACAGTGGCGCAGCGCAAGATATGGCATGAAAAGACTTTTGAGTCGACTTAAAAGTCACCACGACACAGCGGCGCAGCGCAAGATATGGCATGAAAACCTGCATGTTCATCTCATCCACAGGCGGCACGTTGGACTAGTGCAACCACAATCCGTTGAGGCATCTGAAAACACCAATGCACACAATGCACCATCGGAGCATCTTTAAAAAGTCACACAGGTAAGAAGCCAGTCTTGACGCTCTGTGTGAGAATTTCAAGGCAACGGAAGATTTGCACCTCGGCCATCTCGAGCACAGGGAGGGCTTCCACGAAGGTTCCTTTGCTGAGGAGTGCGCGACTGTGGGAGTGCAGCAGCAGACCAGACACCAGGGAGCTGTGGGGGAGTGGGCATAGCATAACACACACACACACACACACACACACACACACACACACACACACACACACACACACACACACACACACACACAAAAGTCACCTCATGCACGGAGTGATCGACCGGGGGAATGCAGCAGCAGACCAGACACCAGGGAGCTGCGGGGGAGTGGCCGAGAAACGGGGACGCATTTTTGAGTCGACTCAAAACGAGTGAGACAAGACGATGTTTGAGTCGACTGAAAAATAGTCTCATATCACCAGGGAGCTGCGGGGATTAGCCCAGAAACTGGGACGTAATGGAGAAGCCACGAACAAGAATATACACATGCACCTCCCGGTTGACTTTTAAGTCGGCTCCAAGGCCATGAACAAGAATATACACATGCGCATCCCGGTTTCAGATACACATGCGCGTCCATGAACAAGATTGCCTTTTGAGGCGCCTCAAAACTCGCACTGGAGAGGTTACGAACAGGAATATACACCACATGCATGTGACATGCAGCATGTCCCTGTTTCATATACACGTTGTGCATACATGCACACGTGAAAACAAGCACGCATGCACGCACACAAAGAAGAGCATGGGAGGAGAGTCGTTTTGGGTGTTGAGGCCGGCACTTTTGCTCACGGGCAGCCGTAACTGGAAGTTTAATGCCGTCCGGAAAAAATAAAGAAGCGCCGTGACTTACCGTTTATCGATTGGCACCATTTCCAGTCGTTGCCCGCTCTGATTCTCTAACAGCAATTCAGCATCATCGTCATCATCATCCCCACCATCGTCAGGCCCTCCCATTTCCCGCCCTCCCCTTTCCCCCCTGCCCGCCCTGCCTCTCCTCGCAATGGCACCTGCTGCGGCCCTGGCACCAGTCGAAGGAAAGGGGGGCGAAAGGGGAGATGGGAAGGGGAAAGGGGGAAGGGGAAGGGGGAAGGGGGAAGCGGGAAGGATGAAGGATGAGGGGGGAGGGGGGATGGTGACGGTGATGGTTAGTGAACAGAGGAAGGTGCCAATGAAACAACGACAACACCCCACCATGGCCCATGTGTGTTTCGTCCTCCTATGTTAGCCACTGAATTCCACTCTTTCAGCCACCCCATGCGCCATGTGTGCGCCACTCCTTCCCCTAATTGATCCCTCAAGTCCCCCCACTTTCTGCCATTCACAACACGTGGTAAAATTAGTGATTTGAGACGTCTCAAAAACACTACTTTTATCACCCCATGAGCCGTGTGTGCGCCACCCCTTCCCCTATTTCATCCCTTGAGTTGTCGTACCGCATCCAGTTCCTCCCCACTTTCAGCCACTCACTCACACCCCATTCCTCACCTCACTCGTGTCAACCTCTCCTCCCTCTCTTTCCTCGCAGCTTCCTCCTCCACCACTCGCTTCCCCTCTGCCGCAATCTCGCCGCCCAACCGCCTGCCGCCACCTGTCACCAAAAGCCGTGATCCTGCCCTCACCCCAACCTCCTCTAAACTCCTCCCTCGCCCGCCCTTCCGCTTTCCCAGCGCATTTCCCGTCCCCTTCCCCTCCCCCTTCTCCCCTTCCCCATTCCCCTCGCTATTCCCCTTCCCAACATCCCCAGTATTCCCCTCCGCAACTGTTTCTTCCGCCCCCGTCGACGCTCCCCCCGCTCGCCCCCTCTCCCCTTCCGCCTCTCCCTCCGCCTCCGCCTCGTCTTTAAGCGTGCGCCCACCGCAGATGATTTTTAAACTGCCCGCGTCGATCCCGGACAGGTGCGAAAGCTCCGCCCGCAGCTCGCACACGGTCCATTCGGTCAGGGACGGAATTTCGACCTGCCCGGACCAAGAGCCAGCGACCTTAAGCGTGACTGGCATGACCTGCCTAGTGCGGACGGCGTGAGCGCGGCGTGAGCGCTGGGGGCGGCGTGACTGGGCGCGGCGCCGTGAGCGCGGGAGAGGTGGGCAAAACGAAGGGCAACGCCGGGGAGAGCGTCAGTTTGGGAGAGTGTCGGCCTGTGGGGGAAGGGCCCTATCGACGAGGAGCGACGTGGAAGGGGAGACGTGAAGAGAGCTGATGCCGGTGTGTGAAGCTGAATCACTCACGCAGTAACTCTGGGAACCATGTGAATCCAGACGCAGCGGAGAAAGTTGTAGAATTTGTGGTACTAGTTTCCGCGTGCGTGTTGTTGCAATCAAGTTGTCAGCGTGTCCCACAAAGTTCGTCCGAAAGCGGCTCAATGAGATGTTTTACGTTTTACAGCGGTCAAATTGTTCTATACTTCGGTTGAGTACGTTCTACGGAGAATATGGACGTGTGGGACTCTCTGAAAATGTGAACTAGGTCCGAAAATTAGTGCCACCAGACTGAACTTCAAACGCGTATATCTGTGATATGAACGCTTCTTTGTTAGACAAAACAAAACGAAGCAGAAAAAACGAGCCAGCCAATGCAGGCATGTTCTACCATGGCATGTACAACCATATATGGCCGCACCATCTATACACAATTTCCGAGGCTTCTATCTTGTCGTCCTGGCAAGGAACCCTGCCAGTCATTTATACACACTTTGGACAAGCACTTGACACAAATTATTCCCCTGGGAAAACTTAGTCAAATTCTCTTAGCTATGGAGATCAGCAACGTCATCAATGAGTTGCCTGATGGTGTCCACTGAAAGCATGCCCTCAATGCGGGTCGCTCGCTTGGCCTTGTCCTTGCCCATGAACACCATGGTTGGAAGCCCGCGGATCTGCAACAAACAGAGAAGAACATTAGTCACAGTGACAATGAAGCAATGACAAGGTGGAAACGAGAATGAGATGGATATAGCCGCGCCGTAACCAGCGGTTAGTTCGCAATAAAGACGCCGTACCTCGAGCTGGTCTGCGAGGTCGTATTCCTGATCCGTGTTCACTTGAACGAACCGCACGCGCCCGTCGTACTCCTCCGCTAACTGCACACCCGTCGCACCCACGTTCCAAAAAGGATGAAAAGGTGAAGGAGACACAGGTCAGCGAGCAACCCGTAACCGGTTACTTTGGGCATAAAATATTTAGAACGTAGGCCTCATCCTGTAACATGAAGTCATACCCGAAAACAGCCCGTATCTGGCAAGTCAACCACCAGGCAAGTGTTTTTTTTTTTCCTGATAACTTGCCTCTTCAAGTTGCTCGGAGAGGATGTCGCACGACCCGCACCAGTCAGCGCAGAAGTCAATCACGAGAGGCGTCTCTCGCTCGCCGGTCACCAGATGATCCAACTCCTCCGTGTTCACGTCGCGCTGAAGATGACGGGAAGACGATTGGAGGAAAGACGTATTGCAAGGAAGAAGCGAGGTTAGATGCATCGAAGAAATGACGAGTCGCAAAGCGACGGGGAATCAGGCACCCGCTGAAAAAATAAAGGCCTTCCATTGACGAGCGAGACGAACGGCTTGTTTGAAAAGCGGCGTTGCGCGAACGGCGGACTGCCTAATCGTCGACATACCACGTGACTGCATTGAATGCGGGAGGACTTCGACGCTCCAGCGGCTAGTTTAAAGCTGCTGGGCGATCGCCGATTTGTGAGGGGGTGAAAAAGGGCCAAGGGTTTTGTTGGCTGCTGAGAACAGGCTTGAAGCCGTTGGCTGAAGCAAGAGCTAGAAGCTATGCGAGTGGGCAGGTACAACGAGGATGCCATTGTGACCAAAGACCCGTTCTGTTAGGTCAGGCTATAGATAGTACAGCTGAGTGGCGGCTCGGATTTTGGCTGATAGTTTCGACGAACTAGAGAAGGGGACAATTGAAGCAGTGTAGGCGAGTAGGCGAGTTGGTAGGTTTGAAAGAGGTAGTTATAGTAGCTTCGAACGGGAAGTTGATGGGTTGAAGTGTGAATCTATATTGTCGCAGTGACGGGGGGTTGGGTGGGAGGTTTGTAGAGTTTCTCCCCTTGACTCTCATCTTCCTTCCTCAGAGGAGCGGAGAGGAGAGGGGTTGGTGGCCTGCCCAACGGCAAAATGGCAAGTGGAAGGGGGAGGAGGGGAGAGCCGAACAACGCGGAGGCGTTCGTCAAGTGGTGTTGAGTGGGGTGGAGTGGGGTGCGGGAGCAGTTCTCCGAGTCTACTCTCCTGACGAAGAAAGGGGTCAAGTTCGTGTCGTCGTGTCGTGTGCCCCCTGAATCTTCTCATCCACGAATCACATCGCTGAATTGAGCAGGCCTGACACGTGGAGGAAAATCGGTCGACAACACAGCACCGGGAGGCCAGCCATGCGGGGGTAGCCACGCAGGAAAGCGAGTCATGCCTCCCGAGATACGGGAGATCCCTGGCCCGTGTGCTGATCAAACGGCTCTCTACAGGATGAAACGTTCCGCAGCGGCGGAACGTTTGGCCTCTCATTTTTCCAAAACAAAATCTCGCCGTTATAAGGTCCCCCATTCACAGCCTGAATAGATTGTACTTAAAAAAGGAACATTCAGTCACTAATGTGGACGGTGGAAAAATGTGACATCCTATGTGTGTAGGAGATTCTGCAGATGGGTAATTTAGGTAACTTCTGCAAAGTGTTAAGTTCCTAAATTTGCACAAGCAATGAGGAAATGAAGCTCAAAGAACAAAATGAAAGTTCCAGGCTTGGCTGGACTTCATTGATGACGTAATCACAAAATGCATGTGATGAAGTTCATACCATACAGCGTTTCCTGTAAAATGTACAGTCTAATTATGCTTCGACCCATCAAGCAGTTCCTGATCCGAAGGGACAATATCAAGGGAATGCTAATAGCAAGAACAGACAACGTCGTTGCTCAAACCGACTTTTCAGCTACTGTACTCCAGAAATCGCTGTAGCTGGTCTTGCCTACATCCACTTCAAGCACAAGTCCTATCCGTTGATTTGTTCACCCATCCAATCATTCCTATCACTCCTGCCAAACGGATCTCCTCTCGGATGTCTGCGCTGTTGCATATCATGCAGCTGCGAGCGACTCTCTCTGCATTTTGAAAATTCAAAGCATCATCCATTGGATGAATGTCAGCATTTTGAGAATACACCTGTTTTTTTGTCAGAGCTGCCGTTTATGCCTCGTCATTCCTCCTTGGAACTTTCGGAACTAGAGTTTAAGCCATGAGCGCGTTCAACGCTGGATGGAGTGCCTGGGGCGGTGGCGGCTCGAGCGCTTCGAGGAAACGGCCAGACGGCAGTGGAGCGGGACCGGGCCGTCAGCCACGGCCGTCAACTAGCCGCGCTACAGTGTTCCTAATCCGGTTCTTAATCGTGGTGATCCTGGCGCAAGCGCTGTACATTGTGAAGCTTAAGGTCTTGCAGCAGCGGCGGCTTATGCTGGAAGAGGAACGAGGCAATAACGGGGACAACGGGAGCAAGAACACCCGCAATGCTGAAGCTGGAAGCAGTGACACAATTTCGGGACTTGAGGCAGGCTCAGGAACACCGGCAACAATGGAACTCGCTAATCCGGGAACTCAAACAGCAGCGATAAGCACCCAACCCGAGATTATTACAGTGTTTCCGGAAGCCGCCGATACTGGACCTGTTTCTACCGGGGATGGGAAGCAACCCGTGGAGTTGCCGCGAGTTGACAATGCGGGAGTGACTGTAGCGGGGGGAGTGGAAAGGGAGGGGAGCGAGGAGCAGGGAGCAGACGAGCTGGGTCAGGAGAGTGAGATGGAGAGTAAAGACGAGGAGGAGGTTGGGTCCCGGCGGGAAGCAAGTGAGCGCGCGGCGGAAGCGGAGGCGGAAGCGGGGGGGCGAAGGGGAGCGGAAGCGGAACCGGGGGAGGAGGAAACGGGCTCGCGGGATGGGTCCGGGGAAGCGGATGTTACCAGCGGGGGACGGGGTCAGGGGGAGGGGCAGGGGCGAGTGAATGGCGCATTGGCGCAACTACGGGGGGGAGCTTCTGGGAGAGAGGCGGAGGGTGGGGCGGGGGGCGGAGTGGAGGGAGCGAGTGGCGCGGGAGCGGGAGGAGAGGGAGAGGGGGAGGGAGAGAGCGAGGGAGAGCGTGAGGGAGAGGGTGAGAGAGAGGAAGGGGGAAAGGGAGAGGGGGGGTGGGAGCCTTTGCGCGGGCCAGCAGAGGGCATGACATGCCGGGCGTGGTTGGAGGAGCAAGACGAAGTGGCCATTGGGAGGGAGTTTGAGCAGCAGCCGGTGCGAGTGGCCTCCAGCGAGGTGCGTGTGAGCTTGGTTGTGCGGCGGTGAGTGTGTGAGTATTCACACAAGGTAAGCACTCTCTCAAGCAAGCAGGCCTGCAGAAGGGATGACATGCCGGGCGTGGTTGGAGCAGCAAGATGACGTGGCTGTTGGGAGGGAGTTTGAGCAGCAGCCAGTGCGAGTGGCCTCCAATGAGGTGCGTGTGTGTGTTTGGTTGGATGCGGTGTAAGTATGTGTGTGTGTGTGTGTGTGTGTGTGTGTGTGTGTGTGTGTGTGTGTGTGTGTGTGTGTGTGTGTGTGTGTGTGTGTGTGTGTGTGAGTCATCCCTTAAGGTAGATTTTCTTTACAGTTGATATTCCGTCGCGGTAGATATCTGCACAAGGCAAGTATTATCTCAAGGTAAGCGTGCCGTGTGAGATTGTGGGCGAGGGCGACGACGTGCTGTCCCCTTTCTCCCTATCCCTCAGACCCCCACCCATCCCCGTTCCCTCCCCTCCCCCCTAACCCGTACTCTCTCTCCTTGCAGGTGAAGCGGTGGGACTGCGACGTGCCGTGTGAGTTCGTGAGCCATGGAGACGACGTGGATGCGAGTCTCACGTACGCAGTGCTGCTCTCTTCCCATTGTCCCACACCCCACCCATCACCCTTCCCTCCCCTCCCCACCGGCACACAGGTGAAGCGGTGGGACTGTGACGTGCCATGCGAGTTTGTGAGCCAGGGGGACGACGTGGATGCCAGTCTCACGTACGCCGTGGCAGGCAAGATGGTGCTGCGCTCGATGGAGGCGCGCTCCTACTACCCCGCCAACGACCCCGCTGTGTCCCGGGGGTCTCACAGTGTGAGTGGTAGGGAGGGAGCATGTGGTATGTGCGAAGCATGCGTGTGGGGGGCCATGAGGTTTGCATGGTTGTGGGGGTGTGCGGCTGAGGATGGTGCTGCGCTCAATGGAGGCGCGCTCCTACTACCCCGCCAACGACCCCGCTGTGTCCCGGGGGTCTCACAGTGTGAGTGGTAGGGAGGGAGCATGTGGTATGTGCGAAGCATGCGTGTGGGGGGCCATGAGGTTTGCATGGTTGTGGGGGTGTGCGGCTGAGGATGGTGCTGCGCTCAATGGAGGCGCGCTCCTACTACCCCGCCAACGACCCCGCTGTATCCAGGGGGTCCCATAGCGTGAGTGGCAGGGCGCATAGCGTGAGTGACAATGGTGCTGCGGTCAATGCAGGCGCGCTCCTCCTACTACCCCGCCAACAACCCTGCTGTGTCCCGGGGATCCCACAGTGTGCGTGGCAAGGAGGGAGCATGTGGCTTGTGGGAAGCATGCGTGTGGGGGTGCATGTGGTGTGGTTTGCATGGGTGTGGGGGTGCGCGAGTGAAGATGGTGTTGCGGTCAATGGAGGCGCGCTCCTCCTCGTCCTTGTCTTTTCCTTGTCCCTCCCTTGTGTCAACCTTGTCCCTCTCCTGTCTCTCCGTCTCCCAAAACCAACAACAGGTGGTGACGACAGTGCAGTGCACTACGATTCAGACGTGCCAGTGCAGTACGGCTCATGTGAGGAGTATGACATCATGCGCCCTCCACTGCTTTCCTCCCTTCTCCTCTCTTGCATCTCGTTCCTCTCTCTTGTGTCAAACTTGTCATCTCATCAGGTGGTGATGACAGTGCACTACGACTCGGATGTGCCAGTGCAGTACGGGTCGTGGGAGGAGTATGACATCATGCGTCGCCCCAGTCCCCAAGACAGCATCCCTCTCCCTCTCTTGTTTCACTGCACACTTGCGTATCACAACACTACTGCCATCAGGTGGTGATGACAGTGCACTACGACTCGGACGTGCCAGTGCAGTACGGGTCGTGGGAGGAGTATGACATCATGCGGCCTCCGGTCCTCAAGTCAGCTCTTGCGTTGTCTCTCCCTTGTCGCTCTGGGCATTCTCGCATATTCATACCACATTACTATTGCCAACAGGTGGTGATGACAGTGCACTATGACTCGGACGTGCCAGTGCAGTACGGGTCATGGGAGGGAGGAGTATGACATCATGCGCCCGCCACTCCCCAAGACGGTGTTCTTCTCTCTCTGTATATTCTCGTACCACAGGTGGTGATGACAGTGCACTACGACTCGGATGTGCCAGTGCAGTACGGGTCATGGGAGGAGTATGATATCATGCGGCCCCCCGTCCCCAAGACAGCAGATGCCATTGCTGCTGCGTTCATCAGCAACTGTGCCGCCAACAACTTCCGACTCAAGGTGGGGGGAGGGGTGTGTGAGGGGAAGGAGGAGGAGGGGCCAGAAGGGGGGAGAACGGGAGAGTAGGGAGGGAAGGAAGAGAGGTAGCGGTGCTATTGCAGCTATGTTGCCCTCCTCAGTCCCTAATTTAGCAGTCGCCATCACAGCTTCGCTCCTCAGCAAATGTGACCACCCCACATCTTCGCTCCACATCTTCACTCCACATCTCCACCCCACATTCCTCCCACCCCACAGCTGCGAAAGTCTCCCTCTGTGCACTCCTAAATAGCCCATAATCTGTGTAACCGCTCTCCACCACTCTGTCTCCCTCACAACCGCAGGCAGTGGAGGAGCTGCAGAAGTTCTTCCCCGTGCACTCGTATGGTCGCTGCCTCAACAACCGGCCCTACGAGCATGATAAGGTGTGCTCGAGATAGGGTACCTATCAACGTGATGCTGTATTTATGAGCGTAGTGGGGTGATGATAAGGCAGTGGAGGAGCTGAGCTTCAGAAGTTCTTCCCCGTGCACTTCGAGCGTGACTAGGTGCGAGCGTGACCAGGTGCGAGCGTGACCAGGTGCGAACTTGATGAGGTACCAACGCTATGCTGTATGTATGAGCATAGTGGGGTGATGATAATGTGTAAGATTGATAGGGTGTGAGTATAATAAGTTGTGGGCTTAGCAAGGTGAGAGCATGATAAGGTGTGACGTGACCATGATAAGCTGTTGGTTCCACCTCCTCAGTACAAATCGTAACACTCTTCAAACCCCCCTTATTCCTCCCCTCTTCTTTCCCAGCACACCTCCACCCCTTTCCTGTAGATTCTTCCCCCACCTCCTCCCTTGCCGGTTGGTGTTGATTCAGTGCTACAATTTCTCGTCTCGAACCCTCAACCCCCAACCCCCCATTGATTCCCCTTCTCCTACCGTGTTGCCTCCCCACCATTTCCGCAGTTGGCAGTGATTCAGCGCTACAAGTTCTCGCTCGCCTTTGAGAACTCCTGTGAACCGGACTACATCACTGAGAAGTTCTGGCAGTCCCTGGTGGCGGGGTCCGTGCCCGTGGTGGTGGGGCCGCCCAACATTGCCGACTTCGTGCCGGACAACACCTCGTACCTGCACATAGCGGTGAGCAATGGGTGCACATCCCGGTGAGGGATGGTTTCTGTGTGTGTAGGCTGTAGGTGATGAGTAGAGGGATCCTGGCAGTCCCTCGTGGCGGGGTCCGTGCCCGTGGTGGTGGGGCCGCCTAACATCGCTGACTTCGTGCCGGACAACACCTCGTACCTGCACATCCAGGTGAGGGTTTGCTCATGTATGTAAATGTAAGGCGTATATCCCGAGGAGGACATCACCCGGGTGGCGAGACAGATGCAGGCCACAGCTGCTGATAAGCCTCGTCTCTGCTGACTATGCATCTTTCTCCATACTTCCACCCACTCCCACAGAGCGAGGAGGATATCCCCAGGGTGGCGCGCCAAATGGAGGCCATAGCTGCAGACAAGGACGCGTACAACAGGATGCTCGAGTGGAAGCGATCTGGACCGTCGGATCAGTTCATCGCCAACGTGGATCTGTCGGCTGTGCACTCCTCCTGCCGCCTCTGTGTGCTACTGGCCGATCGCATCCGCACGCAAGAGATCGCTGCCTCGCGCAAGCCACGGCCCTGCAGGTTAGTCTCCCTCTCTTCCTCTCCCCGCCCCTCCATTCCCCTCCCCTCCATTTCCCTCCTCTCCCCTCCCCTCCCCTCCCCTCCCTCCTCTCCCTCGCCCTCACTCTGACTGCCATCCATCACCCTCGGTCGCCCTCCTTTCCCCACTTTCCATTTTCGACCTCCCTTCACCTCTCCCTCGTTCCCCTTCAGTGCCATGCTTCTGTCCTCGATGCCCCTGCAATCCCATGCTTCTTTCCTTGCTGCTGCCCTCCCTCTTGCCTTTCCCCTCTCCTCCCTCCTCCCTCCTCCTCCTCCTCCTCCGCCCTTTTTGTTGTTGCTGCTGACACCTGTATCCCAATCCATGCTGCTTTGCATCCCACACCCATATGTAACAGGTGTGAGAGTGTAGACTCGGGCAGCTTTGAGTCGACTCAAAACTCAACCCATGTTTCTTTGCATCCGACACCCATATGTAACAGGTGTGAGAGTGTAGACTCGGGCAAGAAGCAGCTCACATACCATCTCTACGTGCGTGAAAGAGGCACATACCGCTACACCTCCGTCTTCCTTACAAGCACCTCGCTCACCCTACCGGGCCTCCGCCGAGCCATTCGCCGAACCTTCAAAAAGAAGGGCTACAAGCCTGTTTGGGTCGGCAAGAGACCAGCCGTTTTGGCGTCGGAAAAAATGATCAAGGCGTTGCGGATTTTCCACGTGTATCCAGCAGGGTCGAACCAGCGGGAGGCAATGTTTGGGAGTGCGTGGTTTCAAACCACGGAGCAGTTCACCAAGTATTTGAACGATCATCCATGCCCTCGATTAGAAGTTATCTTCATATAACCCGAGATGATTTTTACCGTACTTCAACTCTTTTTCCTTTGCGCTAGTTCCCTATGTCTGGTAATTTTGCCCAACTCTTTTTTTTTTGCTAATCAGTAGATTATATTGTCTTCGATGTATGCACTCATAACATATATTTTCCAGCCTGGACAATAAATGCATATTTTTCCGATTCCTCGATGTCGGTGCCTCATATCGCGTATCATCAACCTTTCTCTCTGGCTCCCTTGAAATTGCCACACAAACAAGCATTGATGATCCAAGAGCAGAGGTCTGACGAGGCTAGTTGTAGTACCACTCTAGTCCGTAGCATGACTAGCCTGAGAATATTCACGAGTTATTCCTCCTTCGCGTTATAATGTGGTCGTGATTCGTAAGAAACTTTTTTGCAAGATGCGTCGCTCCGTGCAGCAGCAGCAGCAGCAGCACCAGCAGCAGCGGTTGCGCGTGTCGGCGCTTTGCTCACTCGCGTGCGTGAAGGCGATCGCTTTGCCCGCCCTTCTCCTGTTCACAGTCGTGATGGTCTTTAATCGCCATTTTCAGCTCATCGCGTCGCCTTTCTCGAAGCATACTACCTCCAGCCTCTTAGTCTCAGTACCTTCACCTGCACCGCTGACTCCACATCCCACTTCTTCAGGTTATAGAGAGTCCCGTTTAGAGCAGAATGTTGAAGCAGGGGGTTACAACCAAGCAGTGGATGTAAACAACGGGGGACTAGTTAAAAACAGCTCCTTCGATTTCATTCAGGGACAGCCCGAGGAACCAGGTTCAGCAGCTCAAGCACGCTCAAACGGGCAGTTGAACGGGCAGCGGAAACAGCGGAAACAGGAGCCAGAGTGGGATTCAGAGGGATATGTGTCAGCCAGTACACTCGGACAGCTGGCACAAGAAGCTTCAATTAATGGCACGGTTGTGATCCTGGTGTGCAGCTATGGTAAGACGCTGAGTAGCCCTGCGTGTAGAGGAAACGCCGTGTTACATTGTAACGAGCTCACTTTTGAGTCGACTCGAAAGTCACTGTTGTGATCCTCGTGTGCAGCTATGGTAAGACGCTGGGGCAAGGTACTTGTTGTACCGGTTACAACTAGAGACTACAGCCATCTGGTATTAATAAATGTGAGAGATTCTTTGGTATTAGTTTGATTTCACGTAGCTTCCCCGCAACTTCCCTCAGCCCTGCCACGTCTTCTTCCCTCGTTTCCCGCTCCCGTGTTCTCTTCCCCTCTCCTCTCCTTCCTCCGCTCCTGTCTCCTATCCTCTCCTCTCTTCTCACTCCCCGTTTTCCTTTCCCTCCCCCCCTTTCCCACTCCACATGACTCTTCCCCTCCCCCTCGCCCTATCCAAGGTTACGCGGATTTTCTGCTCAACTGGGCGGTGTACGCGGGCGAGCTGGGGTACGGGCGGAATTTCCTAGTATTCGCCGAAGACAGGGAGAGCTTCGACCTGCTGAGAGAACGATTCCCGAGACAGGTGCGACATGCTGACATTGCATGCCTAGTTCTTTCCCCAACCCTTTTTGTCGAAGCCGTTTTCTCCAGCCCTTTCTCTCAACCCTTATCCTCCCAACCGTTGGGGCATCAGGTGGTGAGATGGCACGTGCAGGAGATAGAGCAGGCAGGAGAGGAGGAGCTCAAGGCAGCAGGGCTGGTGGAGGAGAGTGATAGTGCCAGTGGTGGCAGTGCAGGGAGCAGTGGCACTGGCAGCAATGGTGTGGGTGATGGAGGTGGGAATGGCATCAGCAGCAGCAGCAGTGGCAGCAGCAGCAAAGAGGCGTTTTCTTTTCTCACGCTGGGCTTTAAGAAGCTCATGTACCGGAGAGTGGCCTACATCCGCACACTCCTTAACATGGGCTTTAATGTCCTAATCTGCGACTCGGATTTCATCTGGGTCAAGGATCCGTTTCCTTACCTCTTTGCAAGGCCAAGCCACTCGGAGCTTTTAAGGAGATCCATGGCTTCTCGCCTCGCCTTAACCAGCACTCTGGGAGTGTACAACAACAAGAGAAAACGGTATGCTGTTTCCGACTCAGATCTGCACGCTTTGCCCAGTTCCGAAGCAGCTCCTATAGAGTATGATGTGGTGGGGGTGCGGGAGTTTCCGGATACGTACAATTTCTACGCAGCTTCCACATACCTCATGGATCCTCGACCCGCCCAGCTTGACCATGCCAAGCTCTGCGGCGGCTTTGTTCTCTTCCGTAATACGCCGGGAGGAAGGCTTTTACTGGAGATGCTTATACTGAAGATATACCGGGCGCCTAAAGTCACAGGGCGGGAGAATGACCAGCTTTATCTCGGCATGGCGATTCATGAGTTATTAAATATCAGCCCTGCTCCGTTAGTGGGAGTTCTCCCACAAACTCTTTTTCCTCCGGGGTGGCTCTATTTCCCTGAGTCTTCTTCCATGCCTCCGGGAAGAATAAGGGTGCTCCCTAGTCGAGACGATGTCGTGACGATCCACAATAATTGGATGTCAGGAAAGGAGAATAAGTTAGCAAGATTTAAGATGGCTGGATTGTGGAGAATTTTAGATTACTGATTGGTTAGATCTCCACTCAATGAGCTATATGTAAATTGTGCTCTCCTGAATTTTTTTGTAGGAGTATGACTAGATAGTAAAGCACAATTGTTGTGCTTAAAATGCTACGTCTGCCTTTTCTGTCTGGTTTTATTTGTGTACAGTCAAACGTTGCTACAATCGCGTCCCTTTCCTCTTACCCCTGACAGCCACACCCTCGATTCCTCCTTTTTCCCGCCAGAAGATTATAAAAGGGGTCTCCATCCACCACCTCGCTCGTCTTCATTCGTCATTCATTTTCCGCAACACCGTTCAGACAGGAGTTGAGATTGACAAGTCACCTCGCCACAACCTACAGTCTTACACCAGCCGTTCTCGTCTCTCTCAACCCTCGTCCTCGACACTTCGTTTCATTCGCCATCATTTCCTTCTCGTAGGCGAAGCCCTGCTCGTTTTTAGGTATAGTTTCCAGCGTTCTCCTTTCGGTTTTGCTGGCCGCTGTCAGGTGTAGACCTTCCGCCAATCTCAGTATAGCGATTTCTTATCAACTTTGTAATTTCTTAATTCCTTAGAAGCTTGAAGCCCTAACTGCCAATTGCGTAGGCCAGTTCATCTGCAGATTCTTATCCTCGCATTCTCGACAAGTTTCCTCAAAGAAGCGAAATGGCGCGTGGCGACGATTACGATGACGAGGTAGAGGAGGATGACGAGGAATACGAGGAGGAGGAGGAAGAGGAGGATTACGAGGAGGAACGCGGGAAGAAGCGAGGGCGCGGATCGCAGTTTATCGACGACGCGGCGGAGGAGGACGATGACGAGGACGAGGAGGACGAAGCGCCGCGGAAGAAGAAGGGGTCGACGACCGGCCGGTCGATGTTCATTGAAGAGGAAGCGGCGGTGGCGAGTGATGACGAGGAGGAGGAAGAGGAAGAGGAGGACGGTACGTGAGATTGGTTAGGCCCGTAAAGCACTGTCTAGGGTTTCGATTCTCGATTCTTTAAGGAAGAAGAAGGGATCGACGACGGACCGGTCGATGTTCATTGAGGAGTAAGCGGCAGTGGCGAGTGATGACGAGGAGGAGGAGGAGGAAGAGGAGGACGGTACGTTGATTTTACTAGAACATTGATTAGGGTTTCGATTTTGGAGGCAGAAGAAGGGTTTGACGGTTGGTGGGTTCGGTAAATGTCCATTCAGGAGGAAGCAGCAGTGGCGGGTGATCACGAGGAGGAGGTGGAGGAAGAAAGGGAGGACGGTGGGTCGAGTGCTTCGTGCGGAGGGTTAAGACATTATGTTCCGCTAATCGGTGGCCGAATCGGCTACGCCTCCTTCTCGCAGGCAGAGAATGGACAAATTAGGGTTGCGCGTAGATGCTTCGTCGACGTCGCTTCGCGTTCTTAGGGTAAAAGTCGACAAATGGGTCGAATATATGCACTGTTCTCATCTTCACATCCTTTTGACTCGGATCGAAAGACAATCGCGTATCAAGATAGACTGGCAAGCGGAGCAGACATGAATTGGTGTCGTGAATATGTCTTGGCATCCCTTCTCCCTCCACCTACGCTTCATCGACCGGGACGCGGAATTGAGCGCGGAGCTGGAACCGACCGCACCACCGCACCAATCCATGCCCCTCCCTTATTTTTTGTACATCCTTGCCATCCCCCCTTAGGTTTCATCGACCGGGACGCGGATCTGGGGGAGGAGCTGGGCAACGAGCGGCCATCCGCGCACCACCGCACGCTGCTGCGGCGCAACGAGGAGGAGGAGGAGGTGAACGAGGAGGACTACCAGCGGTTCCTGGAGGAGCGGTATGCGCGCAACGAGGTGCCCGAGCTGGGCGAGGGGGAGGCCACGGAGGTCGAGCAGCAGGCGCTGCTGCCGTCCGTGCGCGATCCCAAGCTCTGGATGGTCAAGTGCGAGGTACGCCGCGGTGCAGTGCGGTGCTGTGCTGAGCTGGGCCGGGCTGGGCTCGGGCTGGGCTATGCCAGGCGCTGCAAATCAAATCAACTCCCTTTTCTTTTCGTTACCGTATCCTCTTGCCTTCCATGCCTGCAGCTGGGGCACGAGCGAGAGGCGGTGGTGTCTTTGATGCACAAGTGCGTGAACCTGGAGGCACTGGGGCGGTGCAGGCACTGTAGATTGAATCAGCTATCCGTTTCCCCATCCCCTCCAACCACCTCTCCCCCCCAGCTTGGCCACGAGCGCGAAGCAGTGGTGTCGCTGATGCAGAAGTGTGTGAACCTGGAGGCACTGGGGCAGACGCAGCAGATCAGATCAGCCCCTTCCCCTTTCCCCGTATCCTCCCATTCCCCCATCCCCCCCTCCCCTCCCTCTTCCCCCTCCCCCAATCCCCCGCGCTCCCAGCTGGGGCACGAGCGAGAGGCGGTGGTGTCTTTGATGCAGAAGTGCGTGAACCTGGAGGCACTGGGGCAGACGCTGCAGATCAGATCAGCCACTTCCCCAACCCTCATCCCCCACCCCCACCTCTCTCTCCCCCAGCTTGGCCACGAGCGTGAAGCAGTGGTGTCACTGATGCAGAAGTGCGTGAACCTGGAGGCACTGGGGCAGAATCTGCAGATCAAATCCGCGATAGCGCTGGACAACCTCAAGGGGTGCGTGTACGTGGAGGCGTACAAGGAGGCCTACGTCAAGGAGGTGCGTTGCGAGTGACGCCATTTTTAGGCGCTTGAAAGGAGTATGTATGCATGTATGTGGAGCGTCTTGTAAGGTGTACGTGGAGGCGTACAAGGAGGCCTGCGTCAAGGAGGTGCGTTGTGTTGTGAGCCAATGTTTTTGTAGGCGTGTCAGAAGGATTATTATGTATGTGAAACTTCTTATAAGGTGTACGTGGAGGCGTACAAGGAGGCCTGCGTCAAGGAGGTGCGTTGTGTTGTGAGCCAATGTTTTTGTAGGCGTGTCAGAAGGATTATTATGTATGTGAAACTTCTTATAAGGTGTACGTGGAGGCGTACAAGGAGGCCTACGTTAAGGGGGTGAGTCAATCCCAGCGCCTGAATCTGGTTATTTTGTTCTGCGAGGCTGAGCGAGGCATATACCGGAAGCACGTGGATCCCTTAGCCTCCCCACCCCCACCCTCTCCCGCCTTTCCCTCCAGGCGTGTGCGGGACTGCGGCTGCTGAGGGCGTGGAAGCCGGCGCTGGTGCCAAACAAAGAGACTTTGGAGTCGACTCAAAAGTCACCTCCCCACCCCCACCCCCACCCTCTCCCGCCTTTCCCCCCAGGCGTGTGCGGGGCTGCGGCTGCTGAGGGCGTGGAAGCCGGCGCTGGTGCCAAACAAAGAGACTTTGGAGTCGACTCAAAAGTCACCTCCCCACCCCCACCCCCACCCTCTCCCGCCTTTCCCCCCAGGCGTGTGCGGGGCTGCGGCTGCTGAGGGCGTGGAAGCCGGCGCTGGTGCCGATAAAGGAGATGGCGGGTGTGCTGACGGTGGAGCAGAAGTCGGTCGATCTGGAGGAGAACAGCTGGGTGCGCGTCAAGATCGGGCTCTACAAGGGCGACCTCGCTCTGGTAAGTGCAGTTCAGAGGAATGGTGTGCGATTCAGAGTGGTTGTACGCAGGGGTCTGGGACTCTGGGACACGGCTGACGGTGGAGCAGAAGTCGGTTGATTTGGAGGAGAACAGCTGGGTGCGCGTCAAGATCGGGCTGTACAAGGGCGACCTCGCGCTGGTGAGTGCCTTGAAGGTTGGGTGTGTGAAGAAGAGGAGGTGAATGGGGCAGGGAGCGGGTGTGGCGAGTGCCATCCTCGCCTGGAGGAGAACAGCTGGGTGCGCGTCAAGACCGGGCTTTACAAGGGCGATTTTGCGCTGGTGAGAGCTCTGAATGGGTGGGTGTGTGTATGAGGAGGAGGAAGGGATTGGGAGAGGGAGCGAGTGCGAGTGCGGGGAGGAGAACAGCTGGGTGCACGTCAAGATCGGGCTCTACAAGGGCGACCTTGCACTGGTGAGTGCCCCCTGTTGTCCCTTGCTAGCACCATCACCACAGGATGCCATCATGCCACACCCCCCCTGTGCTACCACACAATTTACCACGCCTTTTCATGCCACACAACACGTCCGTACCACTCTGTGCCACCCCATGCCACGTCACATGAGCAGGTGACTGACGTGGACACTGTGAAGCAGAGGGCCACCATCAAGCTCATCCCTCGAATCGACCTGCAAGCTCTCGCGCAGCGCCAGGTGCGTTGCTCTTTCCGTACACCTCACCTCACCAGCAGGCAAGAATGCCATGTCCTGCGAGTGCTCTGCGAGTGCATGTTCTTCATAACCGGAGATTCGGTGTCGGGTTGGGTTGGGTCAACACCGACTCTCAGGTCTCGATCTGGTCGAGTTGAGACCACCAATGGAGAGACCCAACCGGTCCTACTCAACCCGACCCAACCTGTTGCTCGTTTCAAGTCTCTTCTCCCTGCGCCCTTAGTCCTTCTGCCCACCTCAACCGCCTGTCTCCCCCTTCCTCGTTATCTCCTTTGTAACCAACCATCACAGTTGTCTGTCGCTCCCCGTGGATGCGTGCATGTGAGCTGAGCAGGACGGTAAGCCGGTGGTCAAGCGCAAGGCCCGCCCAGTCCCTCAATCCCCTTTCTCCCCCTTCCTGATAATTTCCTCTTCAACCTGCGCCCTGTTGTCCCACCCTCCCCGTGGATGCGTGCACGTGAGCAGGACGGCAAGCCGGTGGTCAAGCGCAAGGCCCGCCCCGCCCCGCGGTTCTTCAGTGTGGACGAGGCCAAGTGAGTGCGAGGGTGGGTGGAGGGAGGAGGGCGTGTGTGCATATGGGGGAAAATGAGCGTGAGCCCTGGGGGATCGGGAGGAGAGGAGGTGGGGGAGGGCATGAACGCAAGGCCTGCCCCGCCCCACTGTTCTTAAGTGTCGATGAGGCCAAGTGATGGGAGGGTGG